GCATCGTAAATTTCAGTTGATAGTTTTTTTTACAATTTTTTTTTTTTTAACTTGAACAGGCGGGAGAGTTCAATTTTCATGCTTTTTTTCTTGTTGAAAGTAAAAATTATCACCAAAGTGTTAAAAGTTTCTTTGAAATATATATCGTCTAAGTTGTCGAGTCTCTAATTAAGAAATATTTATCGCTATATACTGAAATAGAATTTTATTTTCGAATGTGTGCGAAGGAAATGTCGAAAATTAAATTTTTTTACTTATATTTTTTATTCGTGTTTAATTTTATATATAGGTATATATATATATATTTTTTTAATTTCTATTTATTTATGTTTATTAATATTAATTAATTTTTTATTTATTAAAAAAATTAACTCTTATAATTGAAAGTTAATTTAAAGTGCAATTAAATCAGAGCAAAATGAATTCAAAAGAATTCACTTTATTTCATTTTAAATTCATTTTAATTTCTGAATTCAAAGTGAATAAGTCTAACTTAAATTAATGAATTGCAACACGGAGAAAATTGGAAAAACGAATAAAGTAACTTTTATTATACTTTGAAAGTAAAACCTGAACTGCCCGGTGTTTTTGCGCATTTCTGGCAATTTTTACTCCAGAAATAGTAAAATTTACTATTTCCGAAATAATTTTTACTATTTCAGGAGTAAATTTTACTATTTTCGGAGTAAAAGCGCAGAAACTTCGGACAGTTCAGTTTTTACTTTTTAAGTATAGTAAAAGTTACTTATTTATTCGTTTTTTTCCTTTTTCTCCATGAATGTGAAATGATAATTAAAGTGATGTAAAATTCACTTTACTTTAATGTCACATTACTATGAATTCAGTTTACTTTGATATCACTTTATATAATTTTAAATTCACTTTATTTTCTGAATTCAAAGTGAATAAGTGTGTAATTTAAATTAAATGATTTCAAGGTGAAATAAAATTAAAATAAAATAACATCAAAGTGAAGTGAATTTTACATCACTTTAAATTTCACAACTTCCTTCAATTTTAGGTACTTGATTTTGAATTCATTTCACTTTAAATTACTTTTATTTTAGTTCACATTTAATTCTCAAATTTAAATAAAATTAAAATGATGTGAATTTAAAGTGACATCAAGTTACAAAATAAAGCATTTCAAATTTGACTGCAATGTGTTTTCTTCAAAATGAAAACTGAGTAAGAATAATGATTATACCAGAAATTTGAAAAAGTGCAGTTCAGTTTTCACTAATTCGAATAAAGAGAGTAATTAAGCTTGCCCCCCAAAAAAAAAAAACCAATTCATCATCGATAATTAGTGGCATTGACAAAATTTGAAGTGACGTTGGCTCCTCTAATTAGAAGAAGATCCTTTCATTATTGTTGAACCGTCTCTCACCCTAATTTTTCAACAAGGAAATGAAACGAAATTAGAGGGTGTGAATGGAATAGAATGGAAATAAAATTTTGATTTTTTGACTCTCGGAACCATCTCAAATGTCGGTTCTTTGTCGGATGGTGAATTCATAAAAGCTTTCTATATTCCCGTGTTATTAGGCTGCTAAATAAGTCTCGATGATCACGTGACTGGCCTGTTGGATACTCTTTTTTTTCTCTTTCTTATTTTCTCTAACAATTTTTTTTTTCTCATTTCTTATTGGAAAATTCATTGCCATAATGTGGACCATTGCTGCCGTTTCTTGTCCAGGTGTGAGAAAAGCTTCTATGTATATATATATATATACAATAAAATGTCACGTTCTATTGAGGGCAATCCACGCTCGTAGAACGTCACCCCAAAAATTCTAAACTAAACGTTGGCTAGATGAATGGATTTCCATTCTATGCTTCCTTGGCCTCACAGGGATATATACCTATATTATAATATATAATATATAGTATATAGGTCTCGTTTAGCGTCACGTATATTTCACCCTACAATCAACTCGCGAGACAAATACCCTTATTTGTACACATCCTGTCCATTGTGACGTAGCACCCCGGGATTCAACAAGAACTATATACATATAGGTATATATCGTATATATATATATATATATATACGAATAAACCAAGAAACTTCCGGCGAAACTTGGTTCCCCGCCCGTTTCTTATAGTTATTTGTCCTTCTCTTTTTCATCTTCTTTTTTTCTGAAGATCCTCTCGCAATACGCCTTCCGTTCGCTTATTCTTATACATATATATATGCATCAAATAAAAAAAAAAAAAAAATATCTGTTTGTGGGCGGGCAACGGGATACACCGCGAGAAAAGATATCGGGTACTACCTGCCGCATGTGAGTATTCTATATGGGTTTCAATTATTCTCGCATCCCTCTCCTGTGTGTATATATATATACCATTGATATCATTTCAATTTATATTATCGAGTGCGGAATAGGATGGTTTTTTTTTTTTTTTGGTTCTCTTCCTTTTTCGGATTTCAAGGATCTTTTACCCACCCCGGATGTATAATTTTGGGCGGAGCAAGGACAACCTAATCGTCGCTAAATTTTCATGAGGCTAGGATATAGTATATATATATATATATATATGCGTATCGGTTTTCTCGTTTCTTAACGAGTGGGGCACATGGGGCTGGTTCATGTTTTTATAATGGAAACAGGATGTTCTTTAAAGTAAATGAGGATTTCATCTGCTATTATCAATTTACATTTAATATTCTATGAAGCATGCGGAACAACTTTTTTTGCTGTTCGAAGAATTGACCGCTTCCGTGTATATATATAGTTTTTTTCATTTCTATTTTTTTTTTTTTTTTTTTTTTTTTTTTGATAATGAATGGCAATAGTGTTTTATCATATAATTAATATTTAACAGATAAGTACACTGAAAAAAATTTGTTTCAATTACTCGGTTTTTTCCTTTTATTTTGTAAATTAAAATTAAATTAAATTTAAATTTAAAAAATTATTAAATGTGACGCACACTGAAGAAAGGAACCTATGAAAGATATTCAATAAAAATTGATTTTGATTTTACTTTCTAAATCTGAATTAGTCATTTTTGACTATTTCAACAGCACCGATTGGTTTATTAAATTACTTACACTGGAAAAAGGGTTTGGTATTGACAACCAAACGTTTGGTTGGTATTTAAGCAACCAAAAAATTTTTTGTTGAATCAACATAAAATTTTAATTGTCTCCATCAAAATTTGTTTGACACAATCAAAATTAGAAAAAAAGGATTTTTGTTGTCCCAACTAAAGTTTGATTGGGACAACCAAAATTTTGTTGATTCAACAAAAAAATTTTGGTTGCTTAAATACCAACCAAATGTTTGGTTGTTAATACCAAACTTTTTTTTCAGTGTAGTACAATCTAAATCTGAATTAGTAGTTTTCTACTATAATGAAAGAGTGCGTATTCGTTTACCAATTGAATTAGTAACAGTTTTGACTAATTTTTAGTAAAAAACTACTAATTGCTAGTAGAAAACTACTAATTCATTAGTAAGTCGTATTTTTTACTATTTCAAATTAGTAAGCCGATTTACTCCATGAGTTAGTAGTATTCTACTAGCAATTAGTAGTTTGTTACTAAAAATTAGTTACTAATTTAATTGGTAAACGAATACGCACTTTTTTATCAGTAGAAAACTATACTAATTTAGATTTAGAGAGTAACAGTAATGATTGATTTTTAGTCAAAAATCACTAATTCATTAGTTAATCTAATTTTTAGATTATGTTGCATGACTAAAAAATTAGTAGATTTATGCCTACCAAATATTTTAGTAATTTTTTTTTTACAAATAATTAGTCGAATTTGACTGTGAAATTAGTTCTTTTCTACTAAAAATTAGTTATTTTTTACTAATTGAAATAGGTCCGATTCGTTCACGATTTTACTGTTAATTAGTAGTTTTCTACACTGAAAGAAAATATTGGTTGGTGTTATACCATTTTTGAGGTGACTATTTTTAGTTAGTAAACTATACTGCTGCTAATTTATTAATTGTATTTTTATTGGTTGGCATAACTATTTTATTAGTTGGTTTAACTAATTAGTTTATTGGAACAACTATTTAATTAGTTACCTTACTAACTAAATGGTAACAGTAACTAATATAAATTTGCAAAAATACTTTTACTAACGAAATGATAATCGCAACCAATTGTTTTTCTCAGTGTACTAATTCAGATTTAGAGAGTATACATAATTATCAAATAAATTATCATTTGTATTAAAATAATTTTTATTTGAATCAAATAAATTGTATTTAAACTAATAATTTCGGTATTTGAAACAAATATAGCATTTAATTAACTCAAATAATAATTATTTAATACAAATCAATATTTGATTATAGTTAAGTAAATAACCGATTATTTGAATCAAATAAATTTTTTTCAGTGTTGTAAATAATTATTAAAAATTAGCAATATTTCCACTATAATGCATTACTTACAATTTATAAATTTTGATTTTGAACGTTTCTTAAAAATATACATATGTGAAAAACACACTGTTTTGTTTTCATTCCCTTAAACTCCCACGCACTAATAATTTTTCAAATCTGTAAGGCTGACCATCTGGTTACCATTGGATTTCAGGACCAATAAATATATAAATTGCAATAGCCCCTTTTCAAAGAATTTTATATAACGTTTAAGCTGAAATGCGGGCAAAATTGAGTTTTGTATTTGTCGAACGTTATAAAGTTCTAAACGAATAATGTTCCCTTTGCCCTTCCATTTCCCATTTCCCCTTCTCTCTCTCTCTAGTATATTCATCTCTTTTCATTCATCGAGCGATTCTTCTTTATTCCCGGGCAATTCGCATCAGAAAAATAATTTGTGCGAAATGAGATGGTGCATGTTGTAGAGCCGACCATATGCCGAGGGACGGTTCCACCAGCCCATAGGTAATTACAAGGGATGCTCCATGGTGGAGCGTTCTCCATAGTAGTATAGTTGTAGTAAGTATAGTAGGGATAAAATTTCGATGGTGGGGCGCAAGTCTATATAAGAGGCGATGCTAACCTTCAAGGGTCACAGTTGTGCTTCGAAATTTTCGTGCGCGCACACGTGAGTCATTTGTGTTCTTCCAATTTTATTCTTCACATCTTCATTCGTTCTTCATCTCAACTTCTTTTGGATTTTGTTATTATATATTACTATTGGTGTTATTTTGGTGCATTTTGGTGATTCATTATTGGATTACAATATATCAGTGCATTTGACAATTAAAAAAAAAAAAAAAAAGGATTTAACAAGAAACACATACACGGAGTAGTGCATATATTTAAATGACCATGGAGATTCAGTTGATTTTTATGAGTTTATTGTGTGTGACCTTGGTTGCGAGTATCGACCTTGGACCATACATACGAATCGCGCAATGCAGATCTCAATGCCTTCGACAATACAGTGTGGATGGTACTTGTGATGTACTCTCAAGTTCCGATGAATATCTTTGCCGTGAGGTAAATTATCTTCTTTTTTTCAAAGTTTAATAAGTTTTTTTTTTCCCCCTAATTATAAATTCTAAAATAGTTTTTAAGTTTTAGAAGTGACTGCAAAGATTATAAGAGACATTAGAATATTTATAAAAAGGAATGAGAAAAACTTGTACTTTTTATTTAGTAAAATTTTAGTTTCAGTAGTGAATATGGAAGAGATTAGAATTTATAAAAGGTTTAATAAATACGAGGGGTGGTTTTTAATTAAATTTTAGTTTTAACTTTAGAAGTGAATTGAAGGGATTAGAAGAGAAGGAGATTCGAATATTTATAGAAGTCGTAAATTTTAATGGATAATTTTAATAGTAGGCTAAACTTTGGGCAAATTTTCTCTAGTAGAAATAGTATTTGATTTATTTTACATAAATCCTTTGTTATTTCAATTTATTTGCCGATAATTAATGTTTAAACGGATTGTATATATATATATATATATATATATATATATATATATATATATGCTAAGGGTATACTTGTTGCTTCATTAATTATTCATTGATCATTACTTTCAAGTTCGAATGAACATGTTTGCCGTGAGGTAAATAACTTTTATTCTACTTGTTTTTTTTTTCTTTTATCAAAATTACTTTTTACGAACTTGCACTTTTTTTTCTCATTAAGTTTTTAAATGGTATACAACAATTTAGAAAAACGATTATAACCATACTATTTTCCTATTATTTCGTTATTTATTAATAAAGATAGAATTAAAATTTCTCATACAAAAATAATTCTAGGAAAGATGATAAAAGAATTTCCTTCTCTTTTAGTTCATTAGTATAATGTAGTTTCTTCATATAGAATCACAACAAGAAATCTTTTTGATGGTGAAATGTTTTTTATTTGCATTATATAAAAAAGAAAATAACAGAAAATTTACAAACTTGTCATTCTTTCTTAAAGAATATTTGACAAATCCATCGATATTCTGAATTTTTGTTGTGTACTTTTTTTTTCTTCTTCTCTTTATTCAATGCATTTCAGAGGAGATTCTCTTGGGGACTTCTTCTTAAAGGCGAACAAAGTTTTCAGAGTAACTTCTCCGAAGTTTTGAATAGACTCAAGTGGTATTGAGACCATAGTTATTGAAAATGATTTGAACTGAACCACCATTAGAGTAAGGAACTGCATGATCCTTAGAGTCTAACTGTCAAAAAGAAAAGATAACCGATCTTTTGAAAATTGGATGGGGGATGTACATATATATCATTGGCGATAAATCTTCTTTTTTCCCTTTTGGATTTTATGGGGCGCCGTGGAAAATCATGGTGGTCCCCCCCATCGTCCTTTGGGAAAGAGAGAGAGAGAGAGAGAGAGAGATGCGTTCAGCTTCGCAGAGAGAAACAGATTCAGACGGACAGATGGGGAATCACGATTAATCCACACAATGGATGCGAGAGGCTTACATGTGAGGGCGTTGCTCATTTGGCGCGTAGATATATACCGGGGTGTCCATTAATTCTGGGAAATCGATTTGACTAACACATGTTTATGCACATATGTATATTTATATATGTGTGTGTGTGTATAAAATCTCTTGAATAAGGACCATCGAGAAACAAGCGGACACATTGGGAGGTACAATATATATATAGCGGAGATGATCTATTCAAATTTATTCTCGTCTCTTTTAAGGGTCCAAACCATGCCCCCTTTTTTTTCTAAATGATGTTGAAGTCATACTTTTGAAAAGGGAGTTAATAAAGTCTATCTCAAATCGAAACACGCAGACCTTCTTCTGTGATAATGATGCTCATCATCCACGAGACATTCCAAAGTAAATCGTTTTAGTGTTTCGACTGATCTTGTTTTGTTTTTTGTTTTACTCTTAAATGCCTCGCCTTTTCTTATATTCTGTTTCGCATTCCTAATTAGGATCCAAAAGATCGCAGACGTAATTATCACTTCTCCGCGCTCAATATGGAAATGTGATTTTTGACTTCATTAATAATAATCGTACTCTTGTTAGTTTATAATTATAAAGACGTTTAAGGTAACGATTATTTTACTTTTATATTGACAAAACTTGCGTTTTCTAAAAAAATATAATTTCCAAATTTTCGATGGAGAACTAAAAATGAAAAAATGTTTGTCAATAATTATTGCGAGTTTCTTTCGATACAGAGAGGGACTTTAGTGTCGTTAATCTGATGTTTATCGAGGAGCACGACGACGCCCATCGATAAGGAATATCGCAGCTCGTAAATCGAGTTTCCCCAATCCATGAAATCGATGACCTGCACTATACGTGTTCGCGACACACTCGTTTCGGGTTACAACCCGAAATAAATCGTAATGGTAACTTCGAAGGGTTATTCTCTCTTTCTCTCTCTCTCTCTCTCTCTCGAAATAAAAAGGCTTTCGAAGTTGCTCGAAAAAATAAACCGTTCGTGATTGTTCTCGCATTCCGAAAAGGCAGCTGCCCCCCTTTTTTTTCTTCTTCTTTAAACATTTAACTTTCGGGTACAATTCTCTTTTTCTCTCTCTCGTGTGTCTCTCTGTGTGTGTGTGTGTGTGTGTGTGTGTTACAAAATTGTAGCGTCGAAATTACGAAACGGAACTGCTTTTTCTTTTCTTTCGAAAGTAATAATAATCGAGGAACAATTTATATATTGCACGAAGGATTCAATTAAGGTAATCGTGGAAGACATCTTCTTGAATGATCAATCCTGTGTAAAAAAAAAAACAAAAAAATTATATTTGTAGGGGAAAAAAAACACATTAGACGCCATTAGAGGAATTATTCGTTCTGTATAGATTAGACCCACATTAAATTTTTGTACTAAAAAAAAAAGCCGATTCGCCTAGGGCGACTCCAAATTTGATCCACGAAAAGGTTGCTTGATACATTTTGAGAAACGTCATTAACGCTAGCTTCGCACAGCGTTTCTACGAAGCTGCGACTAAGCGAGAGGCAAAAAAAAAAAAAAAAAAAAAAAAAAAATGAAATGAAAAGAAAAAGAAATCATGGAACAGGGTCCTGGCCTGGAGTACCCCAATAAATATGAAAACAACTACGAGTAGAGACGGTGCCTGTTATGCCTGGAACAGGTTGGAAGCTAATTCGAGTCCTGGTTCATTCCCTTTCACCTCTTCCTCTCTCATCAGTCCCTCTCCCTCCCTCCCCCCTTTCTCTCTCTTTATGTCTGCGAGTCTTAAATCGGCCGATTCAACCGACGAGTAAATGGTTTTTATTCACCGTCGTCGTCGTCGTCCTGCTCCTCGCCAAAACTCTCTCTCTCTCTCTCTCTCTCTCTCTCTCTCTCTCTCTCTCTCTCTCTCTCTCTCTCTCTCTCTCTCTCTCTCTCTCTCTCTCTCTCTCTCTCTCTCTCTCTCTCTCTCTCTCTCTCTCTCTCTCTCTCTCTCTCTCTCTCTCTCTTATTTTTACTCTATACGAATATTTTTCTTCCTTGTCTAAATTTTGTTTTCTCTCTTTTGCTTACAGTGCTGGAATCACTGCGAGGGCCTGGAATTTCAGTGGCAGACCTATAAAGACCTTTGCGAAAACGATGCGATCTCTTCAGCTGTAAGTATTTAATTTTTTTTGCTTTTTTTTTGCAAAAATTGATTATTCTCATCAAATTTGGCATTTGCGATGGGAAATTTGTTTTGTAAATGTATTATTTTCACTCTAACAGCATCCGGATATTCAAGATATCCTATGGATGTCCCTGGGATAACCGGAAAGTAGGATATACATAGGATGTCTCAAGGATATCCATAGATATCCTGAGGACGTCCTATAGATATTCAAACTTCCAGGTACGGATAGAATATCCATAGGATATTCTGAAATGTTGGTTGCTGTTAGGATATTTCAAAATAATGAACACAAAGAAAAAAAAATACATTTATCTCAAAGCTATGTAAATATTTATTTGTTTCAAAATGAATATTAATTTGTTTCAAATAAATTCTATTTGATTAAAATAGATTTTATTTGATTCAATTATAATTGTATTTGTGAGATAAAAAATTTTCATTTCAAAGAAATACATACATAAAAACGATATAAGCAGTATAATAAAGCAATACAGAAACTTGCAACAATAATGGAAACATTGTCTTAATATTTAAAAATTTTCAAAAATAATGGCAATATTGATGAAATTTTAGATGCTGTGTTGGGATTCAAATTTTATTTTATTTAATTAAAATAAATTATATTCGGTTTGAATAAAAGATATTATAGGCGGATATTTTAAAATCATATTAACAGTAATTTATTTGTAGAAAAAGAACTTCTATTTTCCACTGAATAGCTGAATTTTAACTGTGAAATCACCAATTTCATAGATAAACTTTTGGTATTCGAGTGATTTTACAGTGAATTCTGAGAAATGTACTGAAAAGCTTTTTTTTTCTTATTAAAGTTAAGTACTTAATTGGTTTTTTTTAAAAAAATTTTCTTGGAAGTCGACATAAAAGAATTAACTTCAGAGTTATAAAAGAATTAAAGGGATGGTGTAAAAATAATATTTCTATAAAAAAAAAAATTTCTTATAATAACAATATAATTGATTTTCTTTTTCCTTTGAAATCATCAACTTTAACTTTCTTTTTTCATTGTTTTTTCCAAATAAAAAAAAATAAAAACAATAATATTTTAATTTTTAATCTCAAAAAAACTTAAAAATTTCAAAGAACATGTGCAATTTCAAAAAAAAATTTTTTTTCCCAAGATTTATTTTAGTTTTTCAAACTTGTGTATCAGATCATATATTTTTCTTTCATTTCCTTTTTTTTTTAAAAATATATTCAAGTAACCGAATCAAATAAATTTGTTCAGTGTATATATATTTATATAGTACAATGAATACAATAATTTTTAAATGCAACAAAACTACTTAAAGAATTTCAATTTTGTCCCATGAGAAAGTTTTCAAATTTTCAAGAATTCGAGCATGAAAAATCACCCAAACACAAGACGATTATTGTAGGTGGAGTGATTTTGATGACACAAAGCCCCCATGAAAGAAAAAGTATAACAGTTTAGAATCCTAGACTCAGGTGCAATCCGATCGAGTCCATGTTACGTATAGTGTAGATCTCGGATTTCTGACCCTTTTTTAAACGAGCGATCGCTCGGAAAGCGGGTAATCTTGCTGTCAGTTCTCGTTATCCTCAAAAAGAAGGTCCTCTTTTCTGTTCTGAAATCGACCGAGCGCGAGAAAATTTCTTCCAATTTTCAACAAGAAAGAGTGAGAGAGAAAGAGAGAATTTCAAAAACTTCACGTAAGGAAGAAAAAAGGACCGTTGAAAGCAATGATCCATTCTATACCAAAGCGTGACGTATAAAGCGTACCCTTCGGACCTTCCAATTTCGATGGAGAAGAAGGAGAAAAAAAAAGTTGAGAGAGAAAAAAGATGGAGCAAAAGATGAGAAAAAAAAAACGAATTCCCTCGTCCAACGAACTTTCAAACGGGAAATGCTTAGAATTGACTACCTGCCGATTTTCACGGAAGGTCGAGCAGAGATGAGTCTCTCTCTCTCTAGACACACCAAAGAAAATACATATTCTTTTACGTATTCTTAATCTAGTCATTTTTTTAACTTCTCCCTATATACTTGAGATTTTATATTTTTAATAGTCATCATCTTTAAATACTTAAAAGAGAGAGAGAGAGAGAGAGAAAAGTTCTCTTCACTCTTTTTTTTCCTCCGGAGGGTCAACAAAATAATTTGTAAATGTTTCTTACTTGAAATTTGTTTCCTCTGGACCATTTCGTATATTGATATATTTTAAAAATGATTCAAAAATTAAGAAAGTTTAAATATTTTTGGAAAACCCTTTTCTTAAATTCATAATAGCATCTCTAAGAAGAGAGTTTTATCTTTAAAAATTACGAGCAAAACATGACTCTTAAAGATAAGGTTTCTCTCTCTTTCTACCTGATTCCTCAAAGGCATTTCAATTTCAAGGTAGTTTGAAGATGGTCGTTAATTAATGGAAAGTCACACTCCAAGTGCACTTTTAGTGATACCTAATCCAAGAATGACCATAACTAAAATTATCAAGACGACTTTTTTTGAAAAGAGACCTGTCTTCATCCTCTTCCATATGTACTAACTTTATGTTTATTAAAGTTCTTTATAATGACTTCAATGGCCACTTAAAAGAGCCTTTTAACAAAATCAACAGAATTTATTATTATATTTATATATATTTTCCACGATAACACATAAAAGCTTCCAGTATTTATTGTGTGTAGAATAATTTTAAGAATGAGTTCTGTATAAATAAGATTTTTTAATTATATTCCAAGGTATTTTTTTTTTGAAATTCACATAATTTTTCCTGGTTTTAGATTAGAATTTCTTTTTCCCAAAATGGGAAATATGGCAAAGTATAATAATAATTTGTATTTCTTAAAAATCCTCGTGAGTTTTGAAGAGATGACTCTGAATTTTTTTTTTAGAACCGTTATCATTAATATTATGTATGCAAAGTCATTAGTCAACAAAAAGGCTCTTGGAATATATTTAACTAATGAGAGATGACCATTTTATATTTTTCATAATCATTAGAAATTATTAATCAAATTGCGTTATTTTTTTGCTCCTTAAATTTCATTTTTTGTTGACTCTTTTTTTTTGCATTTGTTTCTTATTGTATTTTCTCTTTTTATTTTTCTTTTTGTTCCACTTTGTTTTTTGTATTATATTTTTTTTCATCTTGAAATATTAAAGCAAGTTTTTCATATCTTGTTCTCTGTAATTTATTGTACTGTTGTTGTTTCTTTGAAATGGAATGGAGTGGAGGGACGCACCATAATATCCGTTAAGGAAGATGTAGAAGAAGTTTTGCTAATTTGTAATGCTTGTAATTTTCTCCAATCATTTGAAACAACTGATTTAATTTTCTCTTTTCTTTCTTTTTTTTGTTACAGTGCCCATCATGCGGAACAATTTGCAACTACAGGAAGACACGAGTGATAGAAGAATATCTACCATCAACGTTACCGGCACCAGAGAGGCCTCCAGCTTCATTAAAAAAGTACGACATAGCAATTCTCTTGAGGAAAGTTAACAACGAGTGGATAGAATCCGGTTATTTCCCAGGATCCTTTGTAGCTCGTCTAAAGCCAAGTATGTGGCTTATTGTCGTCTCGGGTGGAGATGGAGTGAGGCACTTTAGCTATGACGAGTGGATACCAACATTGGAGTCCTTGAAATCCGGTTCGCTCTATGAGGCTACCATTTCCTGGAGGAATGTTGACGCACAAATACGTAAAAATTATGTTCTAGAGCAAAAGGAATTCAATGATAGAATAAGACAATTTTATTTGGAAAAATATGGACACAGTGTTCTTAATGAAAGAAATTCTGAGGAAGAGGGACCAACTGAGGCGCTTTTTAGGGATTTCTTTTTCAAAAAGAAAAATGATGAGGATGTGATTTTTGGCGATCACGTGAGACCATCGACAAGTTATAGTTTATTTAATAAGGAGCATGAGGAGAAAAAGGAATCATGGGTAGTTGCTTGGGAACCGGAAGCTGGCGGTTTAACTGGTAATCAAGAGGCTGATTCGAATTATGCACAAATCACACTTTTACCAGGAACAAAATATCGTGTACGTGTTGCATCTAAAGATGGTCCTGGTAGTTTTCCCATTGAAGTTGATACCAGTACATCATCATTTGTGCAGGTTCACAGAATAAAAAAAAACTTCAAAAATATTTACGCATGGGGGATCATCGCTGCGAGCATGTCTATGCTCATTTTTATCATTGTGTTCGCATTCATCAAATTTTTAACGAAAAATAGAAAATATGTTGAAAGTGAAGAGGAAGTAGTATGAGTTCATTCAGAGACGGCTTGAAGGCTCAAGTTGTATAAATTCTGGTCGAAAACGACTATAAAAAAAAATCTCAGGGATCCAATTTCTCAGCGATGAGATGAGAATTTAGTGGATATTTATATATTCACGAGAGGATGATTTGAGTCAAAGACTGAAAGAAGACGATGACATATGGTGAAACAGAAAAGCTCCGATTGTCTTGTTATAAGTTTGAAAAAACTTCATGTCGGATTTGAAGAGAATGAAGACTACTAAATATGTGAAACTGTGGCCAGTTAGTAAAAATAGACGAAACCAATGAAATATATGCACAATTTTATATTAAATTTTATGTCAATTCAATTTCCTACCAGTTACAAACAGATTTTCCATTCCTTTGAATACAGTTTTCAATTAGTATTATTATTAATGCAAATAATTGTATTTTTAGAATTTCATGTTTGTATTTGGATTAAAAAAAAAAAATTGTATTACAGATTTTATGAGATGAATTTTATTTTGCTAATTTATACATAAAAAAAACAATTGTACAAACTTGCTCAAAATGTAACTATACAGACTGTACAAGAGTTCCTACTAAACGACTGTGGGGTTTTAGACTTCACTAAATGTATTTATTTTGTAAATATTGTGGATATTTGTAAATAGTAATTATAATTATAAATATAAATAAAACATTTTAATGAAATTAATTTCTTTTCTATATAGACATTTATTATCGTCATCTTATTAATATACTTACTTTATAATTGCTTATGAAAATTTTTAAAGAATACATACATATTTTGTTGAAACATATCTTTAATTATTTAGATATTTCTATTTTTATTCAAAAAAATTCTTCATTCATCTATAATTTTGATTGAAGACTTAGTTTATCCATGAGATGAATTATAATAAAATCTTTTCAATTTCTAGTCATACTCATTAGTACAACAAATGTAGAGGAGAATGCTTTTAAAATCTAGAAGTAAATATATTATTTTTAAGTTTATTCCAAGCAAAAATTTAAAACCGTCGCAGTGATGCGCCAGTACTGGCAATTATTGGCAAAGTATTGACCGCCAATATTGAATTAATACTGGCATATGTTTTGGATGATAACGTTTATTAGTACTGGTCATTAGTAATGGCTTAGTACTGGCGTTTAGTACTGGTTCAATACTGGAATTTAGCAGTAATTCTATATTTTACCAGTACGGGCAAAATTATAGTAACCGCAGTAATAAGCCAGCACTTGTAGATATTTAAAATTCAGAATTCTTTTTGCTTTTTACATTAATTGAGCAGCTGGATCGAAAAACTGACTCTTCACTCGAACCTCACGCGTTCATAGCATTAACTATTAATAATAATATATTATTATAATAACTTTTAAATTGTTATTTTTTTTATATTAACATTTTACTCTTTATTTTATTATTCAAATAATTTCTTCAAATATTATAAAATATATATTTAGGATCAACCGGGGTAAATCCGAACGCTTTTAGTAAGTTTCAACAATAACATAAGTTTTTTCTTTAAAAAAAAAAAATACTTCCGGTATTCTGGTGCATGAAGTTGTTACTTTACTTCCATAGAACAATTTTATGGGGTAGCAAAAATTTTTGATAAATTACAATCTCAGGAAACTTAGAGTTCGTATTTACTTCGATACTTTGCAACTTTCCTAAAATACCGGGGTAAATACGAACGCCACTGTATTTCAGAAAAATCTTAGGGAAAATAAATTTAAAGTATTGCAATTGTTAAACTTATATAAAAACTCAAAAAAAATACGATAATAAACCTATTATGTAATAATGCATCATATATAAATACAAAAATCCAACAGGTTAAAAATTAAAATGCATTACACAATTAAAACCTTCAATAACTTTATCAAATCATAACGGATTTTTGCAAAACTTGCTACAGAAAGTATTTTGGAGTGATTGAATAAATGGAAGTATGGGCAAAAGATGGCAAAGTATGGCCAACTATGGGTTAAACATGGCCAAAAGCTGACAAAGTATGGCAACAGTATGGCAAAAGTATTGCTAATGACCGAATCCCATAGTTAAAGTATGGCTTCAAAAAAAAACCATTTTTTTCAATTCTCCAACTATGGGCGAACTATGGGCCAAGTATGGCGAACTACAGAAGGCAAAAAAAATCATTTTGTCGCCTCCCATACTTCGCGATACTTGGCCCATAGTTCGCCCATAGTTCAAAAATTTAAAAAAAGTGTTTTTTTCGCCTCCCATACTTCGCCATACTTGGCCCATAGTTCGCCCATATTTGAAGAATTTAAAAAAAAGTGTTTTTTTCGCCTCCCATACTTCGCCATACTTGGCCCATAGTTCGCCCATATTTGAAGAATTTGAAAAAAATGATTTTTTTTGCCTCCCATACTTCGCCATACTTGGCCCATAGTTCGCCCATAGTTGGAGAATTGAAAAAAATGTTTTTTTTTTGAAGCCATACTTTAACTATGGGATTCGGTCATTAGCAATACTTTTGCCATACTGTTGCCATACTTTGTCAGCTTTTGGCCATGTTTAACCCATAGTTGGCCATACTTTGCCATCTTTTGCCCATACTTCCATTTCCACGCGGGATATAAATACAAAAATAAAAGTCAAATTTTTAAAATTCAAAATGGCGGACTTTCCTAAAAATTATTTTTAAAAATGATCAAATTCGCTAACTCCAAATTCGTAATCAGCGACCCTGAAACCCCCCGAGTAACAATTTTCGAGCGAATCCAATGAATTTTTTAATTCTCGTCCGCCATTTTGAAATTTTAAAAACTGACTTCAAATTGGTAATTAGCGACCCCAAAAACCGTAGAATACCAAATTTTATTAAGATCCTGAAAAACTTTTTTCAAAAAACCATTTGGCAAAAAAATTGAAATACTCCTTCGAGAGCACAGAGATTAAGTTTCTGCTTATTAATTACTAACGAGGATACGTATAGAAAGAAAAACTTTTTTCTATGTACTTTTATAATGTTAAAATAATAGTGTAATCAAATAAAAACAATTTTGTGTGGCTTTGATGTAAAAAAAAATTATTAAAAATACCGTTCGGATTTACCCCAGTTTTCCAATTTTCTTGGGTAAATACGAACGGTCTGATATTATTAATAAAATTTTACAGAAGGCAAAAATCAAATATAGTTTCTGTTCTAGTATTCATAACAAACAATTATAAATAATAAAATGAATTTTTAGCTTCTTTTTCTTCAAATACGAGACAAAATACTGAAAGAGTGTCATCTTTGATTTTCAATCTTTTTTGCAATACTCGTTATCTTTGTTTATGCTGTTGCTAATTAACAAACGAAAAAAGGGATAATACTTAGAATCTCTTGAAGAGGATCTGAGGTAAAAATTATCATATCGAACTTATTTTTAAAAATTTTAATTAAGCTGAAATAATTAGCGTTCGGATTTACCCCCCGTTCGGATTTACCACGGCTGACCCTATCTGTATTTGTTTAAATTACCGAAATTGAATGAAATTATTGGTTAAAATAGAGTTTATTTGATTCAAATATATTTTTTCAGTGTAAGAAAAATAATTTGAGAACTTCATTAATTACACTGCCCAGCAAATTTCAAATTTTTTTCTGCGAATAACACGGGACATAGTGTTTCCGAATGGATTTTTTGTGCTGAACACGAATCCGGGGTCGAAAACTTCCTATCACGTCACATTTTCGAGAAAATAGGGGTTGAAATCCCACAAAACAGGGTTTTTGGAGATTTTTGAAAAATTATACAGCGAAAACCTGACGTGGTACAAACTTTGCTGATATCAGTAATTAAAGGTTGGTTCACGCCCTTTCAAACGAGCCCTATTCGAAATTGATCGCACTCACCCTTAGAGCAGGGGGTGTGTTTTTGTCTAGGGGTGCACGAAAAAAATGTACACATAACATAAAAATTCAAAATGGGTAACAATTCAATAAATCATGATAGTTAAGGGGTTTTCGAGGTCGTTGATTACGAATCTGTAGTCCGATTTCAAAAATTCAAAATGGCGGATCCAATATGGCGGATGTCAAAATAAAAATTTAAAACAATTCACTTGAAAATGGTCACTCGGGGGTTTTTGGGGTCGCTGATAACGAATCTGAAGTCAGATTTCAAAAATTCAAAATGATTTATTGAATTGTTATCCATTTTGAATTTTTATGTTATGTTTACATTTTTTTTGTGAACCCCTAGAAAAAAACACACCCCCTGCTCTAAGGGAGAGTGCGATCAATTTCGAATAGGGCTCGTTTGAAAGGGCGTGAACCAACATTTAATTTCTGATATCAGCAAAGTTTGTACCACGTCAGGTTTTCGCTGTATAATTTTTCAAAAATGGCCAAAAACCCTGTTTTGTGGGGTTTCAACCCCTATTTCCTCGAAAACGTGACGTGATGGGAAGTTTTCGACCCCGGATTCGTGTTCAGCACAAAAAATCCGTTCGGAAACAATATGTTCCATGTTATTCGCAAAATCGATGCAGGGCAGTGTTATGTATTTCTTTTATTAAAAAGTTTTAATATTAAATTTAAATTTCATAATTCCGTTAACGAACGCATTGCAGTAATCGAAAAGAAGTATTAAAATAATTTTAAAAAAATATGTATGTAAATTTAATTTCTAACTAACAAAAAGCGTCGACGACGCTCAACGTCGAAAATTATTTTTCACGGGACCAAAAATAACAAATCATTTTTAAAAAATACCTTAAAAAGTATTTCCTAAGGCATTACATATTTGGACCAAAAATCTTTAAAAAAAAAAAAAATAATTTGACATTTTTGGTACTGTGAAAAATAATTTTCGGCGCTGATCGTCAACGCTAACTTCATGGAGGTCAATTTTCATAATTTTTCTGGATACTGGCATTCGGTATTGAATTAATACTCACCGAGTACTGGTTTGCCATTACTGTCTCAATAATACTGGCACAGTATTGGAAAATACTGGCATGCCGGTATTGGCTTGCAGTATTGGCACAGTACAAAATTTAATCCATATCAGTACTGAACCAATACTGATAAGCCAACTGTCGGCCAGCCAGTATTGGTGCAGGATTGCGTCTGTTGTCAATATCTTATTATACTTATTTTTTAATTTATTTTTACAAGCATGCTTGTTGAGAAATTATGTAAATATAATATTGACATTTAATTTCTTATGAAGCTGAGTATTAATTCAAACATTTTAAGAATATTCATATTTAGCTTCTGTTTTTAATATTGAGTAATTGTAAATCTATGTAGAACCAAGTGAACTCCTCGGAGGATGTTGAAAGACTGACGAACTATACACTATTGTGGTAAAAAAATTAATCAATATCTTTTTTCTGTATATAAATCATTAAAAATAATTACCAATTTTACAAGTTGAATAATAAAATTCATTATAAATGCACAGGTTCCAGAAATATTGTTTCTTGTCTGCAATTATGTTTAATTATCGTCTATAAGTCGCGAGACGGATCAATATCAAAAATTCAGAAGTCTTATCAATAAGGAGTAGATGCAGTTAGAGTTACATAGTATAAAGCACAACGATAGAAAGGGAATACCTCGAGGAAGCAAAATAAAATCTTTATTTAATTTTTTTTTTTCAAGTACCAATTCAACTTAGAATTTACAAGTTTTATTTTAGGAAACATTTTGATTGGAAAATGACAATTTTCTTTATATCTAATTTTATCATAAAATAAAATAAAGTACCTAATTTAAATTCTAATATTTATTGAATTTCGTATAATTAAAATTTTGAAAATTGAACTGATTTGTTTAAGTTTTATGTGACAATAATATATATTTGAGATGTTTAATCAGTGATTGCAAAAATTTTTAAATTTAAATTTTATTATGCATATCAAAATGCAAGATAAGAAAGATATTCAAATTGCCCAGTTCTCTTTTAAGACATTGTCTTATTTTGGACTATGGCGACCGATATCGTTAAAATCAGTATGGGCTATTCGAGTATATAATTTTTGCACTATTATTGTGTTATTATATAAATTTTTTTTTTCTATAACTTTTTTAATCATCCTTTATCAAAATAAACACAAATCAGAAATGTTTACTGAGAATATATTTCTCTTTACAACTTCGTTTCTATTAGTATTTAAAGTAGCATATATCAACTATCGTAAAGAAGATGTAAAAAATTTAATGAAATTATGTTTAAAAAATCAATATCTACCTTGTAATATTGAAGAAGATGTAATTTATAAAAAATTTCAAAATAAAGAACGGTACTTAGTATATTGTATAGTTATATAATTGAATCGTGAATTTAGAAACGGGCTCAACTCTAAAAACCGTAAGGGGCCGTGTACAATCTATGTTTTTCTAGAAGTAAAGTAGGGTTAAACAGACTCTCTTTTAGTTGCCTGGAATGTGCACAAATTTCCCTTTTTCCACTTTTAAATTCGAAGGAGGGACTACAGGAGTCTAAAAGATCCAAAAGAGGGCTTATTTAGGTTCTAGGAGGAGCTGAAGATGATTCAAATTACGAATTGGGTTAGCTCTGAGTTTAACCTCAAACCCAGCAACCATTGGGTGTTTTCGGCATTCACTCAGAGTTAACTCTAGAGTTAGCAGTGGTGCTCAAATTTAAATTTTGATTTTCAGTTCGTCTGTTGGTTGTGAACGTTGTTGATTGGCAATTTGGCATAGACGATTCATTTTGATTGGCGCAGGGTTTGCAATTATAACAACATGTGAAACGGGCCTTTTATTCTAGTAATGTAATGTTAAAATAAAATTTTTTGTTTCTAGATTTCATAAAAGTCCCCAAAAATTTATTACTAGATGACCCAGAGTTAACTCTGTTTTCTTGCGAGAGTAAAGAAAAAGGGTCAGTCCTAACCTTTAATGGCCGACAAAATTTGTGAACGGATTGTTTGTTTTGAAAAGTGTAAATTGAAACATAATAATTTATTTTTATTAAAAATTATTTTAACTTTTTATTTATAAAAAACAACTTTAATTAAAATAAATAATCTAGTTTCTAAAACAATTCAGATTAATTAAAGTTAGGGAAATAATGAAAAATTTGAAAATTATAAACTTTAAAAAAATAACACGTTTATGGGTAGCAAAAATATGTTCCATTCTTAAATGAAAAACAAAAAATACGTATAAATTAAAAAAAAGTAAGCAAACAAGGACAACTAACTTCAAACTCAGGGTGATGAAAATAGAAAATCAATTATTTTATTTAGGTAAATAAATTTTCAAAGATAATATCATTAAGCACCACTGTTAACTCTAGAGTTAACTCTGAGTGAATGCCGAAAACACCCATTGAAACTATAAATTGATCTTATTTTGAGGTTCAGATTTGTTAGTATTTTGGCCCTGAAGATTGACTATTCATAAGTCAAGAGACCGCTAGGTTTGAGTTTAAAACATAACCTCAAAATAAGGTCAAAGCTTAAGATCAAAATCAAAATACTATAACAAATCAAGAGGACATTGGATTTGAGATTAAAATCGGGCAAACGTAACCTCAAAATTAAGTAAATTTATGGGTCAATAGACGAACATAACTTTAAAATTCAAAGTAAGATTTTAAGTTCTTATATCAAGAAGTTAAAATCAGTAAATATAACCTTAAAATTAGATCAAAACTCAGAGCTAAAATACGAACATAACCTCAAAAATTCAAGTTTTAGGGGTGTTGTCTCTTTTTCTGTGTTGAACCCTTTTTCGAAATTCACAATTCTTTTTTTTTTAATCTTATAAGGCTAATTTTGCAGATTGATTGAACGTATTTTTGTGACTTCTAGTATATTTACAGTTACATTATATGTATTTTTGCCAACAATAAATAGCAAACCAATTTCCTTACCAATGACTAGATGGATTCCGTATTCTATTAACTCAAGAACAATATTTTGGATTACCTACATAAGTGATAGCATAATTGGTTATGTTATGGCATTAACATACGCATCATTGGAATCGCTTTTTATAATTTTTATGCAACAAATGGACACCCATCTTGACATTCTCATTACTCGTTTATTGAAATTGCAAAATATTAGACAAAATAGTATTGAAAAAGTAGATAATTATCAACAAGAATGTAACCTCATAAAAGAATGTGTAAATCATCATCTTTGTATTTTTTCGTAAGTTTTAATATTAAATAATAATAAATTTAAATTTATTATTTAACATTATAGTAAATTATAAATATTTTAAAGAATTACTTGTTTTTTAATTTACAGAATGGAAAAGACATTGAATAACATATTTAGTCTCAATATCTTTTTTCAGTTCTTCGTTTCTATATTAAATATATGTACTAGTTGCTTTTGTTTACTAAAAGCTAAAGTAAATAGTGGAGATTTTTGGTTGTCAATAATGCTGATGAGTTGTTTTACTACTCAAATATTTATCTATTGCATTATAGGTGAAAGTTTAACGTTTAAGGTAAAATGTAAAATGTCTTAAAATTAGAACGCATTTGCATACTGAAAATAAAATAAAATCATTAAGCTTATTGCAGAGTTTATCCATTTCTGATGAAATATATAAAATGGATTGGACAGTGTTAAAAACACAAACAAAAGAAAAATTAATGTTGATGATGATAAGATCAAATCGCCACATAAAATTTACTGGTGCTTCAATAATTACATTATGTTTAGAAACACTTTTAAAAGTAACTTACTATATCTATGAAATTAAATTAAAATATTCTTTGCTTTTAAGGGCAAAAAAAAAATCAAAATTAACAAATTAAAAATCACCCAAGCCACACGTAATATTACCTTAATATCACTTTTATATTACATGAAAGATTCGTAATATTACAGTAATATTAAAATGTCCACAACATGATAATAAGAAACATCATAATGCAATTACAGGTAATATTGAGGTAATATTAGAAGTAATATTGGGGTAATATTACATTTTGTAAAATTAAAATAATATTTAGATAATATTACATGTCTTTATATTTAATGAAAAAAAGTTGACATGGCGGGAATCGAACTTCGAATCTACCACGCATTAATCGAGAGTGAAATATGAAAAACTTTCAGCAATAAATAGATTTATATCTTTCGCAAAAAGTTAAAGCCATACTACAAGCACAAATGGTCCATTGGTTTAGACTCTCGATTGATGCGCGGTAGGTTAGAAGTTCGATTCCCGCCATGTCAACATTTTTTCATTAAATATAAAGTTATGTAATATAATCTAAATATTATTTTAATATTACAATGTAATATTACCTCAATATCATTTGTAATATTACCATAATATTACTTGTAATATTACCTCAATATTATTTGTAATATTACCCTAATATTACTTGTAATACTATCCATGTATGGAATTATATTGATCCTTTATTGTTAATTAGTTCAGTTGTAATATTAGATTGGCGTGAGGATCAAGTAAAGAAACCTTTTTCTTTTTTTAAAAAATTGTCAGATGTTTCTGCTCAAATGGGAGCCTTCATCAGTGACGTAATTTATTGTCTATAAAGTATATTTTTACGAGGTTACAGTTTGTTTAAAATGTCATGTTTATAATAAAAAATTAAATTCTTTTTTTTTTTAAAAACATATACATAGTAAAAAAAAATTGAAAAAAATTGAAAAGAGAACAAAGTATCTAAATTCGAAGAACCCAGAAAACGTATATACGAACCTTCTTGGTGAAGAGTTTATAAGTTATGTTGTTGAAATTAAAAAATGAATTTTTAGTGCAAGTGGTAAGGCCATTAAGGAAGTAAGTCATAGGTATTTTTGTATTGTTTGCGATTTGAGGAAACCTTTTTTTTAAAGATGAACGTGCAAGTCCCATTTGAACATTAGTGAATAGGGAAGTTGCATCAAGTGAAATTATTGTATATCCTGTTGGAATTTTTATATCTTTAATTTTTTTAATAAAGTCGAAGCTGTTTTTAACTGATTTTTCAGGAGAGTTTATGTTTTTAGAGATAATACCTATGAAAAATGACAATACAAAAATACCTATGACTTACTTCCTTAATGGCCTTACCACTTGCACTAAAAATTCATTTTTTAATTTCAACAACATAACTTATAAACAAAAAGAAGGTTTTCCCATGGGGTCACCTCTATCGCCCAAAATGGCAGACATTGTTATGGATGACTTAGAAACAGAATGCTTATCCAAACTACCTTTTCTAATACCCTTTTATTATCGTTATGTCGATGATATTATTACCGCGGTACCAAACGACAAAATTGAATGCATTTTACAAATCTTCAACGGTTATAACCACAAAATTAAGTTCACAGTAGAAAGTAAAAATAATGGTACAATAGCCTTTCTTGACGTTTTACTCATTAGGGTTGGGGAAAACATAATAACAAATTGGTACAGAAAACCAACCAACTCAAACAGAATTCTCAATTATCTATCACACCACCCTCTTCGTTACAAAATTAACATTATTAACAATCTGGTTGATAGGAGCTTACTACTTTCAAACAAAAAATTCCACTCTGACAATATTAAACACAAACTTAGATGCGAAACACAAATACAACAATGGGATGACAACAACACCACAACAGTCAATTACTTGCCATTACCTTATATTGAAACATTATCAGAAAATCTAAATAGCATTTTAAAACCCTTCAATATCGAAACTGCCTTCCCTACTACCAATAACATACAACATATTTTTAAGACACAAAAAATTTTTTCCCAAAAAATGAAATAAACAACGTGGTTTACAAAATCAATTGCTCACAATGTGACTTCTCTTATAAAGGCACAACTAAAAGAAATATAAAAACACGAATTCACGAACATAAAAATGATGTCTACAAACCCCCCAACAAATGGACATCTCTAACTAAGCATTCCTTGTCAAAAGAACATACCTTCGATTTTGAAAAAACAACAATTATCGACCAATCAAAATTTTATAAAAAAAGAATGATACTAGAAAAGGCACACATTGTGAGCAATCCCACATCAGTCAATCTTCGTAGCGACACTGCTAATCTTTCTTCTTTCTACAAAGCGCTATTAACAAAAAATTTCAACTAAAAAAATCGTGAAAGCATTTTCACGATTTTCAATATATTCAATTCTTAACCATATGTAACGTGATAATATTAAATGAATACCCCCCACAAAAAGACTAAAATTCAGTTTTCTTTCAATCTTGGTACTGTAGACATGTATATATCTGTCTCATATTTTTTTCACACAAAAATTAAACTAAAAATGCCAAGAAGTGTAACAGTGGTTCAATTTTGTGAATTTTTAATGGATTAACTCTTCACCAAGAAGGTTCGTATATGCGTTTTCTAGGTTTTTCGAATTTAGATACTTTGTTCTCTTTTCAATTTTTTTCAATTTTTTTTTACAATATAATATGTATATGTTTTTTTTAAAAAAAAAAAGAATTTAATTTTTTATTATAAACATGACACTTTAAACAAACTGTAACCTCGTAAAAATTTACTTTATAGACAAAAAATTACGTCAATGATGAAGGCTCCCATTTGAGCAGAAACGTCTGAAAATTTTTTAAAAAAAGAAAAAGGTTTCTTTACTTGATCTTCACGCCAATCTAATATTACAACTGAACTAATTACTTGTAATATTACCTCAATATTACCTGTAATATTATCATCAGGCGGACATTTTAATATTACTGTAACATTACTATAATATATTACTGTGATATAAAGGTAATAGTACGTACTGCTTGGGCATTGCTTAAAGTTTAAGGGTGTTTAAAATTTTTTATAACTTTTCTATTTTCAGGTTGTAAAAGCATCTTACTCATCTTTTAACTTATTAAGGCAGACCAATTAAATCAACATTGATACTTGATACATATATGGAAATTTATTTTTAATAACATATCGCAACAAAAAAAGTGTCATGTACTTTAGACAAAAATATTTTACACTCATGTATATTGAATTTTTAAAATCTGACTTCAGATTCGTAATCAGCGACTCCAAAAACCCCTAGGTACCAAGTTTCATACAAATCCATCACTTTTTAAAAAAAAGTCGTTTATCACTAAAAATCCGACATGTTTGTTAAGGTTAAGAAAAAAATGCTGATGTGATAAAGAAAACGAATTTCAGGTTCGTGTTCAGGACACCAAAATACATGGGGGTAAGGTTTAAACTACATGACACTTTTTTTTGTAGGTCTGTGTAATTAATGTAAATGCACATTAATAAACACCCAAATAGCACAACATATTACCACAATATTGCAGCAATATTTCATGTCAGTATCCCAGTGTGCAAGGATACAGAACAATTCTGTAACAGTTCTAGAACAAAAAAAAATCGGACAAGTGTGAGTTACACTCGCACTGAAATCGAAGGTTCCGTACTCGAAGCGAACTTATTTGGTATAAAAACAAATGTTTAAAAAATATGTGTTGTATGACAACTAATATAAGTGATACGAAGAGGAACAATTTTCTTGAATTTTACAAAATTGTTTCTTTTTGTATCAATTATTTTATTTGACATACAACACATATTTTTTAAACATTTGTTTTTATACCAAATAAGTTCGCTTCGAGTATACGGAACCTTCGATTTCAGTGCGAGTGTAACTCGCACTTGTCCGATTTTTTTTATTTTAGAGTTGTAACGACTGAAGAAATAAACTCAATCATGTTTATTAAATTATTTCTATAATCTACACATAAAAATACGTAAAAATAGTAAATTTGAAGCCCTTTAGAAAAAAATTTTTCCTTTATTCGGAGAAAATTCATGATTTTTTCTAAAATTATCAGTTTTTTCTTGACAGCCCCAGAAAAATCAACTCCAATCATCCTCGCTATATTTTTTTTTGTAATCTACACGTAAAAATACGTCAAAATATATAAATTTGAATCACTTTAGATCAACTTTTTTGCGGAAAAATACATTTTTTTCTTAAATTTATCATTTTTCTTCAAAAATTTGATAAAAATTGATCATCAACTCCAATTGCGCTTACATTTTTTTCCTGTATTTTTCACGCAAAAATACAGTTTTACAGCAAATATGAACAATTTGGGTTGAATATTGTGTGCGCTAGGGAGAATAAATCATTTTTTTCGAAATTTTTTATTTTTCCTTGACAACGCTATGTAAATTGATCCGAATCAAGTTTGCTATATTTTTCCTGTAATTTTCACGTAAAAATACGTAAGTGTACCAAATTTGAGCTCTTTATGTCAAAAGATGTGGCTGGGGGGGGGGGTACATAGTCATTTTTAGGTATTTTTTCGTAAAAATTCATGGTTTTTCCTTGACAACGCTATGATAATCAACTCCAATCATGCTCGCTATATATTTTTTGTAATCTACACGTAAAAATACGTTAAAATATATAAATGTAATTTCCTTTAAATAAAATTTTGTTCGTTTTTGGTGGAAAAATACATTTTTTTCCTAAAATTGTCATTTTTTCTTGAAAAACTGGATAAAAAGTAAATCATCAACTCTAATCGTGACCGCTTTTTTTCCCCTGTATTTTTCCCGTAAAAATACATTTGTATACTAAATATGAACTGTCTGGGTTGAATATTGTGTGCGCTAGGGAGAATAAATAATTTTTTTCGAAATTTTTTATTTTTTTTGACAACGCTATGTAAATTGATCTGAATCAAGTTCGCTATATTTTTCCTGTAATTTTCACGTTAAAATACGTAAGTGTGCCAAATTTGAGCTCTTTAAGTCAAAAGATGTGGCCGCTAGGGGGGGGTACACAGTCTTTTTTAGGCATTTTTCGTAAAAATTCATGGTTTTCCTTGACAACGCTATGATAATCAATTCCTATCAGGTTCGCTATATTTTTCCTGTAATTTAGACGCGAAAATACATATGTGTACTAATTTTCAGCCCTCCAGATAAATTTGTGTGGCCGCTAGGGGGGGGGGGGTACACGATTTCAAAAAACCGATATTAATAGGGTTCCGAACCGAGTACGGAACTAAAAATAAATAAATAAATATATATATATATATATATATATATATATGAGAGATTCTTTTTCAATCGCCCCAGCCCAAAAAGTTAATGTTCTGGGATTGGCTTCATACTTTGGTAAATTGTTGTCCTATATGATAGTAATAAATCCCTAAAATATAAACTCATTAAAAAAATATTTGTAGAAAGTAGAGGGGGTTGAAGTTTTGACGTTAAGGCGAGCGTTAAGGGTAACATTGTTATTTTCAAATCCGTATAACTATGACAAAAGTTAATGGATTTTAATTTATCTATAATGAATTTTAATGAATTTTTTTCGTACTTTTTAAAAATGTTTTAAAAAATTTAAAAAAAAAATTTTCACCCCTTCTTTTCAAAATCAACCCTTATTTTTCGATTTTCACCCCTTCGGGTATTTTTTTTTATTTTTTTTATTTTCATTGGAAAGCTGAGGTTTTTTCCCATGAGCTATATAAATATGAAAATGGGACAACAATAATTTTGTGAGAAACATAATATTAAATTAGGCGGTGCCTACCTATATCCTCCAAGATGATCTCCAGGTATACCCGTTATCGGCACCGCCTGCTTTAATATTCTGTTTCTCACAAAATTATTGTTGTCCCACTTTCATATTTACATAGCTCATCGGAAAAAACCTCAGCTTTCCAATGAAAATAAAAAAAAAAAAAAAAAATACCCGAAGGGGTGAAAATCTAAAAATAAGGGTTGATTTTGGAAAAAAAGGGTCAAAAATTTTTTTTTTTAATTTCATATACATTTTTGAAAAATACGTGAAAAATGCATTAAAATTCATTATAGATAAATTAAAATCCATTAACTTTTGTCATAGTTATACGGATTTGAAAATGACAATGTTACCCTTAACGTCAAAACTTCAACCCCCTTTACTTTCTACAAATATTTTTTTAATGAGTTTATGTTTTAGGGATTTATTACTATCATATAGGACAACAATTTACCAAAGTATGAAGCCAATCCCAGAACATTGACTTTTTGGGCTGGGGCGATTGAAAAAGAATCTCTCATATATATAATAAAAAAAATGTCATATATATAAAAATGAAATGTTTTTTGTCAAGATTTCTTTCAATTTGCATTTTAAATTTTGAAAACATTTTATTTTATGTTTATTTAATCAGAAAAATGGCTGAAACTTGAAGAAAATGCACTCTTTTATTATCATGTTATATTGATCACAAAAATTGTCAACATTTTGTAGTTTTTAATTTTAATAAATATTATTCATTTAAAATTTATGTTTAAAAACTTGTAAGATCAGTTGGGGTAAATGGGGACAAAATCGCTATTTTTTACAAATTACGTAAGTTTCGTCCTTTAAAAGGTAATATTTGTGGGTTTATTTTTTTTAAGTTTTTATTTGCATTCCCAGGATTAATTTTATGCATCAGAAAAAAATTTAGATATAAGCTTTAAACGCATGATACTGACTGTCCCCATTTACCTCAAAATTGAGAAAATTTCATAAAATTTTGGGTAAATGGAGACAGCATAGTTTCTAAGAAAGTTTTAAGAAAAAAGTTTCCTTAAGTATATTACTGTATTAAGGGATGAAAAAACTTGAAAAAAATTTGTAGTAGATACATAATAGTTGAACCAATTGAAATTTTTTTATTTATTTATTTTATTTCAGTATTTTGTCGAGCATTTCAAAGAACCAAATTTTTTTCTTATTCCTTATGACTCCTATAACAGAAATTCACTTAAATTTTTGATTTTTGTTAATTTGGTTAATAATGACAAGCTGTCCCCATTTACCCCAAAAATTTTAAAAATTTTAAAAATTTAATTTTTTCACATTTTACTCAAACAGGGAAAACTGATAAGGCCTTACCAATGCCTTACTTTAAATAGGGCAAAGTCAGGCAATTTCTTCATGGGTATTGACGTTGAACTTAATTTTAAAACTGTAAATTAAGCTCCAAAACCTCTTGTCCCCATTTACCCCAACTGACCCTACTTGAATAATTACCAATTTTTTAGAATTCAGAAGCATTTAGTTTTTTCTTATTTATTTCGAGAAACAATCAGTATTTTATCTTTGAGATATACATAAATACATGGAGAGACCGCCGGTTGGAAAAATTACTAAAAAGATTTACAAGTAGCGGAAATAAGGTTACTTTGTCATATATTGCTGTAGGAAATCGAAAATTCTATTAGCAGCATACTTAATAAAACCTGTATACTATAGTAAAATTGCACACAAATTGGAATAGAAATTACTATAGTCTACAGTTTTATTAAGTATGCTGCTAGTAGAATTTTCGATTTCCTACAGCAATGTTTGACAATGTAACCTTATTTCCGCTACTTGTAAATTTTTTTAGTAATTTTTCTAACCGGCGGTCTCCCCGTGTAAGAATTTATTTTTCTACTAAAATGTTTTTTGAGTAATATTTATATTTAATTTGAAATAAGGCTGATGAATATTATTTAAAAATTTTTAAGAATATTAATATTTTGCTTCTGTTCTCAATTGTCTAATTGTAAATTTATTTAGAACCAAGTGAACTCCTCGGAGGATGTTGAAAGACTGACGGACTATACACTATTGTGGAAACAAAAATCAATCAATATTCTCTTTCGTAGATATCGTTAAAAATAATTACCACTTTTTGCACTTGAATATAAGACTTATTATAAATGCACAAGCTCTATAAATATTATTTCTTGGCTGCAATTATGTTTAATTATCGTCTATAAGTCGCGAGACTCGAATATTAAGAATTCCCTTTATCCCCCCCCCCCCTTGCAAAGGGGAGTACATGTGGCTATACTCATTGTCCGTAAAATGCACGACAGAAAGAAGGAAAAGACACAAGTAAAATGTAATCGGACTATTTTTTTCTTCAAGTACTAATTCTAAGTTAGAGTTTATTAAGCATCTTACAAGATTTAACTTGGAAATAATTTTAATGGAAAATATTAATTCTTTATTTCTATTTGATTTTATTAATTAAAATATAGATCGTAATAGATATTTGAAAATTTTATTGTTTAGTTAATTTTATCCAATATTGAAATAATAAGACTATATTTAAAAAAAAGAGAAAACATTTTAGAGGGAAAATTTTATACAAATGAAATGCATAATTTTAAAATCAGTAACGTAGCTGAATTTTCTTTTAAGACAATGTCATATTTCGGTGTTTGGAGGCCAACATTTTTAACATCACTTTGGGCAATTCGACTTTACACTCTTTACAGTATTAGCATATTCTTAAATAAGATTTTTTTTGTCATAAGTTTGTTAATTTATCTTTATCAAAATAAACACAAGCCAGCAATTCTTGCAGAAAATTTATATTTGTTCACAACACTGTTTCTATTAACTTTTAAACTAGCTTATTTCAATGTTCACCGACAAGATGTCTATAATTTATTAAACTTGTTTTTGCAAAAACATTGTCTTCCTTGTGATAGTGAAGAAATTCGTATTTATAAAAAGTTTCAGTATAAAGAAAGGTGAGTAATATAAATTAAAAAAAAGTTTTACAATTTATTAATATATATATATTTAATTAGAATTAAAGGATTTTAATTTATTTAAATTATATTTAAATTCAGAGAGTTTGTAAAATTTTATATTTCTTTTTTAATTTTAATTATTTATTTAGTTTATTTTTAATTTCTTAGAGATTGACAGATTTATTCATCAAATGAATAAATATTTGCTGGAGGCGCTGATTACGAATCTGAAGTTAAATTTTAAATAATTTAAAATGTCAAATCCAATATTTCGGATAAATTTTAGAAAAATTTTTTTAGATACCAAATTTCATTAAAATCTAACAATTTAAAAAAAAAAAATGTTCGCCATATTGAATTCTGAAAATCTAACTTCATATTCCTAATCAGCATCATCAAATAGACCTAATAAATACCAAGATTCATAAGATAATATGCCCAGTAAACAAAAAAGGTTTGACCTGAATTGCATTGAATTCACGAAGGAGCTTTGGTGAATCCCTTTTAGCGACAAATACGAATTCGAGCTATGTTGCAATTCTCCTGAATTCGATAAGCCTCTATTGAACTGACGAACCCTCAATTCGTTCGATTTCAGTGAAGTAGTTTTCTAAGCTTTAATTCTTTCTAATTCGTCTGCACGAATTCAATAAATGCGTTAGTCAATTCGTTTGAATTCGTGAGTTTGATCACTTTAGTTCGCTAAACGCTGCAAAGGGAGGGCTAACATCATTCTTTCTCGCAGTTGAGGTGCCACTAGATTTGTATATAAGAAGTGAACTAAAATTCTTTTCTCGTTGAAATATTTTTCTGCCCAATGTCTCTCCTAGGGTAACTGTGGATAATTCTGCTGCTTTTTAGTGTAGGTTAACTTTGCAAGTATTCATTGGAATTAGAAGTCACCAAGGTAAAAGCTTCCTGGTATATATATATGTATATATTTGGATGAGAGTCCCGAATATTCAAGATTTATAAAATTACTTTTCGGGTTAATTAACTATTTTTTTGGTTTAGTTATTTTCCAAATGAATTAAAACCAAAAATAAGGGGTATTTTACGTAAACTAATAATAAAATTAATTAATTATTAAAAATTTTATTAAATTTTATTAAATAAATAAAATACACGTTACAATATGTGACGCGATCTGAAGGAAAGGACCTTAGAAGCAAAAAATTATAGGTTACGTTTAGAAATTTTAAAGTGAAAATACACAAAGACGTTCAACTCGTAATGCAAACTAATGATATTTATGTCTTCATTGCATCCAAAACATTCAATAAAAACTGATTTCAGTTTTACAAAAACAAAAATAAACTTTTAGTTCAAGTAAAACTATTGTAAACATAACCAATAATTCATTTGCTTCTAAGGTCCCTTTCTTCAGATCGCGTCACATATATTATATATCTACCTATATTACAAAAAGATATCGCCGCCAACGCCGCCGCTGTTCCAAGACTCTGAATATAGCCGCGAGCCAAGAGAAGGGGGGTAGAAGAAAATGGAGGGGGGGGGACTTGAGGCTATATTCAGAGTCTTGAAACGATCTTAACCTTTAAATTTAGGGTTGGGGGAGGGGAAAGGAGGGGAAGAGAGGAGGGGGGATGGGAGTTGGCGCGCGAAGCCGCTGTTCCAAGACTCTGAATATAGCCGCAAGTCAAAAGAAGGGGGGGTAGATGAAAAGGGAGGGGGGCTTAAGGCTATATTCAGAGTCTTGAAATGATCTTAACCTTTAAATTTAGGGTTGGGGGAGGGGAAGAGAGGAGGGGGGTGGGAGTTGGCGCGAAGCCGCTGTTCCAAGTCAAGAGAAGGGGGGTAGAAGAGAAGGAAGGGACTTGCGGCTATATTCAGAGTCTTGAAACGATCTTAACCTTTAAATTTAGGGTGAGGGAGGAGAAGAGAGGAGGGGTGGGGGTTGGCGCGCGAAGCGCGCAGGGGGCATAGCCCTCTAGTATATATATATTATTGAATTTTTTTCAGACTCATTACACGTATCTTCGTGGGGTCTACTTTCTTTGCAGTTACAATGTATTTATTTTGGCCACTAACAAATGGAAAAGATGTTTCCTTACCATTCAAGAGATGGCTTCCATATTCCATTAATTCGAAGAAAATATTTTGGATGTCCTTTGCAATTGACTCCTTATCATGTTATATTAATTTGTTTACATACTCATCAATGGAATCGATAACAGCAATTTTTATGCAGCAAATTTGCACTCAAATTGATCTTTTCATAAAACGCCTGTCACAAATTACAAATATAAGAAACAATATAAGTGAAAACAAAAACATTTATCAACAAGAATGTAAACTATTAAGAGAATGTGTTGATCATCACGTTTGTATTTTTTCGTAAGTGTAATTTTCCCAGGCGCGAAGGGACGCTGGGTTCAGGCTTTTTAAAGACTCGTTGAGCATTGGCCAATATTGACTGAGCCTTGGTCAGTCAGTGGGAATAAGACTCATCCAAGCTAGAATGTAACACCGATTCCGACCTGAAGCTCCACCCTTGATTCAGCATTGGTGATCAAAACTCAATCAATCTTGCCGAATGCTGATTCAGGCTCGCTCAAGACTGCTCCCACTGTTACTTACTATTCTCGCGTTCAATAATTCTTAATAATAATAGTAATAATAATAATCCTATTAATATTTCGTTTTATTATATTTATAGATAATATTAAAACAACATTAGTATTCATTAAAAATGTGATTTTAATTTATTAATAATTAGGAGATAAGTTGTATTGGAATCTTATAAGAGTCAATAGAACTTATTTCCTTTAATTATTATTAGTAATTTCAAAAAAATGTACTATTATTTAATTAATTTAATCCGAAGTTTTTTACTATTTTTGTTTCATCACTTAAGATTAATTAACAACACCTGTCGAAATAAAACCTAATCTAATTTGAAAAATCTCACTTGCATTGGGCACCGAACCCACGACCTAACGCTTGCGCTCGCAAACCTACTACACTGTAAAAAAAAGGTACTAAAATAGTACCGATTTTAGGTATTAAAATAGAACCAAAAGGCAATTTAGTACCTAAAGTTGGTATTAAATTAATACCTCTCGTTTTACAGTGTACGCTAACCACGGGACCACGCTGGCTACTTGGCGACATTCTGTTAATACCAGTGATGTTTTTGGCGCGCCTTTAAGCTAAATTTAAAATCTTCTTATCGTTAAATTACTTATATATTTTTAATATTATTATAAAATTATTTTAATTTATATATTGCTATTAATTTAAATAAATTATATTAAATTTTTTTTTATTAATGGAATAAAAAAACTTTGTAATGAATGTATAAACTTTTATTTTTATTAAATTAATAACTTATATATTTATAAATAGTAAATATTATGTTTTTTACGTTATATTAAAGATTTATTATCTTCATAATGTATTAAATAATAATATAATTCTTTAATTATTACAATATTATAGGTATATTATAATATATAATAAAGATGATAAATTATTATAATATAATCTTAAAAAAACAAAATTTATTAAAAGAAATTATTTTCAAAAATGTGTTGAATATAATTATTTTGATTTTTATTGTATTTACAAATATAATATTTATAAAATATTTATTTATAAAAAAACAAAGAATACTTTCATTGAAATAAATAGCAATATATTAATTTAAATAATATTAATTAATAATTATAAAATATATTAAATTGTATTTAACAAAAATTGTAAAAAATATGTTATTTAATTTGTATTGAACGTATATAAATAATTACTCAATACAATTGTATTTTATACAAGATAATAATTAATATTGAATTACGCTGCGAATATTAAGTCGAAAGTTGATTCAAGATTGAATCTAGACTGGACTCCTAGGCTTTGCTCATGAGGATTCAACTAGTCTTGAATCCAGCATGAGACGAGCATTGGTAACCAATTTTGAACCAATTTTGATCGACAGTGGTATAAAGGCTGCTTTCAGTCTGGGTTACTGGTTATTATAAACTATATCACCGTCCAACAAAATTCAATTTTTTTTTGACCCACAAAAAATCAAACATTTTTGGAAACTAGGACCAAAAAAAGAATACCCGTGTCTGGCCGTTTTGTTAGATCAAGTCGTTTGTGGTTTTTAGAAATGAAAAAAAACCCTAAATGAAAAGTGACAAGATATCTTTTCAAAATTATTAATATTTTATAAAACCCCAGATACCAAGTTTTATAAAATATTAATAATTTTTAAAAGATATCTTGTTACTTTTCATTTAATAAAGGTTGTTTTCACCCCTAAAACCACAAACGACTTGATCTAGCAAAACGGCCAGATACATTTCCATTGGGCAGGTATTTTTTTTTGGTTCTAGTTTCGGAAAATGTTTGATTTTTTTGTGGATCAAAAATCGTGTCGGTCGATGTATTCTTAAGTTATTATTTTTTTTCATTTCAGAATGGAAAAAAAATTAAATGAAATTTTTGGTGTTTTGATCTTTTCTCAATTTTTTGTATCAATTTTAAATTTATGTACTTCTTGTTTTTATTTAACAAAATTGCAACCAAGTGAAAGAGAATTTTTGTTGTCATTAACAATGTTGTGTTTTTATATCTTTCAAATTTTTATCTATTGTCTATTTGGAGAGGAAATGACAAGAAAGGTAAATTATTATTTTCAAATCAAATTAGAGTATAGATAAAATTGTAAAATTAAATTCAATTACTTTTGTATAGTAGAGTTTATCTATTACTAATGAAATATATCAAATGGATTGGAATTCATTATCTGTACAAACTAAACAAAAATTAATAATAATAATGATGAGAGCTAGTCGTCCGATTCAACTAAATGGCGTTGTGGTTGTTGTTTTATCTATTGAAACATTCTGTAAAGTAATTTATTTTCTATATTTCTTATAATAATATATAACAATCATTATTTATAACCTTAAGAGCATTTGAACCTTCGTGACGTCACAAATCATGGCGCATGACACGCAAACTTCTCAGGTATGTGAAAAGCACAATTTTGAATATTTTTTAAAAAAACCTTTTGGAAAATATTCAGAATAACACAGACTCTGTCTGTTATGTGCGAAAAATTCAAAATTTTGCGTTTAAAACGTTTTTTAAACAATGCCTACATATAAGCAATTCGTGTATTTTTCCTTACTTGTGACAACCAACTTAAACATTGTTTAAAAAACGTTTTATACGCATAATTTTGAATTTTCCGCACATAACAGACAGAGTCTTATGTTATTCTGAACATTTTCCAAAAGGTTTTTTTAAAAAATATTCAAAATTGTGCTTTTCACATACCTGAGAAGTTTGCGTGTCATGCGCCATGATTTGTGACGTCACGAAGGTTCAAATGCTCTTAACATAATTCTTAAGCGATTAATTTATTCATTTAAGTGAAGTTCACAACTTTTATGATCAACGATTGAAACAAAAAAAAAAAAAATATTTTGCACATAGAAAATAATAAAAAATTTTCTTTTTGAAAATTGTTAATAGAGAAGTAATTACAAAAATGTTTTCAGCCAAAAAATTATAATAATTTCCCGTGCAGAAATTTTGGTATAGGGATCATTTCAAAGCTTTTTTTAAATTCAGTTAAATAGGTAAATTTTTGCACAAGTTGCATAAAAAATTACTTTTTTCAACGCTTGCTCTGAAAGTGCAACTTTCTTGGTTAGAAAAGTATTGAAGAAGTTGAACATTTATTAAATCCTCGGCCGAGCGTGAGGAAAGTAAATTTGTCGTGGGGAAAGTAAATCGTAATATTTTTTTTAGGTTTTCTTTGATCTGAGTGATCTGATTTGACTGCACGCAGGATTAGATTTCTTTGTAATTTAAAGAAATAAAATAAATAAAAGAACTTATTACTAGCGACATCTAACGTGACTTGAACGAACTACGTGAATAAAGTTTTAACTCTGAGTGTGCTCACACTTATCCATGAAAACGACCATAATGTTGCTTACAATTAGTACAAAAAATAGTGTTGACAGTTTTGTTCTGGTTTTTCGCTTTAATTTTTGTGACAAGATGGACTTTGATATCGATGATGATATTAGTGATTTAATAGATAATTTAACTCCATCTGAAGTACGAAACGAGGCTCTTAATGGGGAAAAGGATCTAATTTCGGAAAAGTCGCGTGGAAAGAATGATTTTTCTCGAGTGATTGCTACTCTTTTAAATCGTTATGATCATAAACGATATAAACTTCACCAACATATTCATTCTACTAACTTGAAGATAAATAATATTCATATTTTTTTTTCTTTACAGATTATTAAAGCATCTTATTCAACTTTAAATTTATTAAGAAGTTCGAATTGAACAATATTAATTTTGTTTTCATAAAATGAAGATATGTATAAAAGGACAACTAAAATTATTTTTGCATTGTTGACTTTGTCTATTACTAATAAAATATATCAAAAAAATTGGCGTTTCAATTATTGTTCATCTATTACTTATAATAAATAGGCAACAAATAAATGCCCTATAATCCCTACTGAAAATCCCCACATAGGCTCCCATATGGGAACCCACATGGGAACCTACATGGGTTCCTATATAGGAAACCATATGGTTTCCTATACAAAATCGTATACGTAATTGGAACAGGAATTTTAATAGGAAAATACATAGGAATTTACTTATGTAATTTTTATGAAGAGGCTTCAATTTTCCCATGTCAATTCCCCACATCAATTTCCCACATGAAATCCTATTTAAATTCCTTTTGAAAATACTATATAAAACCCTCGTTTGACCCTGCCCTTCAAAAATTTTCCTATATGATTTCCTTCAAGAAAAACGCATATTAAACCCCAAAAAGAGATCAGATATATAAATTTACAATAAATAAATTTGCATAATACATACCTGCTTAATTTTTGTGTTGTATATATAGAAATAAAAATGGAATTTTTCTATAACTCATTGCAATATGTAAGTTTTCAAAGTGTTTTAAAAAGAATGCAAACTTTCAAATAAATTTTTGCTAAATATTTAAACAAATTATTATTGCTGGTTATTAAGTTTCTACATAATGCATCTACAAATAAATGTTTGTTTGATAAGAGTCAATATTTTAATTAAACAAATTTGTTTTCCGTGTAATTTAAACATGAAAAATAAATTATTGAAAATAACTGCTTTTTTATGGAAGAATTTGATATCGGAACAAAAGATGGTTCAACTCTAAATTTTGGCATTTTTGAAAAGAATACAATTTAGAATAAAACAGTTTTGTAGATGACATGGAAACAATTTTATTTTTATCACTTTGAACTATTGATAGTTACTAGTAGATAAAGATTTTAAATTTGAGATTAAAAACAATATAATTTTTTTAGATTATGTTAGCGGAATCATTTTTTAATCTCAAAGAAACAAAAATAAAATTGTTCATATTTTGCCTAAAAAATTAAAAATTATATTCTATTTAAAACTACTTGGAATAACTTTTGTTCCAATTAGGTGTCCAATTCCTCCTTAAACGCAAAACTCGCACAAATTTAGATGTGTATAAATTTTTTATTACAAATCCCAAGCAGCACGATATATCACCTGAATATTTCCTCATTCTAACCGTGGAATATTCCCTCAATATCATAGAAATATTCCCTCACTGAAATGTCTCCTTAATGTCACCGTGGAATATCACTATGAGGCGGACATTTTGATTTTTCCAGAAGATCATGGGAATATTCCACGGTGTTATTGAGGGAATATTTAGGTGATATGAGGCAAAATTCCTGAACGGTCGAGGTAAAAAAAATTTACCCAAACTTTACTAAAATGTTGTTGTCACGTCACCGTAACATTTTTTATATTTATTTATGTAAAATTAATTTTTTCTAAAAATACATTTGTAAATAAATAATTGTTTTTAAATAAACAAATATTTGTTAACAAATATTTGTAAATAAACAATTATTTATAAATAAACAATTATTTATAAATAAAACGAATATTTGGGATTAAATCAATTACTTATAAATAAACAATTATTTATAAATAAAACGAATATTTGGGATTAAATCAATTATATAAATATTAAATATATAGTAAAATAATAATGTTAATGATCATAATTAATATTAAAATAATCAATATATAAAAATTGTAATTTGGGATATAGTGTTCTTGACATTTTGTACTATTAGAATATAGAAATCAACATACGGAAGTCACCAACACATAGAAGAAACGCTTTTCACGTCTGTGAGGTACCGATCTTGAAACTAACCCAAAGAGGCGAGCTGGTACCGCCGCGAAGAATACATAGGAAAATATACCTATATAATGGGAGACCTTTCACTTCTAAGGCAGTCCCAAAATTTATACGTGCGGCATTCATCGTTGCAAGAATCCAATACAGTTTTTAAGTGTCGTCATAGTTCATCAATTTAAATACAAGTCTTATATATACAAGTAAAAAAACATAAGTTTCAACAGTGTAAGCCGTTAATATTTTTACGAGCGGTCAATTACCTCCACAGAAGATCAAAGCCAGGTGCTACAAGAAGAAGATTTGAAAACACATCAAAACCAAAAAATAAGGTAGATTTCATCATTATTATAATGCATAATGTACAAATTGTCATAAACACTTATATTCCTTTAAATAAATAATTTTTATATAATAGATCATTCATTTATTAAAAAAACCTCTTCCCAACTTAGTTATTTTTTAACTAAGTTAAATTGAGGGTATTAGATTAGGGAACGATTATAAGTTCAGACTAGAAATAATATTTTTGACATAACATTGTCTTAGTTATTATAAGTGTAAATATAAACTTTTTTAATTTGAAAAAATATTTTATGAGTTAAAGAATATTTAATTTTAACTTTTTTGAAAATTAATTTCCTTCAAATTACTATATCTATAATAGAGGTGGACAAAAGTTAACATTCATATAGTAATTTTTAAAGGTCTTTTTACGGGCTATACGATAATAAAAGATTTATTAAAATAAAATTTGACCTTGAAATTCAAGGTCAAAAAATTAATTTCAATATATCTCGAAAACGAATTTTTTTTCTTTTTCTAATCTGACTTAATCGATAGTTCGGCTTATTTTCTATAAGATATGTTAAATCCAGAGTGGGATCTTTTAAGGGTTTTGAGATTGAAAAAAATGTATATTTACACTTACAATAATCAGGAAAACACTGTAGTAAAGTTTGGACTATTTTTTTTTTGACCTGGACCGATCAGGAATTTTGCCTGATATACCGTGCTGCTTAGGATTAGGTGGTTCACAACGCAAAATTTATTTTTTCCATGAACATATGCAATATGCATATAAATATAGTATATATAAAAAGCGCTATATTAGTGTTATTATTCACAAGTAAATTAACTGAATATTTATATAATTATATTGAAATATTAACATATTTTCCTGTCTCATTTATTTTTAAATTAGTTAAAAATAACTAGTTTAGTAGCTGAAATAGGTTGAAATAGTGATATTTCTACTAATCATTTAGTTAAAAATAACTAATTTTTAGTTAAACAATTAATTTTAGGTTATGTTAAAATAACTAATATTTCAGTAAAACTTTTATTAAAACCAATTCAATTAGTGAAACTAGATTTTTTTCCATTTACTTTTTAACTAACAATTAGTTCTTTTTTATTAATAGATGAAGCAAAAAGTGAGCCACGATTGTATTAATAATTAGTTATTTTTAATTAATTTAAATTTAGAGTGTGATACATTAAAAATATATTTTAAATTTATAAATATAAAGAATTTATACATTCATATACTAATATTACCATGCGGGTGCACATTATCCAAGCTTGTTTTACATGTATTTCGAAATTAATATACCATAGTTTATTAAAAGTATTTTAAATTTACAAGTATCCAAACATTATAATACAACATTTTTTAAATATTTTTGCTATTACAAACTTCACGTTATTTCAGGTTTTCATTTTAACTCTTTTTTAAAAAAATGGAATACGGAATTTCGAAAAGTGCTCAAGTCGTTCTTTTTAAATTTTTCAGGAGATACAAAAATATGATTATTTTTAAACAGTTTTAATTAAAAGAGGACAGCTTTTTTCTATATTTCTTAACTATTATGTTACATGAAGAAATGTCAAAATAAATGTCTGAAATGAGAGAGGATTAAAGAAAATTGATATTATAGCTTTTGAATTTAAGCCCTTTTTGAAATTAATATAACAAATTAAATCATTTTCATGATAAAATGGCATTTATAGTTTTTTAATATGGAAAAATTCATTTTCTTTATTTTCTGATGTTTGCACTCATTACGTAAGATTATTTTATAATCGTCAAATTTTATAATAATAATAATTTCGCAGGTTAAAAGTTTATGTTAAATAAAAGAAAAGACAACTTCATGTCAACTTTTCTTATGGAGTTGAGTCCTTTTCGAGTTTTCCTATTTATTTAATAACTGCATAAATTTGGAAGAGCGATAATGTACTCAACTTGGTCACCTACTTGTGCGTGCACGCATATTTTATCGATATCACAAGTATTTATGGCAATCTTATTTACATTTACAGCCACAATTTTTTGAATCATTTTACATTTATTACGAAAAGAGTTGTGCGTTACTACTTGGTGTACGATAGCATACTGAACCTCTAATTCTCGATCTACTATGAAAGATCTTATTTTCACATAAGTGCCATCTTTTAATATTGCGAAACTATTATCTGACCGCTTGTTTTTTTTTAACGACGTTAAATATAAACAACCGTCTTTTGTAATTTTCTGAAAAGAACGCGCTACATTAGAGAGACGCAACTCATCTATCAAATCCGAAGGTACCCTTGAGGACTTACCGAAGTATCTCACTGTAGATAATTTTTCAGTTGTTTTGATCATCAGTTTACTTAATTGTGTACAAAAATTTTTAACTTCTGAAGATGCAAAGGGGTCAACTCGGATTTCAAGAACTCTATAGCTCGAATTCAGAGTAATATATCTACAGATCTGTTTGTGAACTCCTTTTGCAGCATGGACAGAATTCAATAACTTTGCATTTCCGGCCTCAAACGCAAATGTTGAGTGTTCATACAGTGGTCCCCAGTTTAAAACACTACGAGCCAGATGTAGCAGAAGATGAATGTTAAACGTCATAGCGTATGGAGAATACAAACATTCCGTATCATAAACGAATTCATGCAGCAGTTGGTTAGCTCGATTAATCTCAAGGAGTGTAATTTTTGACCCCAGAAGAAGATGAATAGCTTCAACAAGCTTTACCCAATGATCTACCAATTTTTTATCAAGGTATAAGGACATAATTGGCGCACTGTAATAGAGAATCCAATTTTCCCATTCTCGGGCCTTCCAGTGTTCCTTATCCACTAATGACCGGGTAAGTCGACCTACTTGGTGTGGAACTTTAATTGAGTTCAAAATTCTGTTAATCTCTTCAATTTCCGACATTGTTAAAACACTGGAAGTACCTAATTTAACACCAAACCAAACATGAGCAAATTGTTTTCCTAGTCCAGATAAAATGTGCATAGGGTCAGGGACGAAACCATCAATTATATCAAACTTATTTAAATTTAATAATTCGGATGGATTTTTAAAACCATAAATCGGTTTCTCTTCTGTACATTCTTGCACATGTTGAAGAGTTTCTTCTTCTGTTCTAAGCAACCCTACTGGATTAATCCATGTATATTTATGGCTGCCACAATTTTCCTTATTTGGATTTTCTACCCACGAACCAGGATTTTTGCACCAAGGGCATCCATATTTACCGTTAAACTGGGTGAGACCTAGCATTGGAGCTCGGGCTATTGAATCCACGCAACAAACTAAGCAAAATACCTTAACTCTATCTTCCTTGTTATTTATAGTACACGGAATTCCTTCATCTCCTAATTCATTCATTTTAGTAACAAATGGTTCAAGAAATACATTCATTTCTGGTTTTTTTTTAGAAAACCATAAACCAACAACAATTAAGTTGTTTGTTTTAACAGAAAAGGGCAATTCGTTAAGCATAATGTATATTGGCCATATACTGTAAGTCGAGCTCTCAAAAAGAGGAGCACCGTCCGTATTGAAAGTAGCCGTTAGATATCGTTTTCTATCAATAGGATGAAGACGCTTCAAGAACCTTCGATACAATTTTCCGTCACAGATATTTCGAAAAATATCCGGTTCTATTCTTTCATAGTTCATTACGTTGCTATAATAATCACTATTCGCTTCTACAAGATTTGCAATTTGATCTGAAGGATCTAAAGTGACAAAGAAATTATTATACATTTGATCTTTGACATTTACATCAATATTACAAATGTCACATCTTTTCACAATATCTGAGGAACTAAAGGTACCAATATTTTTTCCGCAAGTAGTACATAATGCGTGATAAGTAGTAGAAGAAGTGGGATTAAACAATTTGTCAATTAGGTAACGACTCTCAGGAAGAATAGGTTTCGCAAAAATACAATTAATTAACTGGAATAAATTTGCCGTCGCTGTTAAAGTTAATGAATTCGCCAATGAATATTTAATAATCATCATTAAAACTTCTCCAACATTTTTGTTAACTGGAGTGTCAATTGGATTAAGTAAATCCATCTTGTCAAGAAATGAGTGAAGGTAATCGTATTTTTTCCTTTCTGCACTTCCATCATCAACTTCTGCGTCAGAATCTTCCTCACTTTCGGCAATAGAATAGGAATAACTATTGCTGACCTAAAAATAATATAAATAATAAATATAAGAATAGCTTTTTTAGAAAAGATGAGACCGTGCCCTAAACAAGCTACTTTAACTAAGATTCTTGAATGATTTCGAGAACTTGAAATTTTCAACATCTAAAGTTATTTTAATTTTTGTAATTTAGTCAAGTAATCAAAAATGCCCGATTTCAAGAATACATGCGAATACTCGAAATTTTTCAAGTTCTCGAAAATGTCGATTTATCCGAGTAAAATTATATATTTAATATATAATAAAATAATATTAAACTATAGCTGGACTCGACACGGCTACAAGAAAGTAGCTATTAGTTTTTTTTAGCTTTTTGAATACCTTCATTCCTTTATATGTTCCCTTATGGATATTAAATAGAATATCAAAAATTTAGGACGTAATTTCTTTTAAATTTGTTAAAAACCTCATTTCACGACTCTAAAATTTAGCATCTTTCTGACCAAAAGTGTTTATTATTAAAATTTCTTTATTTAGCTTAAAGTTAAAAAACATTTTCAAATACTATTACTTGTCTAATTAAATTAAAGGTCTTTCTATAAATTAAAATTTTGATAATTTATAAACTATGAAGATATTTCGATTATTATCTTTGCTCCGGCTAATACGTTTGCCTCTAATACGCTACATATATTATATAATTTGTTAAATGACAGAAATAAAGATTTTGAGTACCTGCTATTGGATTAAAAATTACTAGTATTTTGAATTTCATTAAATAAAATTAAACATACCGCAGAAAATTGATCTACTTCAAAAACTATAAATTTGAAAAATTTGGTTTAGTTTCATCGTAATTCTAATCTTTAAATTTAGTCAATGTAGTAAATAGGAGAATTTTATTTTAATGGAGGAAAAGAATCTAATTTTAATTTGCAACATTTTTAAAATAGCCCTTATTGAACTTCTGGATGGATTGCATATGTTGATTAATAATGTCAGGGATCACAGTGGTTTCTTAACCTGAAATAAGGGGAAAAGGGGAATTTTGTGTTCAAAAAAGGGGATTTTTCAATTAAAAAAGGGGAATTTCTAAATAAAAAAATGTTAATACATGTATATTAAACCATATTTATACACTTTATTTAGAAGAACTTTTGTTCCTTCCTTTTTTTTATAGAGCTCTTCTTATTAAATCAATCTGTTAAAAGATTAAAGAATATAAAAGAATTATTAAAATACTTAAAAAATAAAAGTAGATTTAATTTAAAAAAAATTAAATAACTTTTCATTTAAAATATTCTTTCGTGTTCGAAATGCATTTATACTGCGTCGCAACATTCGCTATGAGTCACCATGGGTCCGATTTCTCTAAACAAAACTGTACGATAGCCAAAAACACATGGCTCTAGTTTTCGTGAGAAAAGGGTCCTTTTTCTTTGTGCACTGTGTTGCTAGGTCGACGATAATGTCATTTTTGACTAGTTCTCTCTTGACTTTTGGTAAGTCAACCTCGGAAGAAAAATACTGAGATGATCAATCAAATTCTTCATTCTTGAGTTTAATTTCAATTATCCATGAGTTTTGCTTACCAAGATTCTTACTTATTGTCGTTACATTAAATAGAGTTGAGTTTATAAATCTTTCTTGAGTAATTTAATAAGTTAGTTGAGTTTTCTTTGACTTGAGACTCATTTCTCTTCCGAGCATGATCTCTGGACGAGTTGAACCGCGTTTGTGAGGTTTGAGATCACCCGCATCCTTGCAAGCTCCTGAGTTGAGTTTATTTTCAGCTTGCAAAGCAACCTTACAAACATTCCAGAGATCGCACACTTTGAAGAGTCTCGCCCTATTATCACACTAATTGAGTGAACACTTATTAAATATTCCAACCTGAGATTCTATCTTTCATTATTGTGATCAATATGATGTTTTGAACTTTTGAGACTGTTAATAATTTAAGTTTAAAGTTTATCGAGACTGTTTTTAAACTGAGATAATTTATATTGTGAGACGAGACTCTTTAAAACTATTAAACATTTATTTCTTATTTAGTTTATAAAAAAGTTCTTTTATATGAGTGAAATTAAGTTAAATTGTTCTAAAAGTATATGTTAACCAAAATTGCATCTAAGTGAATAAACTGAATTAATCTTCTCTAAACAAAATGTGTGTTTCATTTTAACTCCGAGAAGTTCATCTTTTAACACAATCTTTAAAAAAAAAAATTTCCTAAATGATCATCAGTTTTTGTTTTATCTTTTTCTTTTTACTGTAGTTTTTTTAAACGTATATTAAATTTTGTACAAAAACTGCGTCAATGTAAAAAGGGCCAGTTTTTGGATTTTTTTGCTTTATTTAAAAACTGCAAAAACTTTAAAAACTTTCGTTGAAAATTCATTCCTATTTTTTACTTTTAAATAAATGTATAAAGATTGTTAGCAATATTAAAATTTTTTTTTTAAATTATATAATTTGTTTACATTTAGTTTGAAATACAACTTTCTAAATAAGTCAAAAATATACTTTTCAGAATTTGTTCATATATAAAATTATTTCTTATAAATTAGAGAAATAATTAATATTATGAATTTTGATCCATTTTATACCGTTCAGAGTTTAAGTAAATTTATTTTTAAAAAAGGTCATGAAAAAGGAAAAGATTGAAAGAATATTTTAATCTTTTAGAAATTTCTTTTAAATTTTTCTAACATCACAAGTAATTTTGTTAAATAATTGATTTTGTTAAATAAGAATAATAATTTCGTAAGCATTGTCTTATATTATTAATTGTTTACCATATAGTTTGCTTCAAAAATTGAATGTCTCATTGATATTTTAAAATGTTTTAGGTAATTTTGTTAATTTTGATTTTGTCAACTCAGCTTCAACGTAAATTTTTGTGAGCTATTTGAATTAATTACACAAAACTAAATACTTATAAAAAAACTTAAGTCGTAAATTTTATTTTTACAAAGAAAAAAATAAATAAAATTACTGAAAAAAGGGGAAAAAATACCTGATTTTAGGGAAAAAGGGTATTTTTTTATTTAAGGGGAAAAGGGGGACAAACTGTGATCCCTGCTGTTGTGTTAATGAATGCAGATGTGCTGAATTGACGACAATTATTTATTAAAACCAGTAATTCTATTTTATACAAATTTCCGTTTAAATTAAGATTTGAAAGATTTCAAAAATCTGTGTAGGGTGCAGGAACCAATTGTCGAGGATATAGTGGGGTTACAAAGATATTAAATTCGTAACTCATAAATAAAACCTCCAATACATATTGCAATTATTTATTTGGGTAAAAGACAATCCTAGCTTTTATTTTTGATAGTATTTTTTTTAGAAAAATGTAAATTATCTTAAAGAAATTAATAAGTAACGAAAAGGTATGTAAAAACACCATTTCTCGAGCCTCTGATACCAGTTGCTCGATGTCTTGATCCAATTGTCGTTTTCACTATACACATTGCATGTAACCTATATTAATTATTAACCTTCCATTCACAATTTTTCATTTTGATTTAGAACTGCTTTCTTTAATGCAAATATTTTATTCGTAGAAATTTTTGAGAACATTTTTTATTATTTACCAATAAATTAAACATTTTTTTACTTGTTTCAACAAATCGAATGCTGAAATATTACTCAATCTTCAACTGATTTACACTAACTATTACAAATAACTATAATTACAAATAAAAAATTTAGTTTCTTTATATTTTGTGTTTTAATATTTTTTCCATTCATCAAAAAATGGGTATTATGTAAATACACAAATTATAGGACAATATATTTAATTTACTGTTTTAGCAAAAGGGTTATTTTGAGGTAAAGGTTAAAGGCCAAAAATTTTAAATTGTATTTAAAAATACAACAATTTTTTTGTGCAATGATATTTTTTTTAAAAGGAAACGAAAACATTTTGCTTCCAACGATAATTTGTTGTAATATATGTAAATCAAAATAGAGACAGTTTCAGAGTTGAAAGTTGTACTTTCAAATTCAGAAAAACAATGTTAATTAATTAATTTTTTATATTTTTAATTATTATTAATTTTTTTAATAAAATTTTTTTAATAATTTTTTTTAATTAAAAACATTTTTACCTTATAGTTTTTAACTTCATTTTTCTTAAATATTTTTTTTTTCGAATTTACAAATATGTCACATTTAACAACACAAGGAATACTTAACCTTTAGAAACAATAGAAAATTGACAGTCGAGATCTGGTATCAGTTAATAAAATACACGAAACCCATTTCTCGAGTCAAAAACTCGACAATTGGAGATGAATAAAAATTCAGTATCAATTACCGAGTTTTAATTTTATTTAAACTACCGTCAACCGGGGCTACTATGGTACAAAACACTCACTTTTTTCTATTCTCTGCTTTACCGGAATTTCAAACTTTATAAAAAAATTTTTTAAACTATTTAATTATGTTGTCGACATATCCTTCTGAAGATTTTCTGTATAAGTTTTATTGTGAACAATTTTTATTTACTTTTGTTATTTAAACTCAAACAATTTTTTCTTCAAATCAGGTTGTATGGAAATTTTCAAAAACATATTATAGAAAATATTTTTTAAAAAATTTCTGCAAAACAGCTATTGTTATGGGAATAATATATGACATTTATTTATTGTTTTTAGGTTAGCATTGATATTTTTAAAAAATTTCAAATTAAAAATTGATGATATATTTTCAATTTTCTGATACAAAAATAAGACTTTTATATATAAAAACGAAACACTAGAGTTTTTTTACTTGTTAGGAAATAAATTTTCTTAGAATAATCTTCATTTTTACAAATTTTTTTCTCAATTCTAAAATAGAATTCACTGATAACATTTTAATTATTCTGTCGGCAAACTATAAGACTACAAATACGGCAAGTGCCAAATTTAACCATTTCGAAATGACTGTTTTATAAACAAAAAACTAGCTTGTACCATAATAGCCCCAGGTGTACCAGAATAGCCTTGGTTGACGGTATTAAATATCAAATGAAATAATTAACAGGCTCTTCAAAATCTTTGAGTTTTTTAAATCCAATGATAATAATAAATGTATTTAAAATATTAAAGAAAATACTACTTTTGGAACTAAAATAATGCCAGTCACATTACGAATGAAAATAGCAAATGGCGTTTGTCTCCTGATTTGGTGGGTAATGCGTATAAAATTATTTTTTTCTAAAAAAATGATCTTGAAATTTAGGAGGAAATATTTTTCTTCTCACAGATATATTATTCAGAAACATTGTAAAATATTTATATTTTAAGTTTTCAATACAATTTACTATTTATTGACAAAAGTAGTCACCGCGGCTCGACAACTAATGCCGACTCGGTAATTGGTTCCTTCACCCTAATATTTAAATGTAATATTTCTATAAACATTCTCAAAATTAAGTTTAGTGAACATTTATTATTGAATTACTGTCTATCAAAATTATTACAGTTTACAAGAGTTCAAAAAGAACTCTGACAACTAACGGAAACTTCAGAGTTTTAAGAGCGTTACAATATATATGGAATAAGTTTTGTAAATACCTCATGTCTGTTTCCTACGTGGTAGTAATCTGGTGCATATTCATCAAGACAAATAGTTTTGACAACGCCTTTGACATTTTCCAATTTCTCATAGTCCCATGAAATTTCATTATCTTCACCTACTCGTGATAACTAAAAAGGTGAAATACACTTATAAGAAAATCGATTTTATTACATGAGAAAGACTATGAGTAGTAAAATTAGTTAATCATTTCATGTTGAAATACCTGTGTTATTTTTTCGAGAATATTAAAAACACGTAATTTTTCGTTTTATTGAAAAAGTTTTTAAAGAAATTTTTAAATTTGCGATTAAGATTTTAAGATATTAAAATCTTTTAAAATCATTGTATGTATTTTTAATGTTTTGACTATATTAAAGTGACTCGTTCTGTCACTAATAGATACAAGAATGCTCTTTTAAATCATACAGTTCCACTTTTGGATATCATGTTTTAATAAACAATTTTTTAAATACACTGCCGGTCAGCATCACTCTGAAAAGTAAGCATCTTATTATAAGACATATTGGTATTCACTTTTAAAACATTTCCAAAAAGTTACCAAAAGCAACTTAAAATCCATTAGTTTTTAAGATGGAAGATGTTTACATAAGATGTTTTAAACGTTTAAAAAGTGACTACAATGCACTTTAAGATACTTCTTTTTGCAGTGATTGTGGGACCACCCATTTATTGATGAATGAAAAACATGTCTAAACATGAAATGTAAGGACTGTATCGAAAATAAAGTGCACACAATATACTTTTTTTTATAACTCTCGCAAATTTACTCGAAATTTTTTTTTGTTATTTCTACAAACAATATTGCTTACTTAAAACAATATGTAAGAAAAAAAAAAGCCAACTTGAATTCTTGATTTTTATACGAATTTTCTTTTTAACATGCTTCTTTAAATTTTGCACACAACTTTTTTTTGTTCTGTTGCAAACATCCCGCTATACTACAACTTTCTTGTTAAGTTTTTTTAACTCAATTGTTTTATTATGTAATTAACAATGTCTCCTTTCAATTTTGTATAAAATTTAGAACCTGATAACGTTGTCGATTCCATTTTGGCGTACGTTTCATTATACATTTTAAGAGGGCAGTCCACGTTCGGGCCGTTATTTCGAGCCTCTTTTTAGAAATGGTTTTGTGAAGAAACCACACACGATAATGAAAAAGGGGGTTTTGTCTTCTATTCTACCACTCTTAAAGTTTCAAAATATTATATTAATTAAAAATAATAATAACACACGCGACCTTGAATCGTCCTTGACCGCAAAATGCTGCGACCAACATTTTGGCAAGATTTTGACTACAAATTTTGGTCAATCGAAACGTTTTTTTTAAATCGTTCATTAGACATTTCTATAGGTCAGGACACGAGCTTTTTTAAAAATACTATCTTGAGCAATTTTTACATCATTTATAAGCTCGCAAAAAATGGACAAAAAAAAATATTTTGAGAAAAAAGACTGCCAAAATGAGAGATTTGAAAATTTTTAAAAAAGCTCGTGTCCTGACCTATAGAAATGTCTAATGAACAATTTAAAAAAAAGGTTTCGATTGACCAAAATTTGTAGACAAAATCTTGCCAAAATGTTGGTCGCAGCATTATTGGAGGCCCGCGGTCAAGGACGATTCAAGGTCGCGTAGGGTAAAAGTACCAGTTATGGCCACTTTAAGCGGTTTGTCATTTTTTATTGAATAATAAATATACTAAAGCACTATATTTAATTATAATTTTTTTTATCAAATTCAATACATATTATTAAGTTGATTATGATAATCAAAAACATTTTTAACTTATATTTATTATTTTAAAAAAATTAAATTTCTTTAAATGGACTTTTTCACCAGTTATGGCCACTGAAGCACCATTTGTGGACACACTTTGTTCCAGTTGTGGCCACTGTTTGAAAAATTGTTATAAGTAATTAGAGTTTATTATTTTAACTTATATAGGAAACAAAATAAATTATTTTTGAGAATAAATTCATTCACTATAAAAATTATAACGCGAAAGCTACGAAATACCAAACTAAAATCATGTCTATTTAATCTATAAGAGTGGCCAAAAATGGTGTTTTTATGTTTTTGCTCGTACCTCTTTTGGCCATGGACTTTTTTTACTATTTAAGGATATTCTTTTAAAATTAATGCTTTTATATGGATATTTATCCTTCATATATGTATAAATAAGAGAAAGAGTATACAAATATTGCTATTAATTTTGAATAATAATTATTTATTTAAAAGTGATGTTATCAGGTTATCACGTCCTTTAATATAAAACCTTCAAAATTGTTCTGATTGAGCGTGTTAAACAATAAGTATAGTTTTTAATAAAACCAACTGAACTTCTGTCAAAAACAAGTGAACAAAGTATTGCTAACTTACGTCAAAATTCTATAAATGACCCTATAATCTAATAATAACTTTAAGAAATTTAATAATACCAACATTAATCTGAAAGTGGCCATAACCGGTACAGTGGCCACAAACGGTACTTCTACCCTATGTTATTATTATTTTTAATTAATATAATATTTTAAAACTTCAAGAGTGGTAGAATAAGAGACAAAAAACCCTTTTTCGTTATCGTGTGTAGTTTCTTCACAAACAACTCCTAAAAAGAGGCTCGAAATAACGGCCCGAACGTGGACTGCCCCCTTAAAGAAATTCACAATTTCTATGTCACGAAAAACTCATATAGCTTTCGTACCCCTGTTTCGTAGGTGGATATTTTTTACGTTTCTTCGAACATTCTCGCTTTCTATAGATCTTAAGATTATTTCCTTTGCCTTATTGAATTATTTCTTGTCTGGTTTTCGCTTTTTTTGACAAATCACAAATTGACATACACAGATTCCGTGCTTTCATAGTTACAATGACTTTCTTAAGTTTTAGGTCATTTGCACTTTTTTACGGTAAGTTTTCGGTAAGTATCTAACACTGTAGTGATTCCCAAACTTTGTAACAATATTTTTGACTAAATTTACAGCAAATTTGTTTTTCATATACGTATCGGACAGTTTCGACTATCCAATGCCATTTACAAAATTGAAAAGATACATTTACATTGCCAGAAGCAGTCGCTCAAAACTGTGCACTTTATTTTCTATACACTCCTTATGTAATCTTAAATTTTTTTCTGTTTATTTCTTATAAGGTGATAAAATTGTAAGAAGAAAAAGACCCACAAGAAGTGATTTGGTGAATTTTTTATTAAATTTTGAAAAAAGTGTCATTTTTAACGTTTTATAAAAATTTGAATTACTTGTAAAATTATTAACGAATTTTAACTTTTGTAGGCTCATTTTAAAGGTGATTTCCTACAGAATGAGAATTACTTATAACCATTGACGTGTAATTTTTTTCTTGAAAAATACAGATCACCAAAGTTCGACCAAGAAAATGCGGAAATTTATCATTGATTTTTTTTTTACTAAAAACCGTTTTGTAAAATATATTAAACCTGTCATTATTTAGTTTTTTTTAAAGAAATTGCTTAAGTTCTTCAGAAATTTATTTGATTGGCTCAAAATAAGCGCGTTTGTTTGAAATGAATTTTACTAAAGACTTATTTTGATCAATGGTATGTAATAATACAATTGCTCATCACTTCCGATTGCGGAAGGACACCAGTCTAGTGGAAGGGTAAACGTGTCTCAACTTTTCGGTAAGGATCTCTATGTACATATATGTAAAAAATCGGTGATTCCCCTTCTTCAGAAGTACACCCGAAAAATTTGTATAATATTTTTACCTCGTCAGATATGTTGACGTTAGTCTTAGAAAACTGTTCATCGTGAGGTTTGATTAATTTTTGAACACCGATCTCTCTGATTATATCTTCATTTAAATCTGTACTAGAATCGCTGGATTCCTGAAAAATTTATTTATTTTTTAAAAATAAAGTAATTTTACGTAATACAAAAAGTGCACTATGAAATTGTAATTTTATCAGATTGAGTTATTTTTTATACTGCTTCCAAAAGTGCTAACACAGTTAATTCAAATGTTAATTTTAAAAAATGACAATCTTCATATATGGGTGTACGTAAGTAATATAAGACATGATTTTTGTTAAAAAATAACGAATAGACTGCTATAATTGTGCTTTCTTAGAATTTTTAGAAATTTATTATTGAACAAATATTTTCTACGAGGCTGAAAGGAAATGTAAACTTCTTGTAACATTATCCATTTACATTATAAAGCAATTGAAAAAAATTAAGTTTTAATTTGAATAATTTAACATATTAATGAAACACTAATCAGAAAACTTAAAAATTTGAACAATTACTGTATTTGCAGATCAATACAAATAATTCTCATTTAACCCTTAAAGCACACATTGAGTGTTGTAAATTGCTAATACGATTTTTGAATTAGCGTGTCAGTTTTAAAACGCACGCATTTAGGTCTATCGGAACAACTTTTTAGGCAACCTTGTAGTGAGTATAAGAAATGTAGTATTTCTTATGTTATGTATTTTATATGACTAAATTACAACAAATTCATTGATAAAAATGTGAGATATTTATTTAAAGAAATATATTATTTCAGGAGAAGGTATGTATGCACATAGATTTTGATTTTTTACAATGCAAAGTTTCGCTTTAAATGCGTTAAGTATTAAACAGCTTTAAAAAATAAAAGTAATTTTTGAATTAAAACATTTTTTTTTATAAATAATTCAAATTATATCTACCTTTTTAGAATATTTTTGCTTAGGTTACTCAGTATTTAAAAATTTATAATCAGTATAGATATTTATTTTATTTTGCGAAGAATATCTATTTTGATTATCTATTATTTTATTAATATTACTTTATTATTTGAGAATATCCATTTTTGTTGTACGATAAACAGTCAATTTTTTATTTATTTCAAATTCCGTTCAGTACAAAAAACTGCGATATTTGATTTACAAACAAACAAACACACAAACACATAATATATATATTTATTTTAGAATGAATCAAAAAACGACTAACGGTTTCTTAAGGGCTTGTCCAAGTTGTGAAAAGTAAACAAACGAAAAATTAATCAAACCACGTCAAATTTGCGGTAACCTTCATTTGTATAAAATGTAAAAAATTTCACATTTTCTTTGTGAAAATAGAAAGTTGACGTTTAAAACTAGGTAAATGGGCTATATTCGGCTAAAAATAAATAATATTATTATGAAAACCATGTAGTTTAAAATGAGTTTTTATAACGCGGTGCAAAAAAGTACCGTTCGTAACTTGTGTTAACAGTTGCAGATTTTTAAAAAAGTTTTTTTTTGGGACGAGCTATAGGCGAAGCTTTGTTTCGCCTACAGCTTCTTCTTCTTCTTCTTTTTTCAAAACGCACGGTGAAGAAAGTCTAGCACCCAGACGGGAGGTTGAGTTAAGCTATTGGACGGTCACGAGAAGGAAAGGGAAATATTTTTCAAAGTTGCCCCTTCCTGCTCGTGACCGTCCAATCGCTCGATTCTACCTCCCGCTTAGGTGCTCACCGTCCGTGCCTCTGATATAGTCAAACAGCTTTAACTTTTTGTCACATGCGAAAAATGTTATTTTAAACTACATAGTTTTAATAATATTATTTATTTTTAGCCAAATACAGTCCATTTACCTAGTTTTAAACTTCAACTTTCTATTTTCACAAAGAAAATGTGAAATTTTTAAATTTTATACAAATGAGGGTTACCGCAAATTTCATATGGTTTGATTACTTTTTCGTTTGTTTACATTCCTCAACTTGGACAAGCCATTAAAGTTTAACTTTTCAAAAATTACGTAAAAAGATTGAAAATATTAATTTATCATAAAAATGTAGTTACTTAAAAAAACTTTTCGAAAAAAATATTTTACCATTGTTTATTCTTAAATATTTTTTAACAAATTATTTTTATATCAATAAAACTATATTTTTCATGATCCTGAGAAAGTTTCCTATTGATTACAAAAAAATTCGACTGAATTTCATCAATTTGAACTAAAGATGTATACATTCAAAGTATTCCGGGGTGCAAATCGACCATGTGTGTATCAAACGTAAGTTTTTGAAGTGTGTACTTTAAGGGTTAATACTCATAATACATGAGCTCTTACATAGTGCTTTCACATTTACCTCACTGCTTTTCTGGAGTAGCGCCTTTTTTCTGTTATACGCTGTAGTTCTGGGTACTTCTAATGCCCTTGAATATTAAAAAAGAAGTAACTAAATAATATATTATATTATATAGTAAATTATATAAAAATACAGATTTGCACATTACATTCTACGCGGAAAACAATTAAATGCAATATCAGCATTGACTGGTGCATTGACCTCACGAAACAATATATAAAAATATTGCCATTCAGCTCGAAAATTTCGTATCACTGCTGCATTGGGTTATGTTTGTCAGGTGCACTAATATTTTTTAGAGTACACTGAGAGAAATGAATAGTCAGAGTAACTACGTATTTATTCGTAAAAGGGGTGTTTATTTTCCTGTCTATTTTATTAGTACCGTTTAGTAATGTCTGCAGTAAGTTTTAATATTGTCCATGGCAAACACAACCATTTTTAATTAGTAAATATGAAATTGTAATCGATAATAATAAAGTAGTTGGTTTTACCAATTTTGTTTGTAAACGCAATTGTCACTACTGTAAGCGCTTTCAGACTGTCCACTCCACAAGAAAATAAAACTATATTATTGCATCACTTTGTGTTTTTCTGTTATCCAGTTAACTTTTTTACATTGTTCTTTGTGTCAAAATATGTGTCAACTGTGCGAATGTGAAGAAGATATTATCAGCAAGGAATTTTGAACAAAGTTTAGGAAGTTTTAAGTGTAATAAGTGCCTAACCTATAAAAGTGATGTACAGAAGGTTTGTATCTTATTTGCGGACAAATGTCAGATAGAAAACCACTTGTTTTTCATTAATTAATTCAAATCTCTGCAATTGAATAAAAAACTTGGTTTTCTATCTACTTTTGCTGCTAAGTAATATACATAACCTTATAAAATAAACTTTTTATTTGGAAAGCTTTTACCTTTAACCATTAATTACAGATACTAACTATAGTAGTTCCCTTTACAAATTTAAATGGTAACTTTTCTACTACTATAAATGGTATCTCTGACTATCGAATTAGCAGCAGAATAGTTTACTAACCAAAATGTTATTTGCAACCATTTTATTAGTTGTTTTAACTACTTAGTTCTCTCAGTGTAATTTTAATCAAAATTATTTATACATACCGTTTGTATCTTTTTGGGCGTTTACTCATATTGCTTTAGATACTTCATCAACTTGTAACTTCGACAAAAAACGATATTCTGCAAAAGGAAAATGAATAAATATTAACAAATAAAATGAATTACAGAGGACAACATTAATTTTAACCCGGCGAGCGCGACGCTAAAATTTGTGACACGGAGCGTGACGCAGGGTATTTTTTACCCTGCAAAGATTTCCTATTTGCATATTAAAAAAGGCTTGGATTCATTAAATTTCTTCACTATAATTGTTTTATGTTAACAAGTAATGTAATTTATTAATGTTAAGATACATTTTTTATTTGTTTAAACAATTTATTATTGATTATTTATAACATTTTCAAATAATACTAGAAAACAACATATTTTTATAAAAAAATATCACTTTCTTTTAGTGCTACTTGCTACTAAATTAATAATTCAAATAAGAGGCTTAGTTAAACTTCTTACTACTATTATTAAAAATTGTTTAAACAAATAATTGTTGTTATTTACTAACTTTTTTCTATGGCACCTAGAAAGATGCATTTTTTTCTAATTTTGCAACTTATCGAGCCAAGTATAATATATGATAAAGTATATATGCGTAATAATAATTTCAAAAATTGTTTAAATAAATAATTGTTGTTATTTACTAACTGTTTTCCTATTGCACCTAAAAATAGAGTTTTTTTTTCTAATTTTGCAATTTATCGAGTTAAGTATAATAGGAGATAAAGAATTTTGTGAAATCATTACTTCAACAATTGTTTGAACAAATAATTGTTGTTACTAACTTTTCTTACAATGCATCTAGAAAGATGCAGTTTTTTACTAATTTTGCAATTTATCGAGTTTAATCTAATAAAAGAATACTAATAACGGTTAATTATTAGTTCATCAGTAATGTAACTTTAACCTGACAGACAAGATTGAAATTTGAAATATTTTTGTTGTAAATAATAATTATTTGTTTAAACAATTGTTGAAACAATGATTTCACATATATTCTTTATCTTCTATTTAACTTAGCTCGATAAATTGCAAAATTAGAAAAAAACTTCATTTTTCTAGGTGCAATATGAAAAAAGTTACACTAAAAAAAAGTAGTAGATTAGACTACTTTTTAACTACATACCCTGTACAGTACAATAGGTCCTCAACTCAATTTTAAAATTTGTATTAACTACTAAAAAGTTGTTAAAATAACTAAGAATGTAGTTGATATAATAAGATTTTGTAGTTAGTTTTAAATTCTAACTACATTTTTAAGTTAATTGTACTACTAATTTTTAACTTCTTAAGAAATAATGAAATTAACTACACAAACATTGTTAAACTAACTAAGAAAGTAATTGTTTTAACTTCTTTTCACTTAACTACCCAAAGGTAGTTGAAGATTTCGGATAAATTTTTTTCAGTGTAGTAAATAATAATTATTTGTTTAAACAATTGTTAAAAAAATGATTTCACATACATTCTTTATTTCCTATTATGCTTAGCTTGATAAATTGAAAAATTAGGAAAAAACTACAACTTTTTAGCTGTAATAGGAAAAAAGTTAGTAAATAACAACAATTATTTGTTTAAACAATTTTGAATGATAGATGCAACAAATTTAATTTAATCCCTTACCTTATGTTCTGATTTAGTATTGCATAATACCAATAGAACTTGACAAATTTATAAGAATTTGCTTCTCTATGTTGGTTTTGAAATTGTTATAAATTAACAATAATAAATTCTTTAAACAAATAAATAATTTATCGTAACTTTAGTAAAATACTTTATTTGTCTGCAGTTAACAATTATAGTGAACTGCCTTGATGATTTCACGTCTTTTTAACAATATACAAATAAGAAAATTCCTGGTAAACTCTATAGTCCGCGTATATACATTGACAATTGTTGTAAATAAATAATAAATGTAAAAAAAAAATTTTTTACCACTCATCGCATTGTTATTAAAATGTGGAATAATTCAAGTTTTAATTGATTGGAATGAAAATAATGCAAAATTGAATTTTTGATTGATTTGTATTCGGAATAACTTAATTTTTAATTCATTAGAATTTGGAATGATTCAAGTTTTAATTGATTGGAATATGGATGAATTGAATTTTTTATAGATTATCTTTCGGAATAAATAAATTGTAAATTGATTAAAATTAGGAATAATTGAACTTTAATTTATTAAAATTTAAAATAATTGAACATTTAATTGACTCGAATATGGATTAATTGAATTTTTAATAGATTAACGTTCGGAAAAACTAAATTTTAAATTTACTAAAATTAGAAATAATTGTATTTTAATTTATTACATTTTGGAATAACTGAATTTTTAATTTATTGGAATTTGGAATAAATTATTTTGCAATTGATTGGAATGTGGATTAATTGAAAATTAAAAATTAAAAGAAAATTAATAAAAAAATTTTATCTTTGGACCATATTAAAAAAATTCCTTGACTTTTGATTATGCGCGCAAAAAACTTTTCGAGATAATAAAGTTAAAAAATTATAATTTTTTTTCAGGTAAATCTGAATCAATTAATGACAATATTGTCAATCATATTAAAATTATGAAGTGTTACTTGTCTATAATTAAAAAGAAGTAGACTACTTTTTTTGTCCATTTAAGGATCAACGGATTTGTAAAATAGATTATAATTTATGTTTAATTATTTACTGAAGATTTAACTTATTTTCGATGTTACACAAAATACCGATGTATAAAAATGAAAAATAGTTGACCTCAAATACTTTTAATAATAAGAAAACTCAATATCTCTCAATTGGCATCAAAATTTTACAACTGATAGCTAGAACTTAAGGTCCCTTTTCTTGTGCATGAGCGTCACTATATATTATATAATATATACATACAACTATATATACATACAAAATCCCACATAAAATCCCATGTGGCATGTTTATATATAGGATTTTATAAAGGAAAAAAGAAAGAAAGTTTTCTTACCTTTCTTTGGTACTTTGCAATTACTGACACTTTATTTGTTAGAAGTTCATAATATATACTTTTTTTATACAAACGTTTTTACTAAAAATTGCTTTAGAAATAAATAAAGAAAATATATATATATATAATCTATTTCGTGTACGTACCTTTCAATTGAAATGGAAGACAGTTGATTTTTTTTCAACACAAAATTGTATTAACACAAAGCATTAAACATATATTATATATAAAATAATTTCACAGAATTTATCTGAATATATGTAGCACAATATATAAAATTTTAAACAATGCACGTGGAGCAATGAATGTTGTTGGATCATGTACCCAGACTATGTAGTAGCAGAGATTGTAGTAGTTTAAACGCGGTGTGTTCTGTGTTACCATTCTTTTAAGGCTAACGCACAATAACTTCGGAAAACTACTTGAGGTATCTTATGATTTACATACATAGTTTTCTATATGATTTATATACATACATGAAAATCTCTGAAATTTGTAGAATGAGGTTTTCTGCATTAAATACTATTTTTCATCATGGTATTCTAGGTAAACTGAAAAAAATGACGATTGACCCATCCCTGGTTTAAAAGCGGATTTCGCGATTATTGTGCTTAGACTCTTAGTCGTCTCTCTCTCTCCCACTCTCTCTCTCTCTCTTTACCGGCCGGCTATCCCTTTTGTGTGCTGCATGCATCCTGCTGGTGTTATTTTATTGGCAAATTAGTCGTTTACAGAGATTCAAATATTATTTCATCGTCTATTTTTTATTTTACTTTTATTTAAGTGTCAAAATGGGAGCTGTTACATATTTATACGTACAGTGGATGTCAGATAAAGCCAAAGAAATTGTTAGCGTCCCTGCAGGCAAAACCTATTCTTCCGGTAATACTATATTTCTTCAAAGGAATGATTTCGAGAGCAAGAGCATTTCACATATCCACTTTGTTGGAGGTAAGTTGCTGCATTAATTTTATCAGATTTATATTTTTTTTCTTGCAATTTAAAATTGGCATATTAATAAAACTGCCTGATGCAACCTTCTTAGGAAAGTAGAAGGGACGGGGGTCAAACAATTTCCTGTCAAAGGGGAAAAAAATGACGACAGGGATTTAAAATCTTAATAACGATACCAAACAAAATGACAATGTCTATTGAACTTTTGGGGCATATTTGAGAAGTCACATGTGTTGGTCGTTTTTTTTAAATCGTGTTCTGTAAAAATTATACAAATTATCCTTAAGACTTTCATTAAATTTGTGAAAAAATTCCGTATCTTATAGACTTTAACTACCATGAAACTTCCATGGTATTTCTGTCAAATTTTAGAAAATTTTTAATTCAAATTTTTTTAAGTAATAAAATTTTTAAATAACATTAAAATCATTAAAAATGATCAATTTGACGAAAATTTTTAGTAAAAAATAGAATATAACACATGACTCTAAAAGTCCCACCTCCATGAAGTCCGCTTTTTCGTGAGACCAAAATAAAAGAAACATTTTATTAAAGATTTTAAGTCTAAAAAACGCCCTAAGAAGTTTTAACCCTCTAAGCCCATGGGAACAAAGCCATTTTTATCCTTCGCGATTCCAAAAAAAACAATAAAATTTCAATAAAACTTGCAAAATTCAAACAAATTTTGTACGAAATACTTTATTCCATCTTTTTAAACCTCTGTATACTAAATAAAAACCGATAAAACTTTAATAAAATGATTCGTTGTTTTTGGTTCCATGAAAAATAAATTTTCGACGCTGTGCGTCGACGCCGACTTCATGGAAGTAAAGTCCCGGGCTTAAATATTAAAGAAAAAATCTTTTTCTTGCAAAATTCAACGGGATTAAAATGTTATAAGTGTTGGAATAAATGTATCACTCTTCAATTTTGCAAAAAAAATGTTTTTATTAGCTGTAGGCCCGGGACTTATTGAGCTGTGATGTGTTAAAAATTAGTAAAATTTTAAAAATCTTGAATTGCCTAATGATTGCTCTACAAATCTTTGTCAATAATAAAGTTTTAGAAAATTATTAATTGTAGTTTTTTTAATAATTGCAGGCCTCGGATTGTACGTTTTTTCGACTTTTAGTAAAATGCGACTTTTTAAACTTTTTTTAGTATAAAATGGAATTTATTTCGTCTTTTATAGCATAAAAAATGACTGATCGATTTATTTATTTATTGAATTTTTATATGATAAAGCAGAACATAAAAAATTAGTTTTAAACAATTTTTGAAAATTTATTTTTGAGTTGAAACTTCTGTTTTGAAATTTTTATGAGTTAAAATCTTGAGACTTTTTCTAACTTAAAAATTATTTTAATTATTTCACTCAATATTATTGCTTTATTGAAAATCTCGAAATAATTTTCATAAATTTACTTTACATAAATAAAAAAATAATTGATAGTTCAAAAAATTGGTAATAAAAATGTTTTATTTTGAATGTAAATTAAAAAATTATAAATTAAACATAAGCTTTATATTATATTAATGTTGCAAAGTAGAAACATAATTTTGAAAGTTTTAGCATTTTTCTCTGAATTCAACAAATAAAGAAAGTAAAAAATTAACACTATTAGTTTATTATAAACTAAAATAAGCAATAAATTTGAATTCTATTAAAATTTCAATTGCTTTAAGAAATTCGTTGGTTGAAAAATATTTTAAACTGATTTTGCTGTCAAAATCGCGATAACGGAATTTTTTCATTGCATTTCAAAATAAAGTAATAAAAATAATTAAAGTTACAAGATATTTAAAAACAAGAATAATGAAATTATAAAAAAGATTCAATTTTAATAGTAATTTAATTTTCAAATTGTAAAATTTTTAAATAGAATTAAAGTTTTTATATATCAAAGAATTTAAAAAAACAGAATTTTGAAAATAATTGAATCTAAAAAGTTGCATTTTAAAAATAAACTGAATTATAAAAACATTGATTTAAAATTTACAAGAAATTGAAATTAATAATTGATTTTTACAGTAATTTATTTTCCAAATAATTGATTTTGGAAAAAATGATGTCTTTAATTTGATTGATTAGTATAAATATGAGTCGTACATGTAATTTATAAATTCTTTAATTTATTTTCAATTTAAAATTTAATTATTATTTGTTCAAAGCAACATTGCAAAAATGTCCTATATCCATTCTTAAAATTTTCTTTTTAATCTAAAGAACTTAAAAATTTTCTCAGTATAAGTCTGAAATATAAATAAAATTTCTTAAAAATATTTCTATGAATTATTTTTAATGACGAATTAATTTTTATTTATTACAAATGCTTGATTTTTTTCTTGAATCTTTATACACATCATAAAGCAGGAAATTAAAAAATTTTTATTTTGCACAATTTTTAAAAATTTATGTATGAGTTTTGGTATTTTGTTGTTTTTTGTATTTACAATTTTTATGAGTGTATATTTTAAGAATTTTTTTAATTAAAATTTTTTTTTAATTATTTGACTTGTCATTTTTTTGGGAATTGACTTTAAATAAATTTTTTAAACGTGAATTTAAAAGTTGTAGACGATTTCGACGATTTAACTCAAAAATTTTATTGAAAGTCTGAATTAGAAAATTTTCTATAAATCATATTTTAAAAAATTTTTAAGAAAAAAGAAACTTAAAATAAAAATACCTATTTTAATATAAAATAGCTAAAAAAACGAGTTTATGGCTTCCCCAAAGGCTTAGAGTTATGTCTGCGATGATTGCTATAGAAAAAATAAAAGATGAATCAGCAAAAGAAAATCTTTTTCTTTTATAATCTTAAATTAGGGAAAATTTTTCTTAGTTCTATTATAAAACATTCTAAATAAATAATGTTAGTTAATAATATATAGAAGACGCTTTATAATATTTCATAAGAATTTATTAACTAAATAATTTTAAAGAAAATTAAAAAATCGACTATTTTAACTATTTTATGTGATATATGTAGTACCGACTAATCTAAAGCTACTTTTTTGTACCGTAAAGTCAATTTGAGTTCTTTAATTGAATTTTCGATGAAATTTATTAAAATTATTGGAAGTAATTAATTCGACGAAGAGTTTTAACAGAGTTGCTACGCTTTCTGGAAAACTGGCAAAGGCAAATCAAAATAATATAATTTGGGCTCATTTAAGTTCAACTTTGAAGAGCTTACACCTCGATGTTTTTTGTTTTCATTTCTGGAATGCTTCCTAATGTCTAAAATAAAAAAAATTATCTTAGGCCATTTTTAAATAAATATTTTCTTGAATTTTTTAAAGAGGTTAATTAACATATTGTTACAAAAATATGTACAAATAAAAGCTTCATCGGCTAAAGTAATTAAAAATAGCGTAGAAAGTATGATTCTAATTTAAAAAGGGGGATTTTGTAATTCAAGAGAACAAATGTTTTAATTTCTAAAAAATAAAAATAAATTGTAATGATCAAAAATCACTTTCTTCAGTCTTTCATAATAGAATATGATGTTAGGTTCTAAAAAACGTCAAAAAATTTAATAATCCTAAACAACGTAAAATTTGATTGGTCTAAATTTCACCAATGATTCTTTTGAAATTCATTTTCTTACACAATTTTTATTATTTTTCATCGACAAATTTTTTATGCTTTCTTCATGGTTCTAAACAATGAATCGTATAAATTTTAAACAATTGCACTTTCTTTAAGAAATAAAATCTCTAAAATTGTAAAAAATAATTTTTTTAATGCAACACAGGCGTATTATGGTCACTTTACGTACCTGTATAGGCGAATCCAAAGTTCCTCCTTATAGCCCAGCGGTAAATAAAGTGCCCTTTATTACCCTAGGGTAATAATATGATAAAGTACACTTTATCACTCAAGGGTAATAATGTCATTCCCCTTAAGTCTTATTTTTCATTTTTAACCTAATTAGACAATTTTCTTCTAATTAGACACTTCTTTTTTTTTACCTTTTTTGAGGATATTTCAAAAAATAAAAAAAATTAGAAACCTTCTTCTAAAAATGATGTCTTCTTTTTAGTTTTAAATCAGGGTGGCCACGGGTCAGGAAAATCAGAAAAAAGTCAGGGAATTTTGTCAAAACTACTTTAAAAATATAAATTTTCTAGAAATGCTACAAAAATGCTGTTTTTTGAAAATTTTAATTCCAATTTTTACTGTAAAAAAACTGGTTCAATTTTTTTTAAATTTGAAATCTCTTTAAACTTTTGCATTTGGGAAAGAGGAAAAGACAAAATTCCGTCTGTAAATGAGGAAAAAGTCAGAAAAAACAAAATCAAATTGTTTTAGCAACCGTGCAAATTATTCTACATTTTATTCAGTTAATAATCCAATTATTCCAAATATTAATTAATTAACATAAAATCAATTCTATTAATTTAAATAAAAAAAATTTTTTATTGTAGAAAAGATTGAATAATGTATGTTCATTTACTTCCCACTAGACAAGAAACATCATTTTTACAATAAATTTACTTTGCCTAGTTGGTTTTCATTTTTCGCGTAAGTATAATATTGTTAGGTTAATTATTGACTTTTTATAGAAAGTGAGGAGGACATCCAACGACAAATTAAAGAATATGAAAGCAATAACAAACGCCTACGATTGCCTTCACAAAAATTATTGCAAAGCCAGGAAGAAGAGAGTCGGCCTTCTCAACTGGCTCAAAATTTAAAGTTACAGGTGTGTAAATGTATACATAATAAAATATACCTCACCAATTTAAATGAATTGGTAGACTAATATTTGTTCACACAAGGATCCAGAAGGTTAACTTTTCAAGTAAAAACATTTGTTTATTTAAAGGATACAACAATTGCTCAAAATTGTTTAAATGGGCATATCTTTTAAACCGAAAAAGATAATCAAGTTGTTTTTTTCATTCTATTTAGAAGAAATGAGACGCTTTAATTAAGTTATCACTTTTGTCACATTTGGTTAATTAACAAAGTTATTTAAATAAAATAAACTTACTTTTGCTGAAGACCACGAAATTGATCGGCTAAAAGTTCGAAATATTCCTTACGTTGCACTCCTTCACATCTAAAAGCAAATAACTTTTTTAACATATAAACTCGGCCGTGGTTCTGGAAATTACTGTTCGTTTTTTACGGTATTTTGAATCCTCAAAATCAACTGTTTTGGTTGCTTTTGACTTTTAATTATTGTGTGTTAGTGATACCAACATAACTCGGAAAAGTGAAGTTATATTTATAATATTTCGTGCACGAATCACACGAATCATGTTCATATTACTGACTCTCAATAATTGAATCTCAAAAGCAGTCATAATAGTTGATTTAGAGGATTCAAAATACCTAAAAATTGAGCAACAATTGAGACACCCAATAGAATAATCGGTCGCGCGCTCGAGTCAGCCGCTCTACTCCTTTGTTCTACAAAAAAAGTCAAAGGAAAAAAGATGAGCCTTTTCATTTTCTATAAAGTAGTATATTTTAAAAACCAAAATTTTGAATTTCATTTTTATTTCGTAAGATGACTGACTTCAGAGCGGTCGACCTGAGTGCGCGACCGGTTATTTGATTGGATGCCTCAATTTCGAAAATCACGGGCGAGTTTATATGCCAGAAAAGTTATTTTCTTTTAGATGTGAAAGAGTGCACACAAGGAATATTTCAAACTTTCAGCCGTTTAATTTCGTGTTCTTCGGTGAAAGTAAGGTTATTTCGTATAAATAACTTTGTTAATTAATTAAATATGTCAAAAGTGAAAATAATTGAACAGTTAGAAAAATATACGATTAAAATAGCATTTCCGCCAAAAGTATAAAAATCATTGTATACAATTTATATCATATTTCACCGTTTTCATAACGCCTTTCAATCAATAATGTTTATACTATTGGCATAAATGCTATTCATGCAATGAGAAATACAGGTCTAACAAGTGTCATTTAAATTGGTGAGGTTACTCCGAAAAGTAGTAAATTTCTCGTGGAATGGCACTTTATATATTATTTATATTACACCCAGAAAAAAGATTTCTTTGATTCAAAGAAATCAATTTCTTTAACCTGTTTTCTTTCATTCAAAATAAAATTTTCTTTGAAACAAAAAAAACTTATTTGTTTCAAAGAAATTTTCTTTGAACGAAAAAAATGCATTGTTATATAGGGTCAAAGAAATATTTCTTTGAATTTAATAAAAAATTTCTTTGAAACGGAGATAATTTTTTTCAAAACAAAGATAATTTGAAACAAAGAAATTTTCTTTGGATCAAAGAAAAATTTGGCAAAAAATTGATTTCTTTGAATCAAAGAAATCTTTTTTCTGGGTGTACATTTATTTCTTTCTACTTAAAATATAGAAATCGCAGATTGCTCTCGCTAAGAAAATTCAAAATAAAAAAATTTTGGAAAAAAGAGTACAAAAGAAGAATATTGAAATGGAAGTACTGAATCTATCCGATGAAGAAGGAAATAAAAATCTCGATGATAATGAAGAGGTCTTTCAAGAGAATAGTTTACGTGACGAGGGCATTCAAGCAGATCAACAAGATGGCGGAGATTTGCAACTAGATGGTGTGGATCACGAGGATCTTCGAGAAAATTGTGGTGATATTCAAGAAGGTGGTATAAATCATGAGGACCCTCAAGGCGACAGAAACGATCATGTAATTGAACAGGACTTTCAAGGCGAGAGTTTACATGACGAAGGTATTCAAATAGATAACTTTGGTGAAAGTGACAAAGACATTCATGTAGATCAACACAATGGTGTAGGTGAAGGGGGCTGTCAGGTGGATGGTGTACGTCATGAGGATCTGCAAGAAAATAGTGATATTCAGGTACATCAAAGCGATGGTGCACGTGAGATGCACGTGGATGAAAACCAACTAAATGCACCATCCACATCGGGAGGAGGAAGATCACTTCATCGGCTACGAAGATATGACATATTAAACAATAGGGTATTATACTTATTAAATAGGTCTAATTTTCTTATTTAAATTAAAAAATTTTTAAATGTTTATTTTCAAGTGGTTTGTTGTTTTTAATAAATATTAAAAACGAAGAAATTAATAATAAAAATATCAAATAATATCATTTTTATTAATAAAAATTTTAAAGGGTCTGTAAGTCAGGGAAAAGTCAGGAAGAACAAAATCAAATTTTGGTAGGAACCGTGTAAAATTTTAAATTTTAATCAGTTAATAATTCAATTATTCCGATTAATTATTAGTCAAATGAAACTTTAATTAAATCAAATAAAAATAAAAATCCATTCAATTATTCCAAATGTTAATTAATTTGAAATTAAATTATTCCGAATATCAGTCAAATAAAAATTTTATTTTTCCAAATGCTAATCACTTTTACTTTTTAATCAGGAAACCATTCACTGATACAAAATTTAATTCATAATCTAAATTTAATTTATCAAAATTTTGAAAGATAAAAATTCAAGTAATTTAAATTTTAATCAATTTACAATACAAATATTCCATATCTGAATTAATTTTTTATTTACCTATATAATTGAATTTCAGTAGAATTGAACTTAAAATTTTTGTACATTTAATCTGTTGAAAACTTTTTACAAATTTTTCACACTTATTGAATATTAGAGAATTTTTAAATGACAAATGTTTTAAATAATTGAATTCTGGAAGAGCTGAAGTTAAGCTTTTTTAGAAATAATTGATTATCAGGAAGTTTTAGATAAAATTTTTTTAAATAATTGAATTTAGGAAGATTTGAAGCTTATATTGTTAAAAATAATTGAATTTCTTGAATTTCTTGAATTTCAAGAGATTTTAAATTGATAAGTCAAGGAATTTTGTCAAAAGTAGTGGAAGAATATTAAGTTTTTAAAAATGCAATGAAAATTATGTTATTTGAAAATTTTAATTCAAATTTTTACTTTCAAAAATTGAGGCTCTGGATCGTAAGACATCTCCAGGCCGCCTGTGGTAAAATGTTGAAATCTTTCACAAACAAATTTTAACAATTGTTTATTTATAGTTAAAAAACAATTGTGAAAGATTTATAATTGTACCACAAGCGGTCTGGAGATGTTTTACAAATTTGAGCGCGTTCCCTTTTAAGATCCGGAGCATCAATTATTGTCTTATTTTTTAAAATCGCAAACCTCTTAAAATGTTTTCATTTGGGAAAGGTAAAAATTCAAAATTTCTTCTGGAAATCAGAGAAAAACAAAATTAAATATTAGTGGTAACCCTGCTTAAATTTTAACGCACCCCGATTAAAATAATTCAATCGTTATAAAATAAAGGTATAAATTAATTTCAATTTTATTTTTTTAATATCGTTTTTACTTTAATAATGATAATAGTTTTTACTTTAAAGTATTTCTCTTGTTAAAAAAAGGCATTCAGAAAAAAATAAGATTGTCCTTTAAATAATTAAAATGTTTTTCTACATTATATTCTTTTGAAGAAAAAATGTCATTTTTTGAAGAAAAAAATTTGTAATACAAAAATTATTCATTTATAAATATTTTTAAGTAATCAAACTTCTTTCTCAAGTCGCTATTATATAAGTATTTAAAACTGATGCAATTTTTGTTTACTATAGCTTAGTTTTTATATAAATAAATTATTTACAACTTCACCCAATCGAATTTTCAAAAAATGCATTGTTTTGCGAAATATGATTATTTGTTTAAGAAATTATGCAAAATTTTCTTAAAGTTTTGTGAAATTTTTTTAAAGCAATAATCATATTTGCAAAACAATGCAGTTTTTGAAAATTCAATTAAGTGAAGTTGTAGATAATTGTTTGTTTTCCACTATTCAATTACATTCTTTGAAAGAAAAATGATAATTTTCTTTAAAATCATAATTTAAATGTAAACGACTTCTTGATTTAAATCAAGTTGACTTAAGGTATTACTCGCGTAGATTTTTTTTGGCAGATATTTTTTAAACTGCACTTGATTATTCTTTAGATATTTATCTACAAAACAAGATTAATTTAAATAAAATTGACCGTCTCTAAGTCTCAAAAAGTTAATTTAAAGTTTATACTTTTTACATGTACAAGATACGAAAACCATGTACTGATTACAGATTTTTATTGTTTGCATAAATATTTCTCGACAGATTTAAAAAAAAATAACACAATATTTATTGTACAAAAATGAACGTGTATTTAAAAAATGACAATTTTTTATCGTTTCGTTTGATAAATATTTAACGTAAAAGATGAAAAATTATTAAAACATTTGCTGACTTTGAGAGACGAATGCGTAAACGTGATAACGGCGCTTGTTAAAGTGTACAGCTCGTCGGCTAGTTTAGGCGCGAAATTTGAAATAAATATGTGTTCAGGACTTGCGACGTTGCCACGCTCGCTTTTCTGTATTGAGATTTTTTCAAGTTCAAATATAGTGTAAAACTGTACCTGCGCAAAAGTTTTCTTTGCAATTCGCATCTATATTCGTTTCACAAGGATAGTATCAGGCACAAACTTTTGAATATTACTAGTCGCGCGAGTAATACCTTAAATCATTACAGCCCTGCTTTAATTGTTTCCAATACATATTTAATATTTAATTTTATAAATGTAAACATTGCGTATGCAATTGTTAACACTATTGATAACGAAGTGAGAAATTAATCGTTAGTTTTCCAATATCGTTAAAAACTTTAAAAATGATCTTTTTAAGTTATTCGTATTTCTTGTTTTAGATTTTTCTTGGAGGTGGCAATATCTTTATGAATTTAGACGATTGGGAGACTTTAAATTCACGACGAAAAAATTCGTTGTGGATTATTGACTTTGCAGAAATTCTGTGGCCAAATGATTTAATAGATAAATGTTTAGATAATAAAAAGGCACGACCTCGTATAGATGGCCAGACCAGGACAGTTTTCACTCCTAAAAAACTGAAAGTATTGGAAAGTAAGTATATCTTTTCTAAAAAGGGACAATAAGATTTTGGAGTAGGGGAGGATTGGGCAAGGATAGTTAGGTAAGACATTTTTTGATCTAGCCGTGAAATTTCAACTGGCATCGGAAGAAGAATAGTATCGTTTGAAAGCCTGCTTATTTATCTACAATTTTCCTACATATTGCTTTGCTGTAGTTTGCAATGCCTTCGACATAATAATAATGATAAAAATTTGTTTTTGTTTTTACTGAGAATGATAAAAAAAAATTATTAAATTTGATTTCTCATTATTTCAAGGTATCAAATTATGTTTGTCATAACTTAACAATAAAAATTATTGTTCTACTTAAATGGAATCATGTTTAATACAAAATTTATCAAACCTGTTTTTTGTGAATTTTTTGAAAAACAATTAAACTATTAAATCCCGGTATATATAAAGCCATTAGCATTTCGTTTACAATTAAAAAACGGTGTTAGCCAGACATTACCTTGTCATTAGTATTGTAACAAGGCACTAACTATTCTTGCCCCATGAGCTCTTTTTTCGAATTATCACAAATTTTTAGTACAAAAAAATTTTTTTTTTTAACGAATATGCTATTCGTATTTGCAGCACAAAATTTCACACGAGAAAACATTTACGCAACCAAATATATATATAATAAATTGTATCCGAAAAAATAAGTTGAATAATGTGAAAATATTTTAACAAAACTGAGATTTAACACAAATTTACACGTAGCTACAAATGGTGTCCCTGCAAGCTCAAATTTTTACTCTCGTCTTTTGGTGTTAAGGCGGTTCCAGAATAGGTGCAAAAGCCAAGTGCAAGTACAAGTCTAAATGCAAGTCCCATGAGTGCAAGAGAGATAAATAGACTACCTATCTCTTTTGCACTCATGGGATTTGCATTTGTACTTGCACTTGTACTTGGCTTTTGCACCTATTCTGGAACCTCCATTAAGACGAGTGTACTTGATAAATGGCCCGTTTTTTTACCGAGACGTTTTTGCTTTAGAGTCACTAACTATCCTTGCCTCTTAACTATCCATGCCCCACCCTTCCCAATTAATTTTTCATATTAAGAAAAAAATCGCTAACAAAACTAAAATTTAAGTGGTCTATCTCTTACAATCTTTTTTAAAAATACTTTCTTTTTCTATTAAGTTTTATTTTAAACTTTCGCATGTGTTTATACATCAACATTTTGAAAAGTTATTTTATCCCAATTACAGATTATTAAAAATAAAGAAATCGTGATTTCAACTGATTAAAAATTTTAGAAAGGAATTTCTTGTAGCTCGCCTGGTTAAATAGGGTTTATTAATGATTTTTACTTGTTTGAAGTGATAATTTTTTTACATACAATTTTTTTATTCATAATTATTTTATTCAATATTTTCCTTCGTTTAATGTTAATTTCCGATATATGAAAATATACATGAAGTTTGTAATAATAGTTGAAACAGATGATAAGAATTTATTTTACAAACTGCTAGTTTAATCGTTTGTCAAAATATAAAAATGTAAGCTTTTTCAGTGTCTATCAAAATTATAAGTTACTATAAACTATAAATTATTTAATAAAGTCCATAATATTTAATATTGAAGATTTACTTGACAATTCTTTAGAATCTATGTAGAAATTCTGTAGAGTGATTCTAGAGAAATTCTATAGAATATTCTATAAAATTCATGTAAAAACTCTATAGAATCACTAGTGAATTTCTATAAGTATGATTCTACTCAAATTCTATAGAACTTTTTTGACTGGGAACTTAGAATATTGATAACAAATTTTTTTACTATAATTTACGATGTTTTCTTTGATGTACAAAGACATACGAAAGTTTAAAATAAAATTTAATTGGGAAGAAAAGATTTTTTAAAAAAGGTCGTTTGTATGAGACAAACCTCTTAATGTATCGTGTCGTTTAAGGCACAGGGTTTAAACTCCGACCGAACCTCAACTGCTTGGTAAAAACGCTAAAAGTCGTAACCTATACTGAACAAAATATTTAGATCAACGTCATTTTTAATAATAAACATTAATACCTATACATATAGGCATTAAAATATTTGAAACTTCAATATATACAATTTTAAGGGGACTTTTTGGTTTAGAATTGACAAAAAACCACACGTTTTAAAAACTTTTATTGTAAGAAATGTATTAAAGTTAATGCAAAAATTCTTTTTGGACTTTGTTACATATAACGTGGAGAAAGTTAAAAAAAATTTTGAGAATATTTAGTACAATTTTGCAGCTGTAGGTAGTGTTTTCCAAAATGTACTTTTTTGATGCACTGGATTTCGGACAACTTGTAACCCAGGAATTAAAAAATCAAATGAGAGTCTCTTCATAAAAGTTTATTCCAGACAATAAACCTAAAGAACGATTTTTTAAAAAGTTCTCTTTAAATTTTTTATGCACATTTTTCTCAAATCACAAGACGGCTGTGTTTTTGTGGCAATTTACCCACGTATAAAAAAAAGAAGTAGAAATATTACATTTTAAAGGTTTATTGTCTAGAATAAACTCTTATGATGAGATTCCCTTTTGAATTCTTAATTTATGAGTTACAAGTTTTCCGGAATCCAGTACAGCAAAAAAAAAATCTTTTGGAAAACGCCACCTACAGTTGCGAAATTGAACTAAATATACTCAAACATTTTTGTTTAATTTTCTCCACGTGATATGTAACAATTTTCAAAAAGAATTTTCTGAATAACTTTAATAAATTTTCTTACAATAAAAGTTTTTAAAAAAGTGTGGTTTTTGTCAATTTTAAACCAGAAAGTCCCCTTAATTATTAAAATTTTAAATATATATTCTTGCAATGAAAATAAATTTTGAATTTCAGAAGTTTATCGAGACAGACTAAAGAAGCAGGGAATTAAGGGAAAGAAAGCCCTAAGGGAAAAAATAAAAGAAGTCCGACAGAAACTTACGCAAAAAGTTAATGATTTAAACAGACGAAAAGGAGGAGGAGGAGAAAATTCCTCATCAACCTCATCAACTTCATCCGAAGAATCCGATTAGTTTTTTTGAATACATTTAACTTTTAAATACATTTAACTTGGTGAACCCAAGTTTTAGTACCGTTTATTTATTACTGAAAAGTTAATAAGTATGTTTCATGTGATTAAAGGTAAATCCTGAATGTGATATGATGTTCGTCTCAACGAATTTGTGATATTGTCCGTTGAGACCAACTGGGTCTATTAAATATTCTTTTGTGTTTATATATTTTTAATTTAAGATGTGTTACTATTCTCGAAATGTTTAATTGCTAATATTTTTAACAGTAACATTAAGATTAGAAACTAGTATCACTAGTATAAAAATTATATTTTTGTTTGCTTCGAAGACGATGATAATTTGTTTGGCGTTATTTCAACGTTGACGTCCACATTTTGAATTAATCGTACATATCAATAGGTCTATTAGATATTGTTTTCTTGTTCGCAACTGGAGATGTTATGTTACTTGTGTTTAATTAAAGTTCCATTGTTAATATATTTAAGCGTAACATTGGGATTATAAATATTTTTGTTTCGTTCTAAAAGAGTGATACATAATTTGTTTCGTAATAAACATTGACTGTGTTAGTTTTACGTAAGACAGAATTGTATAAATAACGAGAAATCCGTTTCTTTAAGTAGAAAAAACTTTAAATTTTAAAAGTATTGGAGTTAAAGTGGAAACAATGTCCGTACTTTTTATTAAAAAAATTGGTATTGAAAAGACATTTTTTTTCAATTAAAAACCAAAAATATGAAATTTTGTTACACGCGAACATAAATGTTAATGACATTGTTTTAAATACTTGAGATATCTATAAAATATGCGCGCAAACTGCAGTGTCCTAAAAAACAAAAATTTTATAATTTCTTTTCTTCGTGAGTAATCAGAAGGACAAAATGCTAACTTGTTACCTAAATCTGTATTTCTGAAAATAAAATTTGTAATAAAATTGATAAATAAAAAACTGAAAATGCGTATTTATATCTTTTTTAGAGTCCATTTTAGGGGTTTAATATGCGTTTTTCTTGAAGGAAATCATATAGGAAAATTTTTGAAGGGCAGGGTCAAACGAGGGTTTTATATAGTATTTTCAAAAGGAATTTAAATAGGATTCCATGTGGGAAATTGATGTGGGGAATTGACATGGGAAAATTGAAGCCTCTTCATAAAAATTACATAAGTAAATTCCTATGTATTTTCCTATTAAAATTCCTGTTCCAATTACGTATACGATTTTGTATAGGAAACCATATGGTTTCCTATATAGGAACCCATGTAGGTTCCCATGTGGGTTCCCATATGGGAGCCTATGTGGGGATTTTCAGTAGGGATCCTAACGTTTGAAGCTAAAAGATGTGAACTTGGAGAAGTCTACTGAAAGACTGGCTACTGCTATACACTGTTGCGGAAAAGAAAATCGATCGATTCTTTTCTGTATTATAAGTCGTGACAATTATTATCGCTGGTTTTAGTCGAATATAAGATTCATTATTTATGCAGTAGCTCAACAATTATTCTTACCTATGCGTAATTATATTTAATTATAAGTTGCGAGAGACAGTAATATTTTTAATTCTCTTTGAATAATTATTTTCTAAAGGGAAGTTGTTGCAACTAAATTGTCAGTATAATGCACAACATAAGGGAGAGAACACTGAAAAAATCTATAAATTGACATTGTCTTAAAAAATCCAACAGGAGTTTTATTTTGTTTATATAGAGCATATGGATCCTTAAAATATTTGATATTCTTCTCTCCCTTACAAATAAAATATGAATATTTTGAAAGTATTTTATTCTATATTTAAAAAATTATTCTGAAATTGAAAACTTTTAATAAAGTAAAATTTTTTAATAAAATTACTGTATAATGCAAGTTGAAAGTGAAAAAGTAGCTGAATACTCTTTTAGAATGTTGTCAATCACTGGAGTATGGAGACCGATATCTTTCACATCTGTTTGGCAAATACGCCTTTATAATATTTATAGTGCTATTGTATTCATATTTAACAACTTTTTTGTATCTACTTTTTTAATTAATCTTTATCAAAATAGAAGTAATCCTGAAGTATATATAGAAAACTTTTTTTTCTTTACGACTACAATTTTAATATGTGTGAAAGTAACTTATTTCAATATTTATCGAGATGATATTACTTCTCTAATTAATATGTTTGTACAAAAAAATTGCCTTTCTCGCAATAATAAAGAAGCTGCAATTCATCACAAATATAACGAGAAAAAGCGGTTTGTAAAATTAATAAATTATTTCAGTGCTATTATTAGAATTTAATTAATTGTATTAATTTCTGAAATTTTAATTAAGTACACACAAAAAAATTTCCCTAGTAGCTAACAATGTCAACTCATAGAATTATTGTGGACAATCTACCTTACAATATATCTTAATTGAAATTTTATTTAAAAGGTGAAATCTCAAGCTTTCAATTAATTTATTAACGAAACTTGTACGGCGAATAGTTTTTATACTAGACCGGAAAAACTGATTTTTGTTACTTTTCCCCTTGGTCTCCCCTACGTCCCAGAATTAACTTCTTTATTTAAAAAAAATTCCTCTGTAAAAGTTGTCTTACGTTACTATAATTTTTTCAGTTTCAATGAACGTCTTTTTGTTCTTTCTACTTTCTTCACAGCTACACTATATCTATTGTGGCCATTGACGAACAGAAAACATAAAACATTACCAATTAAAAGCTGGATTCCTTATGACATATCATCAAAGACAATATTTTGGATAACTTACTTATATCAGTGCTGTGGTATTTATCTTGAGGTTTTATTTTATACTTCTACAGAAACGCTTTTAACAACATTGATGCAACTTATTTGCACTCAGCTCGAAATCCTCATCATTCGACTTTTTGAAATTACGAATTTTAAAAAAATAAAGTATATGAAAATGGATATTTATCAAGAACAGTGTAATATCCTGAAGGATTGTGTAAATCATCATGTTTGTATTTTTTCGTAAGTTTAGAATAAGACGTGTCACATGCTATAACGCACTGAAAAACAAAACCCAGAAGTTGAATATCGTGTGGTTTTATATTAATTTTTTTGTTTATTCTCTTGATTGGACGTTTCATGGTCTGTAAAAATTCCCCGCAATGAAATGAACGCAAACCGTATTTGAACTCTTTCTACTCAGGTGTAGAATAAGTGCGCTTGATGGATTATTGCATGTTTTATGCTCTTAAAATTTATTATGTTCACAACTTTAACTAATATCATCTAACAATTTTTTATTACTTCCTCAAAATGAATTTGTTTTTCCATAATTTTTAACTTAATATGTGCCATTACTCCGCACTCTATCCAATAAGAGTATAATTTTTTATTTTCTTTTTTTTTTACTAAACAATTGAATATGTTTATTAGATATATTTAAGACATGAAAAAACATGGAGACGAATACTTACATGCTAGTAGTTTTACCTATATAATAGTGATGATAAGTCATTCTCAAAAAGCATTTTCAGACGGTGTAGCACACCCTAAAAAAAGTAATTTTCAATCTAGAGGATTCCTCTAAAATAAATGCATATTTTCCTCTTAATTTTGGTATCAAAATTATTATTCTTCATTTAAGAGGATTTTCCTCTTAAATTAAACGTCGACATCCAAACCTCGTAAAATTGTTTTTAATGTCAAAGCCATCAATAAAATAATTATAATTTCAATCAAATAATAAAATCTTTGCAGAAAATACATTTTTTAATTAAAATTAAGTAAAATTATAATAGTTCATTTCAATATAATAATAAAAATTGTTTTTTAATATAACATTAACAATGTCATGTTTTTGGTTAATTATCAACATTTTATATTGATAATTAAAATACAAAAAATAAGTTTTCATTAATCAGTTGTAATGATCAACGAGATTTTCAGCGCAAAAATAATTTTAAAACATGATGATATGTTTAAAAGTTAACATTTTTTATAGGACAGAAAAAAATTTCATATATGAAATTATTTAACGTTTTAAAACTTTTTTAAAAAAGTAAATAAAAAGATTTAAAAAATTCGAAAGATTCAAAAATGGGGTTATAGTATTTCTATTTACCTGAGTAGTAAAATTTCACAAGAAATATCCAAATTTTTTTAAATCTAAAAATAGCGTTAAAAATATTCATTTAATTTGAATTTAACTATATTTTCTGTATTTTTAATAAAGCAAATCCATTTTTTTGTCCTTTTTGTTGACATTTTACCAGAAATATTAAAACTGAAAGGTTAAAAAACAACTTCACAACTATCATACCCAGGGAAAGGGATCAAACGATTACATTATTTTTTTCCGTTTCCTTTTTTTAAATCTTCTAAATTTAAAACGGAAAATCTTAATTAAAGAGGAAAATACAAAAGGAATCCTTTTGTCATTCTTCCATTAAAATGAAGAATAAAAATATTCTACATTTCAATTGAATAATCTTGTTTTAAGAGGAAATATTTAGAGGATATTAGAAGAGGAATTTTCCTCTAAGTATAAGATTACTTTTTTTTGGGTGCAGGCTTAATGAATATTATTATTATAACTATGTGTCCGATTTTTAATTTTCATTTTGCGACATTATTTATTAAAACAAATAAGTTGAAAAATGATCAAACAGTAATAAAATTTACATTGTATGGCAAAAAGAAAATTAAAAATCGGGCTTAATGACGATCTGGGAAAATTTTAAAATAATACTAAAAGTTAAAAAAACACGTCAAAATCAATCAAAATTATTGTAATCTGCAGGGGATTGTGAACCCTAAATTGTCATTTTGAACAACTAAACTGGGTCATCTATCCTGATTTTATCCCTTACCAATTAAACATTTTTTCATTACAGTGGTTTTTTAAAACAAGTTAATTTACAGAATGGAAAAAAAATTAAATGACATTTTTGGTTTCTTGATCTTTCTTCAGTTCTTTGTTTCTGTAATAAATTTATGTACCAGCGGATTTTATTTAACAAAAGTGAATGCAAGTGGTGCATATTTTTGGTTTTCGGTTATGATATTGGGTTGTTTTATCTTTCAAATATTTACACACTGTTATTTTGGGGAGGAAATGACAAGGAAGGTTAATAATTTTTATTTCAAATTGATTACACATAATTTTCAAATGACAGTATAACAAAACATTATCAAACTGAATTTGCAGAGTTTGTCTATTGCTGATGAAATATACCAAATGGACTGGAACACATTAAGTATACAAACAAAGCAAAAATTGATAATAATAATGATGAGAACCAGCCGTCCGATTCAGCTAACTGGCTCTTCAGTTGTTGTCTTATCAATAGAAACATTTTTTAAGGTTAATTAAATGTTTTACATAATTAGACATTCAACAATTTTTTGTTTTAAATTTTTTTATGTATATTTAAAAAGAATTTTTTATTTTATTATTTCATTATAATTATTAATTATATATTTTATTTTTCTATGCGTAGGTTTTAAAAGCATCTTATTCATCCTATAACTTGTTGAGGAATTCTAATTGAAAGATGCCATTGTTAATATAAACTTTTGTAAGACAATTTTATAATTAGCTATAAAGAGTCATATTAAAGAGTAAATATATTCAGTAAATAATTGTAATTTAAAGTATTAAATATTTCTACCAAGATAAACATAAATTATTTATAATAAAATATTCGAATTAAACACTGCTGTAGTGGGATTACGAATAGCGCAAGTCGCTATTTAGGGTTAAAAACTTACATATTTTTAGTGAAATTTGTTCTAAATGATGTTCAAAATAAAATAGCGTTGACAGTGTCTTTAAAACTTAAACTGCAAGATCGTAATTCCAAGGAGAATATAAACATAACCCTACTGAATAAGACCTTTGACATAGAATTCATGTCAATTTCCAGAAAGATTTTATCTACTTAGCAAACCTAAATCTGTAAAACTGATACAATTTTTTTGAGTCACCCATTAACTAAAAATTTTTTTTAAGTGAATGTAGCTTCAAATCGCTATTAGCGAAATTTTCGTAGCGCTGTTGCCATTCGTAATCCCACTCCTGGTTTTTGGATACTCCTTGGACCTTCTTTTAGTAATTCCACAACTTTTAACGGTGATCCAATATAACTTTAAAATGACTTACGGGATGTTTGTAATTGCTACATTAGTTCTGACACTCGGCTACGGAACAAGTCATTTAAGAAGAAGAAGAAGTAATTGCTACGTTCAAACTGTTCATAGCATCATTTTCGCCTCTCTTACCTAGTAAAATTATAAATTAAAATATATATAATTTTTGTCACATTTTACAAAAACTTCATTGGTATTAGTTTTTGGGATTCTATACAACAAACATATACCCAGGAAAACCCTTAATGAAATACTTCCCAGATAGCACAACTGTTTGCTTACACAGCACATGATATTTCTAAAATATTTCTTATAATATACTCTTATAAATTTAGGAAATATTTCACAGAAAGTTAGAATTTTTTTAAAATATGAAATTCATCGATATTTTCTCACACGTTCAACACTTTAGGATCCTAGAAAATTAAAAGTGTGCGCAGCTGTAGAGGCCATAGAAACTGAGATCGACCATACTTATTTTAACTCTGTGTGTAATTAATTTTACTCTTTTTAATAAAATTAATAAAAATAATTTCTTTCTTTTTCACATTTTACTACAAAATTAATTAAATCAACTACAAAGTCTGAAACAACTACAAAGAAACAACTACAAAATCTCAATCTACCAAATGGATTCTTGGGTCATTCAACTACTTTCTGGTAGTATAATAATTAATACAATTGAGGACACCAATGCAATAACCAGACAGACGCTCGGACCGGCCGCGCTGAAGCCAGTCAATGAATGAAAAAGTTGAAAAAATTAAAATTCAAAATTTTGATTTTTGAAATATACTACTTTGTAGAAAATAAAACGGCGCATCTTTTTTTCCTTTAACTTTTTTTTGTAGAATGAATAGTTTTGACAATAATTGCAAAAAACTAAATATTTTCAATCAACAAATTTTATTGAATTTTTAAACACAAATCGTTCCAGTTCCGACAAATATTAATAAATTTACTTCAACTTTGGTATATCCACGCATTTAGGTCTAGAGAAGACGATAGCATGATGAAAAAGTTAAAAACCGTAAATTATTTAATTATTTATTAATTTAAATAATAACTTACCTGTACTCTCGTTTTCTTATCTTCGCAGACAAAAAGTCTGTGGGGAACTTTTTCGTTGAAAAAACTTCCAGTGAGATATTTGTTCCTCACATATCGAAGAAGTTTTGTGGAAAAATTCAGATCGATTTATTCAAAACTGACGAAGATACACAATTTTTAATGAAAAACACGCAACGCTTTGGCTGATTTGTGTGTTTATATTGCTGAACATCGACCTTATCGACAATGCCGTCTGGCAGTGTGGATCGTGGATCGCGGAATTATTTTGATTGGCGTTGCGTGTTTTTCATTAAAAATTGTGTATCTTCGTCAGTTTTAAATAAATCGATCTGAATTTTTCCACAAAACTTCTTCGATATGTGAGGAACAAATATCTCACTGGAAGTTTTTTCAACGAAAAAGATCGCCACATACTTTTTGTCGGCGAAGATAGGAAAACGAGAGTACAGGTAAGTTATTATTTAAATTAATAAATAATTAAATAATTTACGGTTTTTAACTTTTTTATCATGCTATCGTCTTCTCTAGACCTAAATGCGTGGGTATACCAAAGTTGAAGTAAATTAATTAATATTTGTCGGAACTGGAACGATTTGTGTTTAAAAATTCAATAAAATTTGTTGATTGAAAATATTTAGTTTTTTGCAATTATTGTCAAAACTATTCATTCTACAAAAAAAAGTTAAAGGAAAAAGAGATGCGCCGTTTTATTTTCTACAACGTAGTATATTTCAAAAATCAAAATTTTGAATTTTAATTTTTTCGACTTTTTCATTCGTTGACTGGCTTTAGCGCGACCGGTCCGAGCGTCCGTCTGGTTATTGCATTGGTGTCCTCAATTTTTAAATTTAATTGAAAATTTTTTTAATTACACCCTCAAAAACACGGTTTTTGGAGACTTTACCCCCACTTTACTTTAAATCCTGATGTGATACGCAATTTTGGAACCCGCGTTCGTGTTCAGGACACAAAAATACATTAGAAACCACATTGATATCTTAAAAAAACCTTGTAGGCCTGTGTTATTAACCCTCAATTGTCATTTTAAAGAACTATGCTTGCTCATCTATTCTGACCTTATCCCTTACCAATTAAACATTTTTCCATTAAAGTGTTTTTCAAAACAAGTTAATTTACAGAATAGGAAAAAAATTAAATGACATTTTTGGATTCTTGATCTTTCTTCAGTTCTTTGTTTCTGTAATAAATTTATGTACCAGCGGATTTTATTTAACAAAAGTGAATGCAAGTGGTGCATTTTTTTGGTTTTCGGTTATGATAATGGGTTGTTTTATCTTTCAAATATTTACACACTGTTATTTTGGGGAGGAAATGACAAGGAAGGTTAATAATTTTTATTTCAAATTGATTACACATAATTTTCAAATGACAGTATAACAAAACATTATCAAACTGAATTTGCAGAGTTTGTCTATTGCTGATGAAATATACCAAATGGACTGGAACACATTAAGTATACAAACAAAGCAAAAATTGATAATAATAATGATGAGAACCAGCCGTCCGATTCAGCTAACTGGCTCTTCAGTTGTTGTCTTATCAATAGAAACATTTTTTAAGGTTAATTAAATGTTTTACATAATTAGACATTCAACAATTTTTTGTTTTAACTTTTTTTATGTATTTAAAAAGAATTTTTTATTTTATTATTTCATTATAATTATTAATTATATAGTTTATTTTTCTTTTGCTTAGGTTTTAAAAGCATCTTATTCATCATATAACTTGTTGAGGAATACTAATTGAAAAATGCGATTGTTAATATAAACTTTTGTAAGACAATTTTATAATGAGCTATAAAGAGTCATATTAAAGAGTAAATATATTTAGTAAATAATTGTAATTTAAAGTATTAAATATTTCTACCAAGATAAACGTAATTTATTTATAACAAAGTTTTCCAATTAAAATAAGGTCAATAATATAGAATATCTAACCGGTTTAATTGGAACAAAAAAATTCATTAACGACAAAAGCGCAGGGCAATTTATAATACCATTTATAATTTTAAAAAGAAAAAGTAAATCGTTGTACAAAAATCTTTGTTTTAACGTAATAGGTTTAACTAGTGAGAAAAAAAGTATTTTCAAGGCCTAAATGAGCCTCCGGAAAGTAAAACCACACATAGAATTTCCACGGGGGGTGTTTGAGTTGGCCCCTGATGATTAAAAAATCGATTTTCAAAAAATGCAATTTCATGACCACTATCTTATAGGAAATTTTATGGCGCATCTTTTTTTTTCTTATGAAAAAAATTCATAACTCTTACCAATTTCGAGAAAAATGCAAAAAACTGTTTTTTTTTGAAAACACAAATTTAATTAAATTTTTTACTTCAACTCGATGGCAAATGAAAAGTTATGACTATTTTTGGATGAAATTTATAAGGGATATAGTTTAAACTATCCTAAAGACAACAAACGTTGAATAAACGCAAATTTTTTCATTTGAAGAAAGTTAATAATTTTTTTATTGCGCAGTGTAAAAATTACGGTTTTCAAACTTCAGGCGCTAGGTTTATCTGAAAAATTTTCACTTCGGAAAAACTTCCAGTGAAGAAGTTGTTCATTAAGGTGTAATAAAGATTTTTGTAGAATAGTTTTACAATCCGATTAACCGTTTAGAAAATATAAGTAAAAAACTATTTTCCGTCATCTGCGCGAGAGTCAACAATTGGCCGCTTCCACGGAGCAAGGCACGTTGCCATCGCAGCGGTTTCAAGGTCATTTGGATTTACTTACTATAGAAAAGGTAACATTTATTTATGTATTCTAGAAAATTTTTTATTTCTTAACCCTATTACATTTTTGATTAAACAGCAGTCTTTAACAGTATAAGCGTAATACTGTTTTGCTTCCTCGTGGAGGAAGCTATGTAGTCCTTTCGTTTATAAACTTTTTAAAAATGGTGAAAACAAATTTTCCTCTATATAGAAACATGTTATATGAGATCCTGATCAATTGTCCGGATGTATGTATGTGTGTGTGTGTGTGTGTGTGTGTATGTGTGTGTGGATCGTTTTTGTGAACACGATATCTTTAACAGGTTTTAATGGATTTGGATAAAATTTGGTAGGCTTATTTAGCTCATTAATCTCTCAAAAATGACGAGAGGATTTTTAAAAATACCCCAAAAAAAAAATTTTATCGTCTTTTTTCCAAAAATTTTTATTTCTTAACCCTATTACATTTTTGATTAAACAGCAGTCTTTAACAGTATAAGCGTAATACTGTTTTTTGAAATCACAGCACTCCTGTTTCAAAAAAATATAGTATTGTTAACTGAAAAAACAATACACGATTTTTTTTAAGTCTTTGACATAATACTATTTTAAAAAAATTAATTAAACATTTTACATTTAAAAACAAGAAGGGGGTCCTTTATGTTTATTTCATAAACATTATGCTTCCTCATTATGTGAAGCAAAAAATTCGCTTCCTCGTGAAGGAAGCAATGAATTTGTCCAATTCAATTGATTGATTTAAAAACTTTCGAATTAAAAATGTTTTAAATTAATTAAATTTTTTGAAAAATAAAGAAAATTTTAATTAATTTTGAGTGTAACATAAACTTTATATATACGAATCGATTCGTTTTAATGCAAGGAATACAATTATTTTATTCATCAACTTGAATTTAAAAAAAACACAAAATTTTTTAGCTAAAATATGAATTTTCGATTTTTCAATTTTTATTAATTCTCAAATTTTAAATCAAATCTATACTTTATATATACCAACCAATTCGTTTCAATGCAGGGAATAAAATTATTTCATATATAAACATGAATTTAAATAAACACCTCATTTTTTAGCTAAAATGAGAATTTTTGATTTTTTAACTTTCTTTAATTCTTTAAATTTCAATCAAATCTATACTTTATATATATCAATCGATTCATCTTGACATAAAGAAGACGATTATATTATATATTACCTTAAATTTTTCGATTTAAAAATTTTTTCAATTAAAAAAAAATTTTTGGAAAAAAGACGATAAAATTTTTTTTTTGGGGTATTTTTAAAAATCCTCTCGTCATTTTTGAGAGATTAATGAGCTAAATAAGCCTACCAAATTTTATCCAAATCCATTAAAACCTGTTAAAGATATCGTGTTCACAAAAACGATCCACACACACATACACACACACACACACACACACACATACACACACACATACATACATCCGGACAATTGATCAGGATCTCATATAACATGTTTCTATATAGAGGAAAATTTGTTTTCACCATTTTTAAAAAGTTTATAAACGAAAGGACTACATAGCTTCCTCCACGAGGAAGCAAAATAATTAGTAGAATATTTTTCATTTAAAAAAAATATTTTTATTAAAACTTGTAAAACTTTGATTTTAGTCTAATTTCTTCATATATTCAGAATCTAATTTAAAAAATTTAATTATAAAATAAATTTCAATAAATAACACTAAAGATTTTCTATTGAAAAAAATGAAACTTCACTTACCTTATTTCTTTTTATTTTTCGCAAATTATCTAACCAAAATTCTTTATTCTGTAGTCTCTTTCTACCAAGATCCGAGCTTCTGATGAAATCAGACATCTTTTTAAAAAAGAATTTACGTACTGCTAATCCAAAATTAAATAAAAAGAATACTTTTTTTACATTCTTTAAAGTCATTAGTTACATGTTAAAAGACTTCTGGTACATATTATAGTAAACAAAAATGACCTTCAGACCGCTGCGACGGCAACGTGCCTTGCTCCGTGGAAACGGCCAATTGTTGACTCTCGCGCATATGACGGAAAATAGTTTTTCACTTATATTTTCTAAACGGTTAATCGGATTGTAAAACTATTTTACAAAAATCTTTATTACACCTTAATCAACAACTTCTTCACTGGAAGTTTTTCCGAAGTGAAAATTTTTTAGATAAACCTAGCGCCTGAAGTTTGAAAACCATAATTTTTACACTGCTCAATAAAAAAATTATTAACTTTCTTCAAATGAAAAAATTTGCGTTTATTCAAAGTTTGTTGTCTTTAGGATAGTTTAAACTATATCCCATATAAATTTCATCCAAAAATATTCATAACTTTTCATTTGCCAGCGAGTTGAAGTGAAAAATTTAATTAAATTTGTGTTTTCAAAAAAAAAACAGTTTTTTGCATTTTTCTCGAAATTGGTAAGAGTTATAAATTTTTTTCATAAGAAAAAAAAGATGCGCCATAAAATTTCCTATAAGATAGTGGTCATGAAATTGCATTTTTTGAAAATCGATTTTTTAATCATCAGGGGCCAACTCAAACGCCCGTGGAAATTCTATGTGTGGTTTTATTTTCCGGAGGCTCAAATGTTTGTAAAAAAAGAAGTATTACGGATGACAGAGCCCAGAATTCAATTGGCCTTATTAATAGTTTGACATATGTGTGTATTAAAATCCATGATAAAAACTAATCTTACCCCAAGGTCACACACTGTGGTCAATCTAGAAATATATTTTGTACCCATTTTGTAGCAATGCTCAAAAATTTTTTTATGTTTAATATGACAAAACATTTTTTTAAAATTTAAAAAAAGCTTTTTTCTGATGGACCAATGAACAAGCCTACTAAGATCAGCCTGAAGATCAATACAGTCTTGTTTACAAATGGTAGATTTATATAATTTAAGGTCGTCGGCGAAAAGTTGAAATAAACTATGTTTAAATAAAGGGTGTATATCGTTAATAAAGAGCAGAAAAAAGAGTTGACCAAGATGCGAACCCTGAGGAACACCAGAAGTTGCCAAAAAAATTACTGAAAAGTCATATTCGACACGAACGGACAAAAATCTATCCGCGAGATAGCTCTCTATCCAGCAGATCACGTTGCGAGAGAAGACAAAAACCTCAAGCTTCGCCATCAGTATTGAGTGATCGACCGTATCAAAGGCTTTAGCAAAATCGGTATATATACAGTCGACTTGAGTTGACTTTTCAAGATTCGTAAATGTGAAGTTTGTAAACAATGACATGTTAGTCAATACGTCGCCTCATAAAGCCATGCTGCTCATCAATTATTAAATGTTCAGTTAATCTATAAAATTAGTCAAAAACTATATTTTCAAAGATTTTGGAAATAGAGCTGATTGTGAGTATAACTATTGGTCTGTAGTAAGCTACATTTCTCTTATCACCATCTTTGTTTAAAGGAACAACAATAATTCTTTTCCATTCCAAAGGAAAAATGTTCGAAGATAATAAACGATTAAATAAAATATATAATAAGGCTCAAAAAAACGGAGTAGCATGACCTTAAGAAGGACGGCGGAATATGATCTGGACCTGCTCCCTTATTAACGTTTAAGTTTTTTAATTTTGATAATATTAAGCTTTTGTTAATTGAAAAAGTGTTGATATGACATGAATTTATATAATCGAAGTTTGCTGATGAAATATTAGTCGAAGGAATTGTATAAACAGAATTAAAATGCTTGCATAAACAGTTGGTAATATTATAATTAGTATTCGCAGATAAGTCACCAAGATAAACATCTTTAGAGATGTATAAAAGATGGCTGATCAAAAATTTAGAATTCGTTTTTGTAAATTGTATGACTTTAAACAAGGATAAACGGCAGCAGATGAGTCGAAACAAAGTTTGTTTAACGCATTTGGAGACGAATCCAATAACCGTCGACCCCAATTGGTGAATAACGAAGCTCTTAAAGTAACAATCGAATCAGATCCTTGTCAAACAACGTGAGAACTTGCTGTGAAGTTTGAATGCAGTCATTTTACTATTGAAAATCATTTACATGTGATTGGAAAAGTGAGCAAATATTGCAAAAATCACTCAGGAAAAAATTGAAGAATTGAACTAGGATCTCCTGGACCATCCGCCATTTAGTCCAGAGATGGCACCATCCGACTATCATCTATTTCGATCGATGCAATCGATCAATTCAATTCTTTCGTCATTTTCTCGGTTTCACAAAAATATGAGTTGGAGGAAAATATAAGAAGTGCTTTTAACAAAATAACGACAGTTACTACAAATCTGAATAGACAATGCTAGCAACAAATATATCATTATATTACCATTTACTCGATTATCCAAAGGAGCATTGCAACCTGCTTGCAATGTGTAGTATAATCACTTCCAATAACACATTCACAATGTACTCCTGCGATATATCCATCGTTAAACATTTTTACATCCACTTTATATTATATAAATTTTTCCTTTGAGTAAAGCAGTATTCTTGAAGTAATATTGAATTATTTGCTTCAGAAATTCTGAAACATAACGAATATTTCTTTTCATGCATTTGTTTTCCAAGGGTTTTCTGTAGTTGTTCTCTGTGGAAAAAAGGATATAAGTATGTACTGATATTATTAAAAATGTATACTTCATTATAATTTTTTTACAAAAATTTGACATCTGAGATGGCATGTTTTTGAAATCTTCACTGGAATGGCAGGTTTCCCTAATATTTTTTAGATTGTCATGTTTCTCAACATTCGCCTGAATTGGCGTATTTCTGCCCTCAATCGACGAAATGATAAAACATAATAATAAATTTCAAAATATAAGAAAAATATAAAAAAATTTTAACTGCAAAGAAGTTGTAATCAATATTTACTTTGGCCTGCCAAAAGGCCAAGTGGACAGACATAGACGTTTCCGCGCATTGCATTGCATGTAAATAGACTTGAAAAATTCTTTCATCTGTCTAGCCCTGCACGGAATGAAAAGTACAACTGCATCTGAGGATTTTTGCGCCATAACAATTAAACATTTCGTCAAAAATGAACCAGCGATATTGTATTGCCAACATGGCTTACCAGAAAGATTGAACTCTAAATTCACTATAGCCGAATAGGGAGTTTGCATTAAAATTTTTTTTAATTTTAATCGATAGATTAGGTCTAATTTATATAACAAATTTTTTTTTAAATAATTTTGTAATCAAAAATAAGCATATAATTAAATAATAATAGTTTATATTATTTTAAAACATCGAAAACGGTCCGGAAAGAGCCGAGTCTTACCGAACAGAATGTGACGTATGTAGTGCCCAAATATTGCTGCTGTCATGAACTGTTTGTGAATAACCTAATGGAACGAAAGTTTTTTCTGGAAATTTTTATGAAATGGAGAAAATCAAGAGATATAAAACGTGTTTTGTGCCAAATTGTCTTAGTACAACAATTAAAACACCCGGAAAATTGTTTTTTACTGTGCCACAGAAAGAAGATATTAGGAGACAATGGTTTCAAGTTGCAAAACGAAATGATAAGAATATGTTATCGATGAATTCAAAATTTTTTTTTTGTCAAGATCACTTCAATGTGAATATTTACATTGAAATAATTTAAAATTAAACTAGTTATAAATTATATTTTTAGACATGCAAAGTTAAAAAAACTTTCAAATGTCACTATATAATGTAAATAAAAGTAGTCAACATAACCTAAAAATAAAAAATTTTAAACCTCAAAATATTTTTATCACTTATTCATTGTAGTTGAAGGATGATATGGATAATTACAATAATAATACAATAATAATTACAATAATAAATAAACACAATAAATCACTTATTTTTACTTAAAAAAAATAAAATAATTTGAAAACAGCGAACGCATATATTAGTAAACACAGATCACACATGGATCATGTAGCAGACGATGCGACAGTAGACACTTATGACGTCACGTCCCAGTACCAATAAAAATCGTTTTCTTTTAGTATAAATAGTTTCAACTTTTAAATAAAAATTTTAATATGTAAAATTTAAAAAAAATTAAAACTTTCAACACTAATATATTTTAAAATACCTATATTTACGATTTTATAAAAAAAAACGTAACATTTTTTTTATGCAAACTCCCTATTATGTATAGTCCATTATGTATATTATATTTCTATCCATAAATGCCATGTGAACTTGACGGAGTATTCTAACAGACTGTCTATACACTATTGCTGAAACGAGAATTGATCGATTTTTTTCTGTACTAAGTCGTGGCAATAATTATAGCAGTTTTTAGTCGAATATAAGATTTATTAAAAATGCACAGGTTAAATAATTATTCTTACCAACGTGTAATTATATTTCATTATATGTCGCGAGAGATAATATTTTTAATTCCTTTGCAAGTTTAATTTCCAAAGGGGTGTACTTACAACTCAGTATAATGCAGGACATATAGAAGAGAACACGAACATAGTCTAACTATAAATATTAACCTAATTTTGCAAAATCTAACTTAAATTGCATTTTCGCATATATGTGATTTTTTCCTTTAAATTTTCCAAATTGTTAATTCTTATGAATAAAATTATAGATTTTTCAAATTAAATAATTATTTTTTTATTGTATTATAATTTAAAAACCAGAAAACCAACAAATATATCATTATTGTAAATTTTAACAATCTGAATTTTTTGAAAATATTGTATATTCTTTTTGAAAAATTATTACAAATTAAAAACTATTTATTAAGAAACAGTTAAAAATAAATTTGTTTTTAAAATGCATGTTAGGAGTATAAAAATAGCTGAATACTCTTTTAGAGTGTTATCAATTATTGGAGTCTGGAAGCCGATATCTTTCACATCTGTTTGGCAAATACGTCTTTATAATATATATAGTGCTATTGTATTCTCATTTAAATACTTCTTTACATTTACATTTTTGATTAATCTTTATCAAAATAGACATAACCCTGAAGTGTATATAGAAAATTTTTTTTTCTTTACAAGTTGTTTTTTAGTAGCGTTTAAAGTAACTTATTTCAAGATTTATCGAGAAAATATAGTTTCCTTAACAAATATGCTTTTACAAAACAAATGCCTATCTCGTAATGATAAAGAAGCTGCAATTTACAACAAGTGTAAAGAGAAACAGCGGTTTGTAAAATTAAAATATTTTTTCTTATATCATAATTATAGGTTTTTATAAATTATTCCTTCATAAAAAGAATTTTATATTTCTATTGAATATGAATATAAAATTTTTCAAACATAAAATTTTTATATTGTGCATTTGATTTTTTAACAGCATATGTGATCGTTAGGTATCCACAATGTCAATTTTTTCAGGGACTTTAATTTAAAAATATTGAATGGATTGATTTGAGATTTTGTGTAAAAGTCTAATAAATGGTGAGCAAGGTCTTTTATGTGAAAAATCTTTAATATTATGTTGAATTAATTACACAGCCACACAAAAAAAAGTTCTGATCTGGGTGTCTCACTATGATGTTTTTTGGGTCGCTGAATCCGAATTCGAGGTCCGTTTTACCCCTATCAGATCAGGATTTTGAGATAACCTCAAAAAACCAATATGTCGGACACTTTTTCCAAAAATTCATCGGATCAAATTCGTAATCAGCGACTCCGAAAACCCCCGAGTAACAAGTTTCATGCGATTCTGATGAATTTTTCGAAAAAGTGTCCGCCATATTGGTTTTTTTAAGTTATCTCAAAATTCTGATCTGATGGGGTAAAACAGACCTCGAATTCGGATTCAGCGACCCAAAAAAAAGTAGGCATAGTCAGACCCCCAGATCAAAACATTTTTTTTTGTGTGGCTGTGTACTTAATAAAGATAAATCCTACTTTTTCTCAAAAATTTTTAAGTACCTATAGTGTTATAATAATTAAATCAACCAAATATTACACTTTTTCAAACATAAGAGCAATTTCTCATCATATTGTAGACATCTCCATAAAATTTCACATTGTACAGGAAGGACGATATTATGAACTTTCTTTGTGACAACGTTTTGAACATTTTTTATGTTTCTACAAACCTTTAGGATGAAAATGATACTTTGACTTAAATCGTAACTGCTAATTTTTTCTGGAATATATTGTGCTATCTGGATCTATTTAATATTTTCAGTGTAAAGTTTTAGACAAAAATAATATTGTTGACTTGACAATCAAATGTTGTTAAATATACAGATATTTTTCAGATTACATGAACGTCTTTTTGTGACTTGTATTTTCTTCACATCCACAATATATGTATTATGGTCATTGATAAATATAACACTACCAGTTAAAAGTTGGGTTCCTTATGCTATTAACTCGAAGACAATATTTTGGATAACATATTTATATCAGTGTTGTGGTGTTTATCTTGAGGTATTATTGTACACTGCAACAGAATTGCTTTTAACAATATTGATGCAACATATTTGCACTCAACTTGAAATTTTTATCATTCGACTATTCGAAATTACAAATTTAAGGATAACCGAATATGTGAAAATTGATGTTTTACAAGAAGAGTGTAACATTGTAAAGGATTGTGTAGATCATCATGTGTTTATTTTCTCGTAAGTTTAAAAAGAGACGTAGACTTTGTAGCGAGGGGTTTTTCAGTTAAGATTCCGTAAGAATCATTTAAACATTACTTCACAAATTATTACAAATGTATGCAATATCTGCAATGTAATGCGAATTCCGTCAAATCAGTACGTTGTAAAACGCTGAATTAGATTTGTATTCAGAAATTTACCTTTCTTTGCACTTTTGAGCGTTCTGTCAGAGCCCGCTCTTTGTGTACGCATTCTGTCACAGACTATGACAGACTTGGACGGAATCTGACGAAATCTAACAGAATTTAACAGAATTTAACAGGATGCGCGTAAGAAGAAGGAGAAGAAAAACACGAATATGCGTGAATGCTACAGGCAAAATATGTATATATTAAATATATGTATTAAATATATATTATTAATAATAATATATAATATATTAAATATATATATACATAATAGTGAATGCTGTTGTTTTAATTATATTTACGAACTTTTATGTGTATATATATAACAAAATTAAAATAACTTATATAATTTCATAAGGCAAAAATTTACATTATTAATTTATATTATAGCCGAATAAAACTATTTAAAAAATTAGTTTAATAATAATTAAGAAATAAATAAATATATAAAAATTATTTATTAAAATACATTAATAAGCACAATTATGTTTTCAAAAACTATTAATTATAGAAATAATTAAACTTATCAAATTAAAATTAAATTAAATTATTAATGAATTTAAAACATTTATACTTAAAATAATTTTTTAGTTTTAATTTTAATTAATTAAAAATATTAATTATGTCTAAAATAATTTTTAAAAAATAAAATTAAAAAAATTTCTCTAATTACGTTTTAGAATATTTTTAAATAGACTATAAAGTAATTGTATATAATTTATTTTACTTTTTTTTAGAATATATTTCCTAGAATGTATGCAGAAAATCCGACAAAATCTGTAGAATTATATTCTACTCAAATCCTTTATTACCTTTTTTGACGGCGCAAAGTTTTCATGAAAAGGAATGTGTACAAATAAATAAAACTATCAGTACAGCGCATGCGCAACGCGAACGGGCCTCGGTCAGAAACACTTAATCTTGCGTTCGCAAGCAAAATCAAACGAAATCCTACAGACTTCTACAGATTTTAGCGAAATCACACGTTTCATCGCCAAAAATGCTTTGTATTGATGAATCCAGTTGAAACTCACGCAACTTTGCGATGCAATGCGTTCAGTAACGTTTTTTTCTTTTGCACCAAAACGTTAAAAGTTTTAGTAAAACAGAATTTTGCGTTATTTTATTAAGTGAAAAACCCCTCGCTTTATAGCGCACCAAGATGCACAAGAACTAAAATCTAGAAGCTGAGTAGTGATTTTGAATAGATCTGTTTATTTTATTGGTTTGTTGTTTATTTATGTTATTTACACTGACATTATTCTATATACCAGTTAAACGTTTTCCAATTTAATTGTTTAAAACAAAAGTTAATTTACAGAATGGAAAAACAATTAAATGATATTTTTGGTTTATTGATTTCTCTTCAGTTCTTTGTTTCTGTATTAAATTTATGTACTACTGGATTTTATATAACGAAAGTTAATGCAAGTGGTGCATATTTTTGGTTTTCAATTATGATAATGGGTTGTTTTATTTTTCAAATATTTACACACTGTTATTTAGGAGAGGAAATAACAAGAAAGGTTAATAATTCTTATTTCAAATTGAAATTACAATTTTAAATGACATCATATAACAAAGCATTGAATAACTGAATTGCAGAGTTTGTCTGTTGCTGATGAAATATACCAAATGGATTGTAACGTATTAAGTCTAGAAACAAAACAAAAATTGATAATGATAATGATGAGAGCCAGACGTCCCATACAACTTACTGGTTTTTCAGTTGTTGTGTTGTCTATAGAAACATTTTTTAAGGTTCTTTAAATATGATTTACACATTTTTAAATTCAACAATTTGTATTTAATTTTTCTATGTATTCTATAAAAACATTTATATCTTTTATTGTGAAAACAAATAATGATACAATTTATTATTCTATGCTTAGGTTTTAAAGGCATCTTATTCATCCTATAACTTATTGAGGAATACAAATTGAAAAATGTGACTTCACAAAATCCTATATGCAAACTGTGATTTACCGTTATTGAGTATCTGAAATGATTTACTCCATCAAATGAAAAAATTATGGGCCGCATGATCATTGCTTAATTGACATGTAACCGAAATGTAATTTAACCGAAATGCATACGACATGCATGTCATTTAACCAAAATTATACGTAACAAAACTCTCAGTTGACCTACACGACAAATAACAGAACTGACATTTGATGTACACGACAAGTTACAAAACTAACATTTGATCTACACAACATGTAACAAAACTGTCATTTGATATACCTACAAATTTAAGCGCGAATTTCAAAATTGACAAATCACAATTTTAATAATAATTTTTAATTGGTCAATTTTGAAATTCGCACTAAAATATGTAAGTCAAATGACAGTTTTGTTACATGGCATTTCAGTCAAATCACATTTTGGTTACATGTCATAATTGGGCAATAATCATGCGCCCCAAAATTATCGATTATTTTTATGGAGTGACTATCGATAATCACTATTAAAAAAAACAATAATTTTTTAAGAGTGACTATACTGAAAACAATGGAATTTTGTTGTCTTACAAAATTTTTAAACTAATTATCCGGGATCGATTGTTATACTCATTTTAAGGCAATTATTCTAGAACACTGAGAAAAATAGATGGTAAGATTTTGATGGTTAAAAGTAGATATTTTTTTTACTAAACAGTATCGTTCATTTAACTGAATGTTTAGTCCGTCCAAAATGAACGATACTGTTTAGTAGATTTAACTGAGATATTAGTAAAATCTACTACGCCCTTCTCTCCGTGTATTATTATGATTTTCTCATCATTCCTAAATCTACTAAAGTCTTGACCATGAGTATTTTATGTATGTTCTGTTGTTTACGTCACTTGTTTAGAAATTTAAAGAATTCTCAATATAGAGTGATTAATTTTTGTATTTGTGTTTAATAAGGTAATTTTTAAAAATTCGTGTTATTAGTTTAATTATTTTTAAAGCTAGACATTTCCTGTTACTAAAGTGTTTGAATTTAATAAATTTGAGCCTGATGAGGTTGACAAATCTAAGTCAACGAAACGTCTCTATTTTAAATTAATTTTTGAACTTTTTATTCAACTGATTTTCCAACATTAATTTACAATTTTTCTACAATTACCCTGAATCCATCCCTAGGTCATGCCTGGAAGCCCTATTCCATCTCCCCCCCCCCATTAAGCTAGATTGATGATTTTAAAAAAATTTTCAGAAAAATAATAGGAATTGAATGGCATTTATGCTAATGTCTCAAATGAAAAATTCGCTAAGATAGAGTCAATTGTTTATAGTGAAAAAATCTAACGATTTTTAACGGTCATTTTCGGGTATAAATTTTTTTTTTTAAATTCTGCGGCTCTTCTTATCGGTAATATAGGTCCTTAAGAGTAAAAAAACACCTTAAAACGAATTTTTTTAGGGGCCCGGAATCTGACATCAGAAATAAAAAAAAAGTTTATTAATTATTAATTAACAATTGGATTGTTCAAAAACAATCAATCCAATAGGGCCCAAGTTTTGTACACTTATTAAGGGTCCTGCAATCAACACTTTTACCGAGTTTGAGCCCGATTCATTAAAAATTAAACAAATTATTAAACATTAAAAAATCGAATTTTTAAATCGTTTTAATTTGCTAACTCGTAAACAAATGACTGAAAAATATCTTTCGACCAGTCATTTTATCGGTCTTTGCAAGCTCTACAACTTTTATTTTAAGCTTTTTTTCATAAAAATTCACTGGGAGCAACAATCCTCAAAAAAACCTTAAAAAATTGGTTTTTTCAATTTTGAAGATTTATGACAACTAAATTCAGTGGGTGAAAATGTCATAGTTTTATTATAAATCATATTTACCAACGAATGATTTATATTTTCAACTGCCGAATTAGTTGTCACGCATTTTATACAGGGCGACTGGACTACTAAAGTAATAAGCATATTTGTATGTTTTTAAATTTTATATAAATGCCATGTGAACGCGTGGGGTTTTGAGGAGAAGTGAAGGCAAGGAAGGGGGAATCAGTGGACTCAACGATGCAGAGAAATGGAAAGGGAGGAAAGGGGGGAAAAAGAAATGTCAAAATGGGAGGTCGAGAGAGGAATGGTTTTAAAGGAGGCGAGAAAGGAAGGTAGGGGTTGGTACGGTTTGGAGGGAAATTGGAAAGAGATGGATAAGGTAGAAAGATGGCAAAAGATATTAAGGTCGAGGTACAACATATAGTACAAGATGGTGAAGCGGGTTGGGGTGCCAAAATATCTTGATGGCAAAGGAAAGGAGTCAAAGTGGAGTAGGATGGTTAGATTCAGAATGGGTGAGGGAGTGAATGCGTGTTGGTATTGGTTAAAGAATGAGGAGAAAATGTGCAGGGTATGTGGGTACGAGGTGGAAGATTGGAGACATGTGCTGGAAAGGTGTGGAAGAGGAATGAATGTTTGGAAGGATAATTGGGGAATGGGTGAGATAATTAGTTGGATTTTGGATGAAAGCGGACAAGGTGTAGCATGGATGGAAGATTTGGATGAGAGAAGGAAGATTGTGCAGGGAAATTAGATATGGGGTGGGCGTTAAAAAACTAGATTTTTTTTTACTTGTAAGGGGAATTCTCGAGAAAGACAAAATGAGCTAAAAAACAGGAAACGGAAGCCCAGGCAATTGAAAGCGAGAGAGAGAATTTTTGCCTTCTTGCAATAGTCTTAAGATTTTTGTATTAGTTTTAAGTTTAGTGTAATTAGATTTAAGAACAATGTAATTGGATCCTCGAACCCTGCTATGCAGGGAGAGTAAATAATATATATGTCGTAGGGAAATAGAAGAATCCGGGAGTAAGTCTACTTCCTAGGCAGTAGGTATCTGCTGGCAATTAGAGGAATTCACGTAAAAATCATTCACATTCATCTATTTGCGTAGGGAGTAAGCTTACTGCTGGGCAGTAGGCTTACTGCCCGATAAAGATTCGGCATTTAGACAACTTACATCGCCATCCGTGTATTTGTTTATGAATCAACCTAAAGTCGCAATTCAAAACAATGAATTTAATTAGATACTAATGACTCCTAGATTTTCCTCGTCTAATATTCATAGTATAAGACTTCATAGGTAGTGAAAATTGGTATTTACAATTTACAAATGTCATAGAACCGTTGAAGCAAACAGTAGTGATTTTATTCATTTTTAATTTCTATCGTTTTATTATTTTTTATATAAATTAATTACAATTATTAATAATGGAAGTTAATTCGGTGAATCGCTGTGAATTTAAAAAAATATTTAAAATGAAAGTGGAGGCTTAAACAGGAAATAGATCCGTGTGAAGTAAACAGCAATATGAAGCAGTGAAATCAATTTTGATTAATGGAAGTGAAAAAAAGTCAAAAAAATTCTATCATTACTCCAAAATGTATGAAATTCTGCAGATTGGTTCGGAGTGCAGTATAACGCGATGTACACGCGATGTAAGTTGTCTAAATGCCGAATCTTTATCGGGCCGTAAGCCTACTGCCCAGCAGTAAGCTTACTCCCTACGCAAATAGATGAATGTGAATGATTTCTACGTGAATTCCTCTAATTGCCAGCAGTAAGCCTACTGCCTAGGAAGTAGACTTACTCCCGGATTCTTCTATTTCCCTACGACATATATATATATATATATATATATATATATATATATATATGTATATATATATATAAATGCCATGTGAAGAAGGACTGTCTATACACTATTGCTGAAACAAAAATCGATCGATTATTTTTCTGTACTGAGTCGTGACAATAATTATCGTAGTTTTTTAGTCGAATATAAGATTCAATATAAATGCACAGGTTAAATAATTATTCTTACCTACGTGTAATAATATTTCATTATAAGTCGCCAGAGACAATATATATTTTTTTAATTCTCTTTCAACGACTATTTTCGAAAGGAGAATACTCGTAATTAAAGACTCAGTATATAATTTTCGTCATAAGGCAGAAAACCCTATAATCATCTAACTATAAATATAACAACAAATTAACTAAGTTTAGATAGAAATTAAATTTAAATTTGTATGTCGCATATAAACCATTAGGATATTTTAAATTTTAGAGATTACTCTTCCTTATAAATAAAATTTTAGATTTTTTAAATTTAAAAAAAAATGATTTTTAAATTGTAATAAAAAAAATCAGAAAACAATTGTTTTTGAAAATCTGAATATTCTGAAAGTGTTTAACACTATTTGAAATACAATTTCAAATTGAAAACTGTCTATTATGAGAAAGTTTTAAATAAAAGTGTTTAAAAATGTATGTTAGAAGTATAAGAGGAGCTGAATATTCTTTTAGAGTATTATCATTTACTGGAATTTGGAAGCCGATATCTTTAAAATCTATTTCGAAAATACGCCTTTATAATATTTATACTCATATTATATTTATATTTAAATACTTCTTTACGTCTACTTTTTTAATTAATCTTTATCAAAATAGAAATAATCCTGAAGTGTATATAGAAAACTTTCTTTTCTTTACAAGTTTTCTTTTAGTATCATTGAAAGCAACTTATTTTAACATTTATCAAAAAGACATCACTTCTTTAATTAATATGATGTTACAAAAAAATTGCCTTCCTCGTAATAATAAAGAAGCTGTTATTTACCACAAGAATGAAGAGAAACAGCGGTTTGTTAAATTAAGGGTTCATTTCACTTTACACAATCAGAGCTTTTTTCAAGAATTTTCTTACGATTCCTTTAAAATATATTGTGATCTGTAACGATACCGATGTGAGTGCAATTGTGTGACCACAATAAATAAAAAGAATTTAATAATTTTTTGATCACATTATTATTCGTATTGTTACAGATCTTAATCTTTTTTGACTGAATAAATACAATTTTTTTACATTTTACATTTACATTTACATTTTGTTACTTGAACCAAACATGCTATATGTTTTGCACTGCAATCTTGCACAACTTGCACGGCAAGCTTCCTGCAAGTTTTTGTGCTGACTGGGAGATTTGTGCATTTTATTTCGGTAATTTTTTTTCTTGCGACAGAGCAATAACTACACTGATATAGTAGAATCATTATTAAATGTTTTGAGTAATTATATAATACTGTAACTCTTCATTCCGTGTAATTAAACATTATTCCATTGAAGTATTTTTTTAAAATCAAAAAATTGATAACACATTTTCCAAATGTGACTATATCAAAAAAACTAAATTTGCAGAGTTTGTCTATTGTTGATGAAATATATCAAATGGACTGGAACATATTAAGTCTAAAAACAAAGCAAAAATTGATAATCATAATGATGAGAGCCAGCCGTCTTATGCAGCTTACTGGTTCTTCAGTTGTTGTTTTATCTATAGATACATTTTTTAAGGTTATGTGATTGTTGTGATTTCACATGTTAAGGGGTTAAACAACTCTAGAGCGTCTATGTTTACATATCTTTATTAGGTACACTTTAAAGAGAAAAAAAATATACTTCATTAATTATTTTTTTTTTAAATATCAAATTTCCAGGTACGTGATAGGAACCCTTTCTGAGAGGAATCACGTCGCGGTCGGAAAGGTTTTAGCTCCAATTTTCATCCTAGAACAAAAAACAAATTTCTTTCTATTTTTACATCTTAAAAGCTAGAGAAAGACGTAGGGGATTTTTTTTCAATTGATTTTTGCAAAAATGGCGAACATTTTAAGGAAAAACCGAGTTTTTTACTTAAAAAATTGACACTAAATTGTTTATAACAAAAAAAATATGCAACATAAAAAAAAATCCGTACGTCTTTCTCTAGATAATGTTATTGAGAAGCTACAGTTTAATTTTTAAGTAAATCGGTTGAGATTTGTAAAAGTTATGTTTCCGGCCAGCACAAAAAATGTAGTTTTGAGAAAAACGAGTTTAAAGTTTTACTTACGACTTTTCGATATACCTTCAATCTGCAATGCCTGCGCCGTATAATTGACCTTCCAAATTAAAAAGTGTTTTGACTTATAATTGATATTGTTTCTTATTCTATACACCCTTAGGCACCTTTTAAAGCAAAAAAAATTTTTTTGATTTTTTGAAAATTCTAGAGTGGTTTAACCCCTTAATATTGTCCGTAAATTTACTCGCAAAATACTTGATAAGTAGGGGAATATACTCAGGGTTGGACACCATTTTGGACTTTGTTTATAATCTTTTTTTAAAAAATTAATTTAGTCAATTCAGTTATATTGTTAGAAAGATGTACAAAAAAAGAGGAACACTTTTTCTGCAGATCGTAAATTGATTGGTCTAAAATTAAAAAAGTTCTGATCATTTGAAAAAAATAAAAATGTCGTCAGGGATGGACATTATACTCAGGGTTGGACACTTTGTGAAAATCGAAGTGAATTATGGGTAAAAAAATAAAATAACATTTATAACGTTACTGAAAACGTTTTTTATCTTTATTTTTTCATTTTTACATTATTATTATTATTTATAATTGATAATTAATATTATTTAAAACGTTACTGAAAACGATTTTTATGTTGATTTTTTCATTTTTAACGTTATTATTATTTTTGTAATATCTTTGGCAGAATATATGTTGTGTGTGTGTGTATGTGTGTGTGTGCAGATGTGTGTGAGTATATGTTTATTTGTATATTTATTTATGAATTGTATCAAATTCATAATTAACAAAGTGTCCAACCCTGAGTGTATAAAGTGTCCAACCCTAAGTTGGAACATGTTTCGCGATTCGATTCTACACTTCATTTTTCCTTCAATCATGAACCCCACAAAACATGCAATAAATTTACCTTATCTTTTTCTTGTTTTCTTTATGCATTTTTTATGTTTCATCATATCGCTCACAAAACTTTTTTCGTTCCTACAAATGCACCAACGTCACAGCAGACGCTACTTTTGATCCTCCAAAAATGTAATGGCACAAAAAATTAGGTTTCACTACGAGAAGCTTCGCCACGTCCGTGCATAGATGGTGCTAGTGTTCTTATTTTAAGAAAAGCGAAGTGTTCAACCCTGAGTATATTCCCCTATATAGTTTGAGCTAAAAATTTGTGGAGGACTTAAAAATAGTATGAGGAATTTCTGTTATATGCCAGTATATTAATATTTTGCTATAAAATTTTTTTGGGTTTGCTGGACATACTCTCCAGATAACACGTAAGCTTGTTAAATTCTCAAGTTTAAGCATCAAAACTTATTGCCAGCTTGCGCGTTAAACTTGATGCAAGCTTGCCAAGGATGGAAATTTGAGGCTTGTGGCAAGCTTGCTTTGAAAACTTGCGAATCTTGCAGCAATCTTACATGCTATCTGGGTCCATGACGCAGCCAATCGGAATTAAAAGATACTCATATATGTTATTTTAATGTTTTACATATTTTTTAATTATTCAATTTTTCTACTTATTCTTAAAAAATTGTCTTTTATTTTAAAATCTTTTAATGATACATTTTATTTTTCTATGTGCAGGTTTTAAAGGCATCTTATTCATCCTACAACTTATTGAGGAATTCAAATTGAAAGATTAATTCAGAATTTTTCTGTATAAAACTTTTATTTAAAAAGAGATATGGAAAGATCGTTAGTACTATTTGGAAAATTGACATTCTAACTATAATTTTGCTATTTATTATTTTTCTGTAGCTTAATTTAGTACGTTTAAGAAACGTTTTTGAAGAAAATTTGTTAAAATCTTATATAGCATTATTATTTTCAGTAAGAATCACTTGTTTAATAATTTTTACCAATATTATATTGATGGCAGTTTGTTATTGGTTTATCAAATTTGTTTCGGTCCACTAAGTTAATGAATCATTACACGGAGAGAAATAGATGGTAAGAATTTATGATCTTAAGATGGTAAAAAGTAGATGTTATCCGGTACTATCATTATGCTACTCGGTACTATCAAAGATGTTACAAAAAGTATGGTTATGTTACCCACTACAATCAAGACGTTACTCCGTACAATCTGGATTGTTACTGATAGAATCTAGATTGCTGTCCGTATATGTAAGATCAAATATGGTACCTGGTACTATCTAGATAGTACCCCGTACCATCTATTTCTCTCCGTGTAGTTAGTGACGAACTAAGTAATGAAAACAAATTAAAATTTATTAAATAATATCAAATATCTTCATTTTAATTAATCTACAATTTTTTGCAATCTGATTGTAGCTCTTTGTCATTAACTAGTGAATCACAATTTTTTGTTTTCATTACTTTATTTGTCATTAACTAATAATTCACTACCTCAGAGTCCCCCTACTGTATAACATTTTTAAATAATACTGTACAATCAATTTTATTTAGAAGATTTTTATTGTTAAAAGTGTAATAATATTTCCATTAAAGGGATATGTTTCAAAAAATTATATTTGTCTGTATTATATTTTACCGTATTTTACTTTAAAAATAAAACTATTAAACTCTGTTCAGAAAGGAATGAAAGGATATTCAATTTCTTTACATATTTATTATATTGAAGTGAACCTTATAGTCATGCATCTAAAGAGCAACTGCGATCGTATACACATAGACAGCATGAAAACTATATTCCAAATCATTTCTTCGCAAGTTATTATCTTATTCCCCATATCATATGTACATTTTATATAAATTTTACAGAATTTGTAGCAATTTTACGATAATACATTGTAACTAATTTTCATTGTCCACTATTATAGCGCGACAAGTTGAAAATCTGCTAATAAAATATTAACTTCGTTGTGAAGCTTTCCAAGAAGTAGGGAAACCTCTATTGACATGGTTTTATTCCCCTTGCCAAGAATCCATACTCCTTAAGACCATGAGAGCGACAAGAATTTCTTTTCAAGTATTAGAATTTTTAGGTCTGTGGAGACCTGAATCTTGGAAAACAAAGCGGTTCAATATTCTTTATAATATTATTAATATAATTTCTTTAATTAACATATATTTTCTTACTACGGGCTTTATTATTGTTACTATTCAAAATTTTGATAAAGTCGGCGACAATTCAGAAAATACGAGTTGTTCACTTGTTGCATTTATGTTTTGTTTCAAAATGACATACTTTTATGTATATCGAGATGAAATTATCAATTTCTTAAATATGTTCTTGCAAGAAACTTGTATTCCTCGCGATAAATATGAAATGTCAATTTGGAAAGGGTGTGAGGATTTTAGTAGGTATGAAACATTTTTAATTTTTAGTATCAAATTTATACAATATATGAAGAAGCAGCAAAAATAATAAAATAATAATAATAAAATTTTAGATTCCTAACACGGATTTTTGTAATCATGTGTTGTACAGTTGTAGTAGGCACTTCATTCTTACCATTATTAAACATGAAAAATATACAATTGCCTTTTAATTGTTGGACCCCTTTTGATATTGATTCAGAATTTAGATTTTGGGTTAATTATTTCTATTTAGCTTATAGTTCCTTTGTAGTAATATGTGGAACTGCTGCTGTAGAAGTAGTTGCATCAATTCTGATGCAACTTATGTGCGCTCAGCTTGAAATCATGGGATATCGATTATTAAAACTTATTTCTTTGGAAAACAATAATTATTCAACAAAAGATTTTTTTAAATACCAAAGCGCAATTCTCAAAGACTGTATTACTCATCATATTTATTTATATTCGTAAGATTTTTAAAAAAATTGATTCAATTTTTTATTAATAAGTTTATTAATAATAATTTATGAATAATTACGTTAATAATACTTTATTATTACAATAATTTTTACCCAATTAGCTAAAACCCGTTTCATTATAAATTGGGACCTCACAGTAAACTTGGTTGTATCTTTTTCTATTGCAACGTTTTGATGAACATAAGTTATATTATATCAAAAAGAGATCGTTTTGTGTATCATTTTTAGAAATGATACACGAAACGGTCTCATTTTTTGAAGCAAAAAATTTAATCAATTTATATCAATCATGGCCGAATTGAATTAACTCAAAATTAAACGAATTTTTTCAGATATTTTGGTAATAGTACAATTGCGGAGACCATTTCACTATTTAATTTGAAAATGAAAATAACAGAAAATCAAAGACAATGTGCAATCAGGGAGTAGTATAAGGAGACCGAACGCCATGCGCGGAAAGTGGCCGCACTTTTGGTGATCGTAATTCTCATGGGCACACTTCTGTCGATATCAGCGCTCTTAGTGTAGAAAAGTGGCACTATTTGTCGTCTGCTACTGTGATTATTCAGTGCACATGTTGTTTTTATTAGACATTACACTTCACAAAATATTTTATTTTAAGCGTGTTAAAATTTTATCACAATTCAGTCGTAATTTATTTACTAAACGATAAACCGCACACGATAAACAAACTAAAAAAGCAAAGGTTATATCATGCTTTCTTGTTTACAACGATAGTGTCAGCCTCTCCGAGTGAGGCGCTGCTATCGACAGAAGTGTGCCCATGGGAATTACGATCACCAAAAGTGCGGCCACTTTTGACGCGGATTCATAATAGCCGTTAGGTCTCCTTATACTACTCCCTGTGTGCAATTCGATAATTAAAAAGTGACAGCTTATAAACATAACCTAAAATGCATGAGAAAAAATTTGTCGATAAAATCAATATAGCCGAGCTTTTTAGAAGGTAGATGGCAGCACTCATCTATTTTCTTTCTTTAAATTTTTTCTGAATCGTTTTTATAAAAAACAAAACTGCCATCTACCTTCTAAAAAGCTCGGCTATATTGATTTTATCAACAAATTTTTTCTCATGCATTTTAGATTATGTTTATAAGCTGTCACTTTTTAATTATCGAATTGCACATTGTCTTTGATTTTCTGTTATTTTCATTTTCAAATTAAATAGTGAAATGGTTTCCGCAATTGTATTATTACCAAAATATCTGAAAAAAATTCGTTTAATTTTGAGTCGATTCAATTCGGCCATGATTAATATAAATTGATTAAATTTTTTGCATCAAAAAATGAGACCGTTTCGTGTATCATTTCTAAAAATGATACACAAAACGATCTCTTTTTGATATAATATAACTTATGTTCATCAAAACGTTGCAAAGATTTGATGCAATTTTTGGTCTCAATTTGATACTTTTAGGAAAACTGTGCTTTATCTTATGAATTAAATAATAAATCTTAACTTATATTCAAAAATTGTTAATAAATTAATGTACTATCTTCCAGAATTGAGAAGCGTCTAAATGAAATTTTCGGATTTATGGTTGCTTTACAATTTTTAGTTTCAACTCTAAATATATGTACAAGCTGTTATCAGTTGACGAAACTAAATCCTAATAGTTCAAGATTTTGGACACTTTTTGCCGTGACCGTTTGTTTTCTTACACAAATTTCGTATTATTGTTTTCCTGGAGAGAAAATGATCCAAAAGGTACATATAATTTTTGTCATAAAAGTTGTCAACTTTTATTAATTAATCGTTACATAAAATTTTATTTCTTCCCTTTCTCATATTTGTTGTTTTTTTTCCTGATGATAAATGCTTATATAATACTTGATTAATCCCTTATCGATAATAAATTGTACTATTTTCGGGTAACGCTCTGTACTATTCTATCTTGACCGAGGAGAAAAGTAACAAAAATCAGTTTTTTCAATCTAGAATAAAAACTATTCGTCGTATATCTAATATAGATATAGACAGCTTGGGATTTCATCTTATAAATAAAATTTTTGAATTTTACAGATTTTTGAAGGAATAGATATAAAATTAAGTTTTATTATTAAAAACATGATCATATGATCATTTTCACGTATTTTATCATAATATAAATAAATTAAATACGTATAATTTAATAAAATATAAATAATAAAGTGCGTATATAAAACAGCTGAAAGATTAAGTTTGAGATATAGGTACGATACAAATGTTTATTACAATATTGGACAATACAGAGCGTTATCTGAAGATAGTACAGTTATAAATTGAGGTATCGTTACGTTTGATACAAATTTCAGAGTATGGCATTAAAAGATGAAATATATAAAATGGATTGGAATTTACTTACTAAAGAAACAAAACATAACTTATTGATTATAATGATGAGAGCTAATCAACCAATGCAACTTTCAGGAGCTTCAATAGTCAACATGTCGGTTGAAACTCTTGTTAAGGTAATAATAACTTTAAATATATTGTATGACGATAAAAATAATTAATAACAATATAATAAACAATTGTTCCTTATGTATGCATACATATATACTTCTTATTATACAAATTTCAACGTTTTTTTTTATCTGTACAAAATTTGTCTATACTTCTTTAAAATGATATTCTTTCAATTCTTATTTCAGATATTAAAAACATCTTATTCTGTGTTCAGTTTAATCAGAAATGTTTCTGAAAATTAAAAAAAAAAAATTATTATGTACCTATTTATGTCAGAATAATTTGAAAAAGCAGGAAAATACTATACATTTTTCAGGGTGTGTATACTGCCGTCCTGATGACGAAAGTAGGTAATCGACATTTTTATCAAAAATGAGTTTTTTATATCACTGGATTCGTTATGAAAAAAGGAATCTAGCTATAGTAATCTTAGTTAACAATATTAATTAATTTTGGACATAATTAACCATTAATTACCCTACTTCGCGAAATCATTCTCACAGAGTCGGTACTTGCAGACAAAATAGTCAGTATTTGCTCTTACTGCTTCAAAATGATGACGTATTTACGTACTTTCCTTGAAGCACAGTCCGCATTGGCAAATACTGCCAGGAAATGTGGTCTGATTTGATTCGACATCCTAATGCCGATGGGCAGTATCGCGAATACCGACTCTTGCCTCAAGGATTTCAGCCGGAGAAAGACCAACTTTCCTTGTAAAAAGTCGGTACTTGCATTTCTAAAATTTTTTAGCACCATTGAATAGAGCATACCCAAATTAGTTAATATCGATTGTAATTATTTTATTATGTTTCAAATATTAGTGCTACTCATTAAAAACGCGTTTCTTTAAATATCTCAAAATCACTCTGAATGCGAATACCGACTTTTGTCAGCAGGACGGCAGTATAGAAGTAAATAAAAATCATTAGGGCAAGTTTATTAGAAAAATTAAGTCACTAAATCAACAACATTAAGAAAGAAAATGCGCATAATAAAAAAATGGCTAAAAAATTTAATTTTTTTTTAAATATTAAGGCAAAGTCAGTACGGTTGGGCCAGTACTGCATTTAAAACCTTTTCACATTAGCGCCATCTACCTTTGCATGCAAATACTTACTAGCGATGGTAATAAACTTTTCACGTCACTTTTAACAAGTCTCACAATCAGTGAAACGACGTGATAGTGATGGTTGGTCCAATAAATGTAGTGTTGGTTGGACCACTTAAAATTTTGCAATTATGATACATCCTGACATCATAAATTCATTTTCCGACGTAGCGATGTATCAAAAACGTCATTTACCAGTGGGAAATAAGATTCACTTTTTAGAAACGTTCCTAAAACAATTCATAACTTCTTATTTCAAGTCTACGGAAATAACGAATTATAAACGTTTCGTGTTCTGAAAACGTTTTGAAAGCGTTCATTAATTTAAATGAGATTTTTTTTTGAAATTTGTTCCCCCTCCCGTTTTGTGAGATTTTTTGGGACCCCCCCTCTCCCCCTCTCTTGAGAAGCTTTTAATACTTTATTTTGACATAAATGAAACGTTTTAGGAACGTTTCTTTAAAGTGAATCTAATGGATTTTATTGGAAAAATTTAAATCTTATTAATTTTTGTCATTTTTCATGAATTTTCAGACTAACTTGTTAATTAACTTAATTTGGAATATGCTTCTATAATTTGGTATCCTTTTTATGTAATTGATATAATCTGAATTGAACGCGTCCAAAATGAAAAATCCGAAATTCGGTTTAGAACGGAAGTTATGGCCACAAATCAAAACGTGGCCCAACCGTACTGACTCTCCCCTATATTAATGACATTTTAGTTCTTATAATGGAACCTATTAATTCTGTAAAATATTATACATTTATTATAATTTTACAAAATTCGTAAATAATGTTTTAAATTAATGGTAAACTGTATGATTTTGAAAAAAAATTGTTGTTGATTGAATAGCATAATATTTTTAGTAAAGAATCATTGTTCATTAAACACGAAATGTTATCTCTAAAATATAGAGCAAATTTTGCACTCTTCTTATGTTATATTAATTGCCAAACTTGTCAAAATTTGACAAATTTATTTATGTATTTTTAAAATGTTTTTAAAATACTTGTACTTGTCAATTCTATAATAAAATTAGATAATCATATTTAATTTTTAAAAACTTGTACTTCAATAAGGGTTTGTTAGTTTCATTATTTTACAAAATTTGTTTTTAAATATGTTTTATTTTCAATATCTTTATTATAAACATAACTTACTTTATACAATTTCATACTGTATAAATATTTGCTTTTTCTTGTTAAAATTAAATTATTGTTAAAACATAATCTTAAATTATGAAAATAATACAATAGGTATTTAATTTTTATATTTTCTAATTAAAACGAAGTGAACTTGGTGGAGATCGCTAAAAGACTGACTATATACACCTATTGCGAAAGTCAGAATCGACCTATATGCTTTTCCGTAAAAATCGTTACATTAATTATTACCGTCTGCATTTAAGAACAAGGTTCATTATAAATGCACCAACACGAAAGTTATTATTTCTTACCTGTAATTATCTTTCATATAGTCCATAAGTTTGTAAAATAATATCAAAAATTCTGTTTACATACAAGTATTCGTTTACGCAGCAGTAGTCGGTAATTAGTCAATATAACGCTAGAGAGCACAGAACAACCTATATGTACCTATGTACTTTAGAATTTTTATTTTATATTACTATTTTTTCAATGACATTTTAAATTTTTAAATGATAATTCTAAACCAACAGATAAAATATGAGTAGTAGAGTGAAAAAATAATTCGTCATTTTCAGTTATATCACATGACTATTATCTAATAAATATATATCATCATTGAATAATATTTAATTTTTTACTTACTTTTATAAGGAACAAATTAATTTTTGGCTAATTTTAATTAAAACAAATTTAATTAAAAAGAGGTATTTAATTTTTTTACTTATTTAAATATCAAATTGAATAAAATAAATATTTATTAGAAAATAATCATTATCTTTTGACACACTAAATACTTTTTTATTATATACAGTAATTATAACGGTAGTAAAAACAAATATAAAATATAAAACATCACAAATTAAGAAAAAACAATTTTTTGAATAAAAAAATGCAAGAGGATAATTCAAAAGTAGCTGAGTTTTCTTTTAAAATTTTAACGGTTTTTGGATTTTGGAGACCAATATCTTTAACATCAATTTGGGCTATTCGACTGTATAATTTTTTCACCATTATTGTATTAATATTTAAATATTACTTTCCTACAACATTTTTAATTAATCTTTATCATAATAGACACGATCCCCAAATTGTTATAGAAAACATTTTTTTCTTTACATCTACAATTTTAATAGCTATGAAAATAACTTACTTAAATATTAGCCGACAAGAAATTATTGTATTAGTTAATATGCTTTTACAAAAAAATTTCCTTCCTTGTAATAAAGAGGAAGCTACAATTCTTGAAAAATTCCACTATAAAGAACGGTTGGTGACGAAAATTAAATATTATCTGTTAATGATCAGAGCAATTCCATAATAGATTGATGAGTGCAATTTATGGTGGTGCAATGCTTGAAATTAAACAATTAGTCAAAAAGTTAAAAAAAGTTATAAAATTTGCAAATAATGATTAAAAAACTTTTTAAATTCATAAATTAATTATTATATCAAAAATTAATTTTTTTCGAATAGATATTTCTGATTATAGGGGAAAAAATTATAATCATTTCACAGAAAATTAAAAGGCATTCAAATAAGCTGCAACGCTTATTATTTTAATTCAATTTTGCTTATTTTAATACCAAAATGGATTAAAATAAGCAAAATTGGATTAAAATAATAATAAGCGTTGCAGCTTATTTTAATACCTTATAATTTTCTGTGTTTGCTATGGAATTGATCCGGCCTTAGAAGACAGGTTTACAAGTTTTTTTTTTAGATATTGGAGTAGTTTCCAATGTATTACTGTGTGCTAAATACGATCCCAGTTTCCAAAATTACGTATCGCGTCAAAATTTTGAGTAAACATCGTGTTTTTGAGGGTTTTCAGTATTTTTTAAAGGTTAAATTTAAGCCTATATAGAAGTCTCTAGCACGTCGAGTTAAGGAGAAAAAAAAATACTGAAAACCCTCAAAAACACGGTGTTTACTTAAAATCCTAACGTGAAACCACTCCGATATCTAAAAAAAAAAAATAAAGTCTTATTTTGTAGACCTGTGATATTAATGGGGATAAAAAAATTTTTCTTCATTTAGTGAAAATAAATTTGAAAAAAAAAATTTCTGCCTGCATTTGTATTCTCACATTTGTTAATAATTATGCTTTAGATTGAGTGAACGTATATTTTTGATTATGAGTTTATTTACATCAACAGTATATCTATTATGGCCATTAACAGATAGAAGAAACATTAAATTACCTGTAAAATGTTGGATTCCATATAAAATTGAATCAAAGACAATATTTTGGATAACATACGTATACCAGTGTGCGGCTATATATTTAGAAGCCTTTATATACACTGCATTTGAATCAATTTTTACAATTTTGATGCGTCAAATTTCTACACAATTGGAATTTCTCACGAAACGATTACAGGAGATTCCAAATTTTAAGCAAAATAATTATATGAAAGAAAATATTTTTCAAAAAGAATGCTCTATGCTCAAGCACTGTATAGATCATCATGTTTCTATTTTTTCGTAAGTATATACACTGAAAAAATGGTTTGGTATTGACAACCAAACATTTGGTTGGTATTTAAGCAACTAAAATTTTTTTATTGAATCTACAAAATTTTTGTTGTTCCAATCAAACTTTAGTTAGGACAACAAAAATCCTTTTTTTCTAATTTTGATTGTGTCAAACAAATTTTGATTGAGACAATTAAAATTTTGTTGATTCAACAAAAAGTTTTGGTTCCATAAATAACAACCAAACGTTTGGTTGTCAATACTAAACCCTTTTTTCAGTGTAGAGCTTAATAAATTGTTTTCTTAATTCTTCGTCCTCTTTTGAATCTAGGGAACAATTTAATTTAATTTTTTTTTATCTCTTTCTACATTTTTTGTCAATAAAAAAATGTCATTTAAATGGATTACATTTATTTTTGAATGTAATGTAAATGTGCGTGATATAGACTAAATATCATTCTTTTCTGAGTGTACTTATTCCTTTTTTGTGGTTAAAAAAAATTTATCTATAATATAAGGAATAAATCTTGAGTTTTTTTTATATAGAATACAACAACAATTAAACACCGTTTTTGGTTTTCTGATTTTCCTTCAGTTCTTTTTTTCTACATCGATTTTATGTACAACTGGTTATTATTTAACAAAAGTAAGTGTAAGCGGTGCATATTTTTGGTTTGTAATGATGATGATGGCTGTATTTGTTTTGGAGATTTACATGTATTGCTTGTTTGGTGAAGAAATTACAAGAAAGGTAAATTGTTAGTTAAAAAAAAAAAATTTGTAACTCTTCCAATTTGAATTATGAATTCGATCACTAATTTAATAATATATAGTAATATAATTTAGTAATGTTTTTTAACTACAGTTTTATATAGTGAAAAACGACTAAAAATTAATAGAAATTTTTACTATCTTGAATTAGTAAACAAATTCTCACTAAATTAAAATTTAGAGAATTGGGTACACAAAACTAAACGTGATTAGTAAAAAATAATATGTTTTAATTGAAATGAAATAATTTTTCATATTGCAGAGTTTATCTCTTGCAGACGAAATATATAATATGGATTGGAGCTTGCTAGGTTCAGAAACAAAACAAAAATTGATAATAATGATGATTCGTGCCAGTCGGCCAATGCAACTTACTGGCACTTCTGTTGTTGTCTTATCTGTAGAAACATTTTTTAAGGTATATTTATTTTATTTAAATTTTTCTGAACAAAGCAAAAATATATTCGAAAATTATTTTCTTTTTTAAATAATAATATATATTATTGTTATTATAATTATTATTTCGAGCATGATTTTTATATAGAACATTTTTTAAATAAATTATTATATATAATAAGGTTCTGCGCTACACGGAAAGAAATTTAGTAGCAATATTTGATAAATCTGATAGGAAATTTTAGTATTCTCTTTTTCAAACGCGGAACATTTGGGTTTGATAACGAAAATCGGTATATTTTTACCAATAGTCTTTTTAGTAAATATATTCCAGAAATTGAAATTATTATTTCGTAAATTGATAAATTTATATGAAAATTTGGAAAGATTATTTCGAAATTTGTTAAAACTATACTAAAAATTCGAAGTGGTTCAGTCGTGACAGATGACGACAGAAACACCAACAGATTCTACGCCAAAGTTTTATCTCTTTTTCATCTCGAGGATAGACGAGGATATGAACTTTTAAATGCACACACACACACACATACACCGCATTGTTTTACATCGATTGGCTTATTTTTATTCCTAACCTATACTAACGATAATACGTATAACATTCGCAAAATAACGCTTCATATACAAATTTACGCTCATGTGAAAAACTGATGTGACCATTCTTATATACTAACCAGACATATTTTTCACCGCTTATGAGAAAGGTGAAATTATATCAAAACATGTTTAAAAATATAAATAAAAATCATTATTTATTGGGAAATAATTAAATATTTTATTATTTTTTGGAGAACAATTTTTTTTACTGATTTATTGTAAAATCTTCGAAATTAATTATATAAAAGAAATTCAGGTCTGTATCAAGATAATGGTAAAAAGGGGCTTGTCTAAAGAGCTTCGCGAGGAGCTTCGTCAGTCTTCGTTACCACTCGGTGAGGATCGGGCAATTCCGAACGTTCAACTTCGGCAAATTTCGTCGAATCTCGTTAACTTTGATATTTCTTTTTCAATTTTCATATCAAATATATCAAAATCTGAAATAATTATATCATTTTATACAATTCTAATTACGAAATTTGAAATATTTGGTTAGAAAAATTGATAAAGAGCTTATTAAAATTTGACATTTTTGTGTTTCAATAAAAAGATTTCAGATTTCGTAAATATTATATCAAATTTTCTTTCCAACTATATTAAATATTCTTATTTTAATCTCAATCATTCTTAAAAATAGTATCGAAAATCGTTATCATGCCAAAATGTTCCGCAATTGTAACCAAATATACTAAAAAGTAACACCATAATATCAAATATTGCTACAAACTTTCTTTCCGTGTAGTCAATGAGTAATAGATCACTTTTTAAAATTGCGATGACTATTATTGTAATCAGCTTCAGAAATTTATTTATAATAGACGAGAAAAAGAATTATTTCTAAAATAACAATTCAATAAACTTATATATAGGCGAATTATGTTTAAGTTATTATGAAAAAATTCATTTAAAAATAACGTTAAAAGGAAATCTATAGCAGAATTCTATTATTAACAAACAATTATTATTTTTAGAATAATTATAAATATAATATTTATAAAATAATAATTTTATGTTAATAAACGATCTTTAATTTTTATTTTTTGATTAGATTTTAAAGGCATCATATTCATCTTACAATTTGCTAAGAAATTCAAATTGAACAAACAAATTGGGATAAATGCAAATAGAAAATAGTTGAATTTATTGACGTTATTTGTTTGGGCAGTAATCACAGTAATCACAGTAATCACATTCAGATCAATCCACTTATAAAGAAATTCGTAGTAAAAATATTTTAACAAAATTACAATCAAATACTTACAAATTTCACAACATCTTAATGACAATGAATTTTTGAAATATAAAATATCATGAAAACAAATTAACTATGACAAATACGACTATTGCAAAATTTTACGGTTTGACAAAAATTCATAAAGAGAATCTTTAATTAATAGTCCTATACGCATTTTTTAGCAAAAACAATATATGATGAATTGAAGACTGCAATTCCTCTTCCTAAGTCCCACATCATCAATAGTTTTGAATTAAAAGAAAAAATAAATGACATTGTTATTCCAGAAAATGTTGTATTGCTTTCTCTAGATGTCAGTTCACTTTTTACAAATGTTTCGTGTGACTTAGTTATTCAGAGTTTAGATAGAAGAATTTATAATATTCAATAACACAGCCACAAAAAAAAGTACCCGGGCCGGGGAATGAGACCACCATTTCTTGATGTATTTTGATACGCTGAACACGAATCTGAAGTCCGTTTAGCTCCATCACGTCAGGATTTTGACATAACCTCAAAAAACATAGCTGATTTTAAATGACAGGAGAAATTTTTAAAATAATGGCAGATTTGCTTGAATCTTGTGACTCGGGGGTTTTTGGGGTCGCTGATTACGAATTTAACGTCAGATTTATAAAATTCAAAATGTCGGATCCAATATGGCGGACGAATTTTTAAAAAGTAGTTGGATTTTTACGAAAATTGGTATCTAGGGGTTTTGGGAGTCGCTGATTACAAATTTATCGTCAGATTATTCAAATTCAAAATGGCGGATCCAATATGGCGGACGAGTTTTTAAAAAATAGTTGAATTTTTATGTAACTTGGCCGATACTGGGGTTCCGAGTCCCTGCATCGTAATACGTTTCCTACGTGTGTCTGCCATGACGGCATCAAAGCCATTATCCAGGGACTTAGCCGGATAGCGGACAAACTCCGTTGCCCACCGTCAACGCGTGGAGGTGCCCTGGATGCAGACACATGTAGAAACATAAAGATATTTGACCACCGTACTATATCTGCCATTTTACATTTGGAATAATCTGACGTTAAATTCGTAATCAGCGACTCCAAAAAAACCCCATGATACCAATTTTTGTAAAAATCCAACTACTTTTTAAAAATTTGTCCGCCATATTGGATCCGCCATTTTGAATTTGAATAATCTGACGATAAATTTGTAATCAGCGACCTCAAAAACCCCCGAGTCACAAGATTCAAGCAAATCTGCCATTATTTTAAAAATTTCTCCTGTCATTTAAAATCAGCTATGTTTTTTGAGGTTATGTCAAAATCCTGACGTGATGGAGCTAAACGGACTTCAGATTCGTGTTCAGCGTATCAAAATACATCAAGAAATGGTGGTCTCATTCCCCGGCCCGGGTACTTTTTTTTTGTGTGGCTGTGTAATCTTGTAAAATTCCTTTTGTTGACATTGTCAATTGTGTTAAATTTATTTTCGACAACACTTTTTTTTGTTTTTAATGAAAAAACTTATCAACAAATTTATGGTACACCTATGGGTTTGTTATGTATGAATTTCGTAACGTATTATTAATAAATTATGAATATTATTAATAATTTATTAATACAATATGTGAAAAAGAGTATACATTATGCAACGCAGAAAACAAATAACACTTGGTAAACATTATAAGAAATGCCTTTAGAATTTCTTAGAGCTGTTCAAATAATCATATATTAAATATCAACTTTCAATTAATAACCTAAATTTTAAGGAAGACCTATTTTAACTTTCATGAGAAAATTGAGAAACTAAGCGAGGGGCTGTTCACTGAAAATCCAATTTAACAATATTTGAGAATTCATTAAAGATTTTTAAGGATTGCTAGTCATTTTTGTAATTCCTATTTTGAAATTAAGGGAAATAGTGCTTTCATTTTATTTGAAGTAATTACTTGCAAGAGTAAGATTGCAAGAAAAATAGATTAATTGTATAATTCGCCGCCGAATTCGCTCGTATGTCTCCGTAACCATTCGTGACTCGCAACAATTCTTACTGCATGATTTAGAATTTTACTGGAATCGACGAGATTCGTTTGGATTCGCATAGTATTCGACAAATTCGAACGTCCTTTTCAATAATCGTCGGTAATCTCCAATTAAAATACAACATATTCAGAATCAAGAAATTTACATTTTCTTATGTTAATTGATGAATATTCGGAAGATACCTAGTATATTCTCTACATTACAAATCGGGTATTCGAGAGTGAACAGCCCCTCGAAACTAAGTGATTTAATTTAATACAAGAAACAAAGGATGACGCAATAAAGATTGCTGCATCCGAGGTATGTCCATTCAAACTAAACTGGAATACTACCCAATATTGCACAGGTTTCATTAAAAACATTGACAACAATAAATTTGTTAAATAAAATATACTTTTCCCCACCAAAAGTCAACTTAATAAAATCAGTTGACACACGAAGATGGAGGTCTTCCAAGTGTGGTCTCTGAGTGAGACAGGTGGAACAACCCCTTTTAGACCAGTGTTGTTTAGTGTCAGTTGTTGTTTGGGAGAGAGCTCAGTGTGGAGCTTGGAGTTTTTGAGAGTTTCGAGTTTGAGTCTCTAAGTTAAGAGACTCTTTGAAACACACCTCTAGTTTTGAGGTTGTTTTCATTTGGAGTTTTATTCTGAGTTTTATCTGAGTTCTGATTTTTGAGTTGAGATTATTTAAAGTATTTATTTTTGAGTTGAGATTTTT